TTTCGGATTGTCTTGCATGCAGGGATCCATAGCCTCTCATAGAAGTGGAGTATAGCTTGCTCGAGGACATCGTAACAAGACCGTGACGACGTGCCGCCCCTTGGTGCTTTCCGAGACCGGCCTCGTCATCACAAACCCACATCATTAACCAGAATATGATAGAAATCAGGTCCTCTCGGGAGCGTTCAGAGCCGTAGTGGATCACCCAAATGCCTGGCTTATCCAGTGAATTCTGGTCGTATATTCGTCGGAAAATTGGCACCTTATTAGCTCTATTTGCATGGCGGTACGGGTGAATGTCTTCGCAAATTCAAGCCTCTGCCTCCCTTCCTCCTCGTTCAATAGTACCGCACTCTTTCTTCAAGTAGTGACGGCTAAGGATCCTCTTCACGGCCTCAGGGCTGGTGGTGGGCTCCAGCGCCATGCCAGTGTGGTGTAGCTAGCCCTAGGGTGGAAGTGCGCCAGTAGGCATATTCGGCGCTTATATCGCTCATTTGCCTTGAATCTGCCACATCGCCACGTACCATAATATGTGATTGCGATGGAGTTATAGGTCTTGAAATGTCCCGGTCGAGCGGTCCCGCATCTGCTATGGCTACGTGGTTTAGGTCGGTTATGGCGGCAGTAATAATGCCTGCTCTGGCTGGTGGTGTGAACTCGCCATTGGGCCTTCGAATTCTGGACAATTCGGTGCCAAAGGCGCGTGATTCGGCCGTAGTTTGGTAGCCCGGTGTGTGGTTGAAGTTAGTAGGAGGTTGTGTTGTTTCGATTTTTCAACTGGGATGTGGGACACCACGGAGAAAATTGGCCAATTAGTGTAGCAGAAAACCGAATTTGTCACCAAGGTTTCTGATTAGGCATTTACGGTCTGTTCTGGACCACTCGTAATACCTGTGATGTATTACCAAGTCCACTAGCCTGTGGATAACCACACCAGAACATCACATAAACAGCCTAACTTCTGTCACGGTGAGCACAATTGAAGAGTCAAAACACTCTAATGCACTGTGTTGACTTAACGATTCTCGACAAGGAAAGAAAGAGAAACTAAAACAGGCTGGCTCACATCTGAGGATCTTCAATCCCGCCTTCAGATGGCCAGTGCTCCTACAGGTCCACAGCTAGTGAGTTTCGTGGCATCGTGACACCGGCCGTCACAACTTCCTTGATGTGTATTTTGCTGATTTCCAACCTATCACAAAATCTATACCCTGATATACAGCATTTTAAATAAGACTTTTCTGCAGTAATGTAATTTTCTCGAGGTACGAAATGTCTTATTCTTAGCGTTAGCTTACTCGCATAAAATATATACTTTCTTATATGTATAAGTTAGAGAACCTATAGCCACTTATAGTATCTCCCTATAAGTATAGCTAATGTCAAGCCGCACTAGGGCTGTAATCCTAGCCACTGCGCTATTATATTGTATATTTACTTCTTAAAAAAAGATTAATCCCAAATCCCTGACTTTGGTATTTGGAACCACTTATCAAACGTCGTTCGGACCCTTGTCGGTCAGTTACGTGACATACGTCACATTGCCCTCTGCTTTAACAAATCTCGTCCACAAGACTTTGCTCTAGAGATCTTGCCTCTAGCCAGGGTTACCCTAATAGTAAATCCCTGTAAAGACGCAGTCAACCTTCCCAAGTGCGGGGACTCGAACCGTTGTCCTCTAGAGATCTTGCCTGTAGCCAGGATTATCCTAGATAAGTAGATCCCTGTAACGACGCAGTCAACTTACCCAACCGTTATCCTCTAAGAGGCGGGTGTTCACCAGCTAGCGCACCCATACCTGACTTGGGTATTATGTCACGGCGCGCTAGCGGTTGCAATCCTAGTCGCTGCGCTATCTGTAACGGGGATACCACACGTCTCACAATATAATAGTCAGGTAGTGCAAAGGGTAGCTAGAAGTAGGCCAGTGTATGGGTGCGTATATTGCAAGACTGATTCTTGAAGAATCTAAACTAGGTGCGAGCGTCTCGAGTTCTCCTCTTAAGCTGGGCGGTTCCGGGGTTTTACCGGATCGGGGCGAATCCCTCCCGACTCAGCTTGTCAGCTGAGACCGGCCCGCCACAACGGCTCTTTCCTTACACTATCATGCTCGATGTCTGCTTCTCAAAAAGAGGCCAATACCACAAGCCCTGAATTTGATATTTGCAACCAATCAATAGTCTGTTCGGACCGTTTTCGGTCAGTCACGTGACATTTGTCACGGCAAAGATACTATACTTAATACCATATTACACGCTGTGAATAAGAGTCTAGTATTTATAAAAGCGGCGTATAAGTGTTAGGCAACCTTGGTGGGCTTTGCTAAGACCACCAAGGTTACCACGTGACTTAGCCCTTTGGGACTAAGTCCTGTGAAGGTCAACCCTCGCAGACTCACTACAACCAGGTGACTTACAGCTGGAACACCTGCCATGGCAGTGTCAGATGGGAAGCCAATCATAACCCTTGTAGGAGCCCCGCCAAGCGTGGACGACTTAGTCGCGCTCCCTCAAACCTAAGTTGTGATCTTCTTTCCTTCGCTTCTTAGAGTAGAATCTTCGTCGATAGCACCTAATCGAAGTCTCTACCAATGCGATGCAACCCAGGTCGTGACAAGTCCAACCTTTGTGCTCCATAGGACTAGATAGAATGTCATGCTTTTACAACCTCACAAATCTTTGACCACCTTTGCGTGTAACATATATCATAATACATAGTCTTAGGGCTCTATTACGAACCGTTATGTAACGGGGGTACACGCGTCTCAAGGATCATAGTTAGGTAGATAAATCAAAGTCTTATAATAAGACATTGATGTCTTAAAATGTATTAGCTCCGTTTGTTTCCTATAATTCTACTAGTAAGGTGATTATTGGGAGAGAAAAGTGCATTTTCCCTATATAGCTCAGGACACACAGGTACGTACCTTTTCCTACCGGCCTAATTCGTACCGCTCTCGAAACTTTCGCTCACCCCAAGTCTAGTCAGTCCGCTTAGGCTCGGCTCAGTTCCAAGTCACCCTTTATCATCACGTTGGTAGCGGTAGTTTTTTCGCAGCAGCTACGATGCGCCGTGAGATATCCATTTTTACGTCACGCGTGTCTTTCCATCCCCTCCCCCCTCCCCAACACACACAATGGGTGCGCTGGGGAAGTTCGGCAAACCACATACTAAGACGACTATCTTTTATGGTGACGAGGCTGAGAATATATATATACCCAGGCCGAAGTAACCCGCACCTTCTTTTCAACTAATCCATTGTTTTTTGCGCTTCTCTACCTACGGTATGTGTTACTTAGTAGTCGCCTCCATCTGATATTCCCTTTTCATATCTATAGAGCATCTGAGATTAGATACTTGCTAGAGAAGATCCAACATATTACACAGAAGTTTGTTTGGTACATAAACAAGTAATTCCTCACTTTGCTAGGCACCGATCCAGGCTTTTAAACTAGTTCCTTTTCTACGAGCCTAATATCCTCGAGAAGCTCACCACCAAAACCGTACCCCCGCTCCCAGCATTTTCGCCTAATAGTATCACAGATGTGAGCGTCCTCCGGGAAATCCTCAATCGCAAAACGAGATCTAACCTTCTCATCCAACCATCCTCGCCACCGATAAGGTCTGAGAAAGCTTTATCGCTGGCCATAATGGAGTAGATAGTCGATCCGAGCGCAAAGATATCTATCTTCGCATTAGCCTCGAATTCATCATCTCGAGGGCAGAAGTATCTACACGGCTCGCCACTCCAGCCCGCCCATATGACCTTGCCATCCTCTAACAAATAACTTGCTTGAAAGTGGCGAGCTTGAGTTGAAATTTTTCATCAACGAGGATATTCGTTAGTTATATGTCGCAATAAATTACCCTCTTCGAATAGACATGATAGGCCGCTTCCGTCAGCTCGAGACACCAAGATCCCCGCTTCTACAGAGAAGATGTCGGCTAATCCGACTTGGTCAGATACTCATATATTGTCCCACATGCTGCACGCTTAAAGATACAGTCCATTATTTGTAAATCCTTTAAGAGCGATTATTCGTAGGTGCTAGCCAATAATGCTGACGATCTTATGTTCATGGTCGAGGCGACGTATAATAACACCGGGCTGGAGAGGATATTTGAGGATAGTGAACGCATCAACCTCCCCAATAACACGCTTTACTCCCGCCGGGCGGTAGTTGTGCGCATCGAGCGATAAGAACTGGCTGCGAGGTGGGTAGATGAAGGTTATATAACCTAGCACGTACACTGCACCAAATGTGAGATTTAATCGGCCAAACATCCTGCCCCCGGTGCATCCTTGCAGCTCAAAAGGATATCCTATTAGCTGTGTATGCCGACTAGCCCTATTGAACCCCATTTCTATGTGTATCTTGCTAATTACATCTCTGATCTGTTAAGGCGTGTTCTATAGCCCAAATCTTTGGTGGTCGGCGCTTCATTTCCTGGCTTATTATTCGATCCCATTCCACTATACACCGCAGACGACGTCCGAGATTCTTTCAAGACCATGAGGTCTTCTACCAAGCCAACGCAGAGATCGGGGAAATCTCAGGGCCTGCGATAAGCTGGACCGAGTTCAAACAGAGGTGCTTCCAAGATGAGGCTTTAATGGTATCCCGCACGCATTTTAACTGCCTCTCTGACAAGCAGATAGATGAGAAGGCAAGCTCCTCGAAGTGTATTGAAGAAGCAAGTATGCAGAAAGAAATGGAAACACGTGGAAGCAAGCCAGTGGAAGGAAACCAGTGGCGGGAGATAGTAAACTATTCTTCTGCAGCGCTGGATCTTACGATAAATTCCATCCAAATCCTGAGGTATGGCCAAGCCGGCACGCTGCATTTCGCGGTAGAGCTTAGATGCGACCTGGTTGTAATTGCCGGAAGCCTTGGCTTCGCGCAATGCCTTGTTGTTTGCAAGAGGCACACCCATCAGCTTGGGAAAAGCCGCCAGCGATGTCCGCAAAACTGGAATGATTTTTATGAAGCTCAATCGCACCGAATCAAATACATAGCCTTGTTATTCTCATTCACTATGGGAAGGCCACCTACAAGGCACACCCACCGTAGTTATGTATTCTAGGGTTGATCGTTGTATTCACACTTCAACTTCTCATCACATTTTCTCCTCTGTTTCCTCCTCTATTTCATCCTTGTCCTTCTCGTCTTGTTTGGTCTCCATGCATTCTCTACAGTGCTCATTTCAATGCTCATGCTTGGAGACCTATCAGGGCTACTCCAGCACCAACAACAACCGTCGCTGTGCCCCAAATCTGCGCAACAGCGACACCAGCACCGCCCATGCCGGCGCTCTGGAGACATGCAAAAACGCTCCCGGCTGCTACATTCCCGATTGTACTCTGGGCAGCCGCGGCAAGGGAACCTGAGTATTGGTCAGCCCAGAAACTGCATGTCTCGGATTGCCAAAAAGGAAACCATTAGAAATAGAGAATGTAGAAAGGAGGGCTGAACTAACCTGCGACAGGACCAGCGGAGCCGAATCCCACGATGCCAACCACTGCGGCTGGCGGTTATGCCAACTGCCACGGCTGCGATCGAGGTTCTGCCGGCGACGCCTGCAATCTAATTCTAGGTTAGTATGGGGTGGAATTATTTCACGTGGAGAAGGCATAGACTGACTTTCTTAAGTCCTGAAGGAGATTTCATGATCTCTTATCTTCCAGGCTTTCGTCACTATGAGTTGATGTCACTGATGTGCTCAAGAGGACGAGGGGAATAATTGCGGGTAGGACCCAGGCGACCCAATTATGATCTTTTCAAAGGATGCCTCTGGCATTAGGCAGCAACAAGCCTTGTTAAGGTAGAAGGCTCATAATTAACTGCGCATTATTGCTGGCGCAACACGGCGCAAAGTGGCAGCTGTGGGAGGCCCTCTAACCTAAGGGACAATGGCAAGTAGGAGAGATTTCCACACCTGGTTAAACATATGGGTGAAACACCAACTGCGCCCATCCGTGTGTTGCTGTATTTTTCACACATGCAGGGTGTCTGTAATGCGTCATCTTGTAGTACGGACCTCAATCTAGCCATTTACACATTTACTGCCAAAACACGTTGCGATCGAACGAAAAGTCCCAAATCCCCGACTTCAACTTGGTTGCAAGCCGTGCATGTAGCCCAATCTTGTGAAATGGCCTCCTCACAGTGTCGGCTTCTAGAAGTACTGGCAACCACCACATTGAGAGCCTACTGCCTATCTCCAGCGCCTAATCTGGCCTACCAGGCTGGTTTCCTGCTGACACGTCACTTATTTGCATATTATTGGTGCGCTTGATACCATGTCTCCCCGACCTATCTCCATGTCTGTTAAAACGCATTTTCCGCAAAAAGGGTTTTGCTAGATATACGCCGGTCATTAAATCGTACCTGTGCTCTCCACTTCCTTATAATCTGGTCAGCGCTTACCTGTCAATAACGAACCGAAGTCCAGCAGCATTTATAAGACAGAGATTTATATGGAGGCCAAAAAAGGATGTTTTTTTTCTCCTCTTTCTGATGGCTACTTCTGGCTTGATGCGGGGTTTTGTAGGCGTTCGGCCCTGCACTTGGCCGTACCTTCCCATCTGATAGGTAAGTTAAGTTGGTTCAAGATATCATAGTTCCGAATTAGGGTTTCTTCATGTATTTAAAGAAGAAGCCTCGAAGGGCAAGAAATGGAAGGCCAGAGATCATGAAGTCTTAAGGGCGTACCTATATGTGACCACCAGGGGGAAGGCCTGTTTCTCCCCTTCACTCTGTACTATCGCCTTGTGGCATAGACGTTCCTGACAATCGGGCGAACAGCCCTTACTGATATGGCTAGCATCAGAGTTCATCCCAAATCCAGTACCCGGAACACTTCCTAGTTTCATCTTCAGCCCCTAGAGCGCTGTACTACCACACGGTGGCTAACAGAATGCGGCCTCTCGTAGGTTATTAAAAATATACGTCGTGATCTTACGGTCGTCGCCGTCGACATCTTTAGCTAACATAGGTAGGTTTGCCAACCGCATATTTGAAAGTAGAATGCGCTTGAGGCTTGGCGTTACTCTTTCTGAGGTAATATGCCATAATATGTCCGTAAATTAAGACCGGAACCTGCAATTGCGTCAGCTTTAAGGCACGTAGGGTAGGTATGACGTAGGTATAGCCAGAATTGAATTCGGATTAATAAGGTGGAATCGCGTGTAACAAAGAGAGGCTCAGGTTTGCTACGAGATGTAAGACTGCATCACAGTTCTCCAATCTAGCCCTCCTTTTGCTTGTTATCGAACCAATAGTTCGTCTTCTATTTCAGGTCTTGATTTCATAACTGCATCTTTCTCGGGTGGGAACCTCATAACTACATTCAGGGCCCTGACCGCAATCTCCTCATCCTTTACTGGTCTATCTCATTTGCATACTACCTTATGTGCTTGCCAATCCGCTCGTTTGACTTCCCCGGAGCAGTACTTGACCTACGTGCACCGCGCACAGCTAAGCAGGTCATTCTCTAGTTTTCCTGTGGCTTCACCGCACGTCACACATCCATCACCATGTGGCTGAGACCTGGCGCTCGCGGGATCACCTCCGCTAATATCGAGGCGACATATGTCATCCGCAAAAGGGGCTCAGAATGAAGGCGATATGGCGGCATGGACGGCGTACTTGGCTACAGCATGAACGATTTCTGCTGGGAACTCGCCATTGCCACGTATACGCAGAAACCGTTTGCCATTTTCTACGACTAGAAGAGCTTGCTCGGTGACCCCATGTTGTGAACCTCTACAGCAATTATTTAGTGGTTTAGGAGCTAGACCATAGAGGTTTCGTCACAATAGGCCGGGAGACTGTATATGAGAAAACACTTGTGAAACGTCCGGGGCGGTGGAACATTAGGACAGAAAGGTCGGTCACTGGGATCAGTGATCATCAGGGTGAGTAGGATTACCTGGCCCATCAGTATTTGCAGTGAACACAGTGGATCAGTGAAGGGAGGAAGGATGGAAGGGAATGCAAAGCTTGGGGGCCCGGACAATCCCGGATTCGAGCACTTCATGCTCGAATTGCTAGATCTTTTGGTCTATGTGGGCATTTGGTTATGGGCAGCCATGCCTTACAAAGGAAGTGGCTATATAAGGGACAGAGATCCCCAGAATTTCGTTGTAGACAGCCCTTACTTGAGAGATCAATCTGATCATCTATTCAACGTATATATGAGGTCGGTCTATCAAGTCTTGACAACTCTATCATCAGTATACTATTAGTCAATCAGATTCTAAACGCACTCTTGTTGCTGATCAAGATCCCGTCCGCATTATTCACTTGGTAGCATCAGCCCAACAGAATTTCTCAGTGGTTTAGCAGCTAGACTAGTTAGACGTGCACAAGGGTGGGGACAACCTCACCATGCCAACCTGTTGAGCTAGGGCTGGCGTGGATTATCACCAATACCCTCACCGGAGACTCTGGTTAGGCAACCTGGTTGGCTTATGGTTACCAAGGCTCAAATAACGATTTTGACCGTGCTTGGGGTCCCTGACAGCCGTATTTTCGGGTACTTTAAAGGTTTTGAAGGTCCCTGCCAGCCCTGTAGGACCCCTTGTAAGATTTGTTAGCTTGCAAATCTCTGCGAAATATCTGGTACTTTGAGACTTGGCTGTTATCTTGGTATTCCTCTGACGCTTCAGCCGCTGCCCTGATGCTGTGGAGGGTCGGATTGCCCCTACAACGCCAACTTTGGTAGCATTGCCATCTCGCCAGGCCTCGGCTAAGGCCACTCCGGTACTCCTGGGAGCTTAAGAACACCTTTTCTAGTGTTTCCGTGGCTTCACTTTCTCCGAACGCGGTAAGGCCTTCTCATCGTGGACGTGGGCATCTGGCCATGAAATCCAGAAGGACAAGAATGTGAGCGATTTTTTTCTCATTTACCGGTAAAATGATCACTTCACAGCGGCCAAGCCTTGATGCCGTTATCATAGGCGTGTGCCGGATACCGCGAAGTTAGTACTGAGCCGGCTTAATAAGCCAGCTAAATACTTTGCTTAGGGCTCTAACGGCTGAGAGAGCTATGAAAATAACTCGCTAGATGAACCGGCCGAGGCTACAGAGGAGGCTACATCCAACTCCGTCAAGTTAAAAAGCGCAGAATCTAGATGTTTGCTTAATTCTCTTGTTGCGTGCCCCAAACATACCGGCTGTGTGCTGGGTGCAGCGCTTGGACCAAACGCTCCTAGATAGCCCTTTCGTAGCTGCTAAGGGACGTGGGGAGGGTTAGTAAGCCGTAAATGCCTCACGAACTCATGCCTCAGCAGGCCGAAGTCCGAGAGTGTCTTCACATCAACTTCGTTAGATTGGCGGAACCTGTTAGTCAATGTTGATCTTCACTCTATTTGGCGACCTCTTCGTATACGCTTTTATTATGCCGGCTCTTCGTATATTCGTAATATGAGGTTTATTTCTGCGGCAAGATCCCTGCCTGTTTGAAATGAAAAATGGATGACTGCTTGATTGATTCTACATACGAAAAGGGACGATGTGTGATTAGGGAGACTGCAAATGTGACTTTGAGGGTCGAACTATTATGGTGTGCTCATACAGGCTGTCCAACAGGCAATTCGATGAACCCTAATAACTGTTGAGGCTCTCAGACCAGACTGGGTGCGAAGGTTTGGTCCCACAACTATAATCATGACACTGTCTATACTCCTTTATTATATCATGGCATAAACGAGTCTTTTCCGCTCTCTACGTCTGCCTCTTCGTCAATGCTTTCTATTAGACACTCCAACAAACGGGCCATACCAAGTCTAAAATACATTTATTCCCGGAGAAGCTAGCCATACTCATATGGGAGTTAAGACCCTCAAGTTTCTTGGACTCACGAATCCATTCTTCGGTCCTCTACAATGCCCTCCAGCTTCATCTCCTTTCCGCTCAACTTCCTTGTAGTCCCTATATTGGTAAACCTCAGGCGGCCTATACGGCAGAACCAATTACTCTCAGATGTTCACAACGCCAAGCCTATCGTAGCATTCCAGAAGCAAGGGCACAGGACAGTAGGACCACCCAACATACTCGTCGATGTTGCCTCTGATGGGCCATGAGCTCCGGATCCTACGTCTCTCTCACCTCCTAGTACGCCATGCGGTTCATTCGCAAAGACTAGAGTACCACGCCAGTAACCACTCTTTCCATACAATAGTCACAATCGGGTGGGCAAGCATCGCCATCCTGTGGCCGACGAGCTGGCTCGAGGGATCGCTTGTCGACGATGATGCAGAAGCGGGGCCGAGCCAACATGTGCTGTAGTACTGCAGTGAATGAGTGAAATCCCCGTCCAACTCGAGCACTGGTAAGTTGTCTTCGGACAAACTCCGCGATGACACTATGGAGCCGCTGCGGATTATCTCCCACGGGCCAATCCATCTGTTCCGCCGAGTCTTGCCTTTTCAACAGCTTCAGATACCGTGCCATTTCGCTGCATGTAGGATGCATGATTTCTCCGAAGAGCGTATCTATACCGTACGTCAAGGAACGCCATCGCGTGACTGGTCGGTCGACCGAACTGGGACGTGATGCTCTTCAGTGACCGATCTTCGAGCCTGATGCGACGATATACGTCGTGGGACGTTTCCGAAAGCTCCGAAGAGGTTTGAAAGCAAGATTAGGACTGGAAAGTGACGTGAGAAATCTGCTGCGAAGACCGCAGGGGGCTGGAACAGGGCGAGTCGGCACACGTTCGGGCGTGGATGGAGTACCGATGGCCTCCCTTTCAGAGCGGGGAGAGAGACCTTACGATACAGGACCTCCAGCACGGATTCATGATGCGATCAGAACGAGGCTAGAAACATCTCCAGGAGCTTGTGGGTTCGAGCTTGGTGCTGCGAAATGGATTGACTGATCGCGCATCTCGGCTGTGCCGGGGTGAAGCATTGAATCTGCAAACCCGGGCTACTGCGTCGCCGGCCAGAAGTCACCGCAAACAATCCTCTGGAGTTGTTGCAATTTTGTACACAAAATATAATCGGATGTGCCTTTTAGCTGCACACTTGACTCAGTTGCTGATACACCAGCGGTTTCGTTCCGGAAGTTCTGACAGTTGGCCATTGCCAAGGGCTTGGTATTTGCAGGGTCCATCCATCATCAGGCAACTGGCGGCGATAGTGGTACACGGAAAGACAGTCGTTGGGCGTCCAAGGCTTGCGCAGCCCGACACAGCCAACCGCTTTGTTTGATAGGCAAACCTGCGCAAGTCATTGCGAGTGCAATTCAAATCACCCAAAGAGAACCAGAAAAATGGCACACTCACTGCAGGTTGACGCGTCATTCCATCATTGGTGCGCCGGTCAATCCGTCCTCGACTTCGCCTCGCATGCTTGCTGCATGTTCCTAGCCAACGTTGACAGCGCTGATAAATGACGTATCAGGACTCCATGCTGCTGATAGTAAAGCCAACATATGCAGGAACGAGACTCAAAAGGTGTTGACACTTCGTCTTATCCTCAACTCCACCTGGCAGTATCGACTTCAGATGTAAGAAGTTTGGCCACAGACGCATCAGAGACTTTAACCATCTCTGTGACGCGAGTCTAGCTGTTATTAATGAATATCATTCGTCCTAGCGTCTTGTCAAAGGGTCTCCTAGCTCGAATTGGGTGTCAGTAGATTCGCACTGAGAATAAGGTTCTCGTTTTCGCTTTCGCACCATTGCTTCATTGGCCCCCCTAACATGATCGTCCTAAACACGTATCCAGCTCTCATCTACCGACCTTTCGTCGGAAAACATGGGATAATAAGCTTCCTGGACTTCTCCACGATCCCCCAAGATACCAAATCGTCGTTTCAACTCGGCGAATACGATTCCTCATCTTTAGAGTAGACTGTATAGAATAGCTTCAGACACACTTTCATAATTCTTCCTCAACGTAAATCAGCTACATACATCCTGGCTCGAAATTTCACTCTCTAAATCTGGTCCCGGTGTTGTTACATTTACGTCCCCTCAGGTCCATCCTCTCCCCGGCCGCCAACTCGATTCAATGGCCGAAGATGTCTCCAACGCCAGCGCCATCGGGTCCGCGTTCGGTGCCGTCATGCTCATTGGGTTCTTCGTCTACCTATTCCGCCGATATCAGAAAAAGAAGCTTCTCGCCGCCGCACAGGGCGCGAAGGACGCACTGCAGAATGCCGAAGAAGGTCGTCCTATGAACGGCGATAAGGTGGAACTCATCGCCACTCAGACAGATTCTTCCACGATAAATCAACCACGGCTGATGGGGACGCTGTCTACGAGACCGTCATTGAGGTTTCAGCCTGCCACGGCCGAATTGCAGGCGCACGTTCAAGAACCGGTCGAACTAGAAGGCTGCTCCGCGAACCACGAGCTGGACACTCGATCGCAACGAAGCGAATTAGCGGGTGCTGGCACCCCTCAATCTGAACGCGACAATATGACTTGGGAGACTGGCTCCATCCAACAGACACCAAGGCCGTACGTGGTGTCGCCCGCGACATTAGAAGGAACAATGTTATCAAACGTATACCCACCGTCGAGCATCTCCACTCCCGCACCTGCGTACTCGCCGGCGAGTATTTACCCCGCGTCTAGCTTATATGCCTCAAGCGGGAGTCTGAGGTCTAAGATGGACGATGAGGAAGGAAATCGCCGGTTACAACTGCTGGTCCGGCAAAGGGAGCTACAGCGCGAGGCAGAGGTTCTGAGGATGTTACACAGTATCGAGGAGGAAGAGAGGAGGATCAGGGCGGAACTTAAGGGATTGGATGGGGATGCGAAGTCTCCTGTTTAGGTTGTACTATTTTGCTGCATCCACTTTTGGGATCCAAGGCGTCTTTCCGGTGTTATTTCTTCGGGGTTGAAACAACAAGAGTGTTTCACCATGTATATTATACGCTGGTGGGTTCTTCGTATCAAGTCTTAATCGGACTTGCACAGACGTGTAGAATGGAAACTTTTTGGAGAAGCAGAATCTCGTGGAATAAATGGCCATTATTACACTACGCCGCTCTATTTATGGTTTCCAATTGGGCAGTAGGTGGTATGGCTCTGCAAAAACTTCAGACAACCGCCAGCAGCACACCGAGAGTTGGCTACACATGTTGCGCTGAGCACGATCGCCACGTGTACCAGTTCCTACAGTTGCTGTTGTAACACTAAGTTGTACGATATATGTATCATCCGTGAGAATATGGGAGTCCGGGTCTCGAGCAGTTATCCACTCCCAATACCACGGCTTCAGGTATATAGCTCTTTGTTACCTCATGACCACACGGTCTCTGCTGTAATCACGTGGTTTGAAGGATGTGCTCATGCCGGAATTTCCCATAGCCTTGATCCAAAACCTACGGTCGTCACCACCGTATGTCTTGCCGGCCGAAAAATATACTCGTAATGCAACATGGGCATATCTTCTAGACACGATGGATAGTTAACCTGGTCGGATCCAGCGAAGATCAGACAAGAGCAAGTGTTTGGGTCGAAGCATTTCATAGGCGACTGGTGATTCGGCCCGCAATTCGCTAGCAACAGGCTGATTTGCGGTCCCAGGTAATAGGATATGTGCTCTTTAAATCAAGATGAGGCAAACCCCTCCATTTGAGCAAGTAAACATGAATTTTATTGTTTCCGCATCCCAAAGACCATGGCGAAACAGACTCGGCGACCGCTCTGTCAAGCATCTGTGCTTCTTTCACTTACATACCTGCGTTTAGACTCCATGGGAATGACACCTGGTGTGACTCACATACATTCTCTCAGGTGAATACTCTAATGCTCGCATAGAAGGATGGACCCCTCGTGTCCAATGCAGATTCGCTGCGTGGCTGGGAGAATCCTCTGAGGGGCGAAGAAACGACAAGATAAGTAGTCGACGATGCAGCTGAAGCAATGTATGTACCGCGCGGAGTCGGGTTGCTTGCCTCTGTTACTCGTAGCTCGGCATTCATCGCAGTAGGCTCAGCCCCAGAGCTCCTCGCAGGTCGTTGCCATGATCCTTCTTCCTAGAGCCGGAGGAATGGTGACGCCCAGAGGTCAATGTGTGCCTGCCTATGGTATTTCTAGAAACGATTCATAGTGAAGGGATGCCGCAAACTTCGGCAAGTCTGAAAGATTGTGAATACTTTCTTCGCATCCATACATTATATGTTGTAGAACATCGTCGGGTAGGCCGTAAACGGACGTAAACGGGACTGGAGGTGAGGTTATTATTTATTATTAAATACGCCGTAGGCTCGAAGCCCCCGGTACCTCTACAAGTGCTCCTGTATGTCAAACCGTGCCCTAATGGCTGGACTAAATGTCAGGTTATGATATGCTGCTGTCATGAGGTCGTCCATTTGCCCTCCTGCAGATACTTTGACACTTGCTGAGGGTTTGTTGCTTGTCTGGCTCTAGGTATTGGATATTTATGCTAGCTGTGTAAAAGTGGTAGCTTTACCATGCTTTGGCCGAAGACAACTATCGTTAAAATACGCCGTTTAAGAACGCTTCACGGACTTTTACTCTACACTCAGACCTAAGGTTCACAGAAGCTATGGCTGGTGAAACCGTTATATATGTTAACATGGTATACCCTTGAATGACAACAAATCCTAAATCTTATATGAAATCACGACACCTCGTCAGGCTGTAGGCACTTGCAAAAGAAGTAGGAGGGTATATGAACTTGTGTTCCTTTGTATGGATCCCATAATCTATTCAGCAGCCGAGAGTTATACGCTCTTCTATATCAGTAACCTGATTTTCCATCTAGGTAAACACACGGTCTAATAGAGAGAGACTGGGTGATGGATATCGTTTTGTCAATTATAGACATGCAAGGACATATGGCGAGCTAAGGTAGGCTTATCTGTGTTACTTGACTTTTCCCCAAGATTAAAGATATTAAATAAAGTGCTGTAATTGTCATTATTCTATTAGTAGGTATTAGTGTCAGACCGCATGAGCCTTTGATTTCCAATGACTGTCTTTTTCTGTTTTACCGTTACTACGACCAGTTGACTGATGATGGATGGACCCCGAGCATCAAAGCCTTGGCAACGGTCAACTGTTATAACTTCAGGAGCGAAACTTCTGGTATATCAGCAGCTGAACCAAGTATGAAGCCAAAAGGCACAATTATTTTGTGCATAAGGCCCTTATGGCACCCTAACTCCCTTGGACTTGCGGGTATCAGGGACACATTCGATTTTGTACTTTGCTATAATTTGCAATAAGTCCGATAAGTAGATACTCAGTTGATGGTCAAATAAACGGCACACCAATATCAGAATAATTTGAATATACAGATATTCTAGTGTTACAGATAGCCATTATCAAGTTCTTTGATCTAATTAAGCCATACGTATTATCGTATGCAAAAGTCGGGATTTTCACTTTCGATTGGGCCGCTTGCACCCTCCGCTGGTGCTGGTACAGCTGTGTACCGTAAGTTCGCTGGCATAGAGGCACGTTGGTGGCCTCAAACAAACCCACATGCTGTACGTTTTGTGCCTCTGCTGTAGAGAAAGATTCGACTAATGCGGATGGGCCTAATTACTTGGAATAACCTATGGCTATTCACAGGGTGATCTTACTTAACCTAGAAACAACTACATGGGACTGCAAGACGAAGGACACTGAGGAGCACACAGTCATAAAGCCCTAAGGATTATTAAGTGTCTCAATCAAGCCTCTATTAAATCGCGTACCTATCCTTCTCCTTCTGGTTGTCTTGTTTCAGTGGGGTTTGAAGATGTATTTGCGATGCCTACAGAGCTGCGGACAATTCATATATACTGCTCATTTCAGGTTCTTCGGCTTATGCCCATCTGGCTTATCTGTGAACATGGGGGTCGAAGGCAGATGTGTGAGGATGGCAGGATGGAATTAATGCCGATGCAAATCAACCCCAATGTGTCTACCTAATGTTTATCCCCGCAGGTGGCACAGCACAGCTTCTGCAGGAAACCGTTTCTAATATGATGAAAAACCAAAGCTAAATATGAGTCACGTATGGAATTTGGATGTACGTTGGCCGTAAGCCATGGGAAGAAGTTTCTCGCGAATGTCTGTGCGTGTGCGTATGCGTGTGACATGGTTCTGGAGCAAAGCGATAATGCTGTGATCCGTGGAAAGTAACACCAGTGAATGAAAGATCTAATCTCTTAGCATGAGCTTGAATGTCGCAGGTATGCTGGTACCTGTACACCAATCCAAAGGTATCCAAAGCCAGTCTTCAAACATCTGCGATTGGAGGGTGTACCATGAGCATAGTCTATTACTTGAGCCGCCAAAGGTTGTCTGCATTGTTACACATTCTAAGTCCATCCCATGTCCATAAGTACTTCAGTAGCTTTGGTGGTCCCCTGTTCTATGTTCTTTGTGCAAATAAAAGTAGGCCGCAAAACAGCGCACTTTATGGCGGGCTAATAGGGGCAGGTCTGACTTGACAGAACCAATCAGCCGAGCACATCTCCCAAACAACTTGCCTCAAAAGGAAAGTCGAGCTATTAGCTCTGAGGTATACCAGCCATAATGTGACCTAGTAACCAACCACTGAGCTGCGAAACTCGCTAGGTTGCATATTCGCGACGTATTCAGTCTTTTGCGCTGAATGTCGTTCCCAAAACTGAAGTGTTGAGTGTTGAGTGTTAAGCATATCGATCCATCCAGACATGTGTACCCAGATGTGATAATCAGCATGCGGCTCTTGTTAACGCTACTACATGAAAATTGTAAGATATTCAAGTACAATTACGTTGGTGCGTGCTGCGTGCTCAAGCGGTGCATTGGTATATGATGGGCAACTCGCCTTGTGGCTGCCAACTGTCACTCAGAGCCTGCGGGCGAGGGGGCATCAATAGGAGTCGGACCGCACGGTGCGGTCCCCTAGAGTCACTGGATGCTTTGAATGGGGAACGCCTTCTTTCCCATGCCAAATGCAGCAGAGCGTCCTTGTCGCGGCTTCCCTATTCTGAGCAAGCCACCCCACATTCAAAAGTTGCTTCCTGTGCCAAAGCTCAGGACGCCCTTCTCAAGAACTCAGCATTCAACCCCGGTCACCCACTCGTCATCCGCTCCACCATCAGCATTTATTCTGCGGTCTGCTGACATCTGTATTTCCAGCAACACAGCCACGGGACCATCCATCGCCATGTTGTTCATCTTTGATGTCGGTGCCCGCGTCGCTCAAGTATGCCCAGAGACACATTTCAGTCCAACCGCACTGTTGCGCTGACCCACGCTCCAGTTCCTCTTCTCTGTCATCGGGTTCTCCATTTCCACGGTATTGATTCATGGCCAAAAGGCGGGCGATCCACCTCCGGTGACCCGAGGCGTTGGCATCGCAGACTGCTTCGCTATACTGGTGGCCCTTTCCGGCATCATGATCCTAATAGCCTCGCATTCTTCACTCCATGTGCGCGGCACCCAGGTGGTCTTGGACTTTGTCATCGCAGCCACCCTGTTTGGATTGGGGGTCGTACGTGAATCAAGAGGTTTCATGTTGTGCAAATTCCCTACTAACCTCGTGAGGAATAGGTCTAGATGATGGCACTCATGGGCAGGGATTGCGGAAGCGAACCGGTAGCTTTACTCTCCAGGAACCCCCTGATCAACAAAGGCTGCCAAAGCGAGATGCCCCCGGGGGTTGAATACTTTTGGTGCGGCGTTTTGTATCATATAGCAAACGAGACTACGTACGACGCCGAGGTTATCGAAGGATGGCTGAGGAAAGGTTGTCCACTTGCCTATGTTGACGGAGTGTTTCAGTTCTTGTCGGCTACCGCTTCTTTGGCTTTGGCCGGTATGGGTGTGGTAAAGCTATTACCCGTGGACCCGAGAACGGTAGAGGAGAAATGAGAATGGCGTGTGCGGCTGCATTTCTGGTTTGGGATGGAACTGGGTTCGGTGTGATGCTGGGAGAATCAGTAGAGGGAATTGGCAAGAAACATAAATCACGTCGCAAGCACGGTTATATCTAGCATTGACAGACCCCCCGCGCTTGCCCTGCTTCCTCGTCTGCAGCTAGAAAGTCGGATAGCTCTATAACTAAGCAATAACTATAAGGTGCACCTGCCCTGCTTGATCCCCACCAGGTACGGTCCCTGCCAAGCTTGAATACTTTGTTTTCTTTGGGGAAAGAGGGCTAAGAATACTCACTTAACCACACCTTCCGCCCCACTGATATTGATCCAGGAATGTAGGAAGGTCTTGTCTTTACTAAGTACAAGTCGCGACATACTAGGAAAATAGCACAGATGACTTTATGTCGAAGCTGTTTGAGCACTTTCCACAACACTTCATTGCAGCGAACGATATTGCAAGGGGGCACCCAGGTAGACTCGACCGGTTGGGATGCAAATGCGTGGTATTGATTGGCTTGCAACTAAGATGCGATGCATTTCAGATTACTTGGGCCTGTCACTTCAACATTTGTTGGGTTTTAAGTGTGGTTCTTCCGTTTGTGATGCTTAGAAGTAAGTTTCACGGATTTCGCTCGCAAGTCAACTGAAACATGATGCTTATATTATAGTCGAGGATACACTTGATACGTAATAGAAACACAAAGTGTACATAAGTATAGAGAAGCTCACGGCTCCTGCTCATTTGCATTTATATTTGACATTACTTATTGCCCGCCAGTTACCCTGTTCTTTCCAACCTCCAACCCCGTCTCCCTACAAGTCTCCGCTCGACATGAAAGCCTTAATTCCGTGCCCAATCTTCGGAGATGGGGGAAAGGCGCTCACTAACCCGTCCAACCCTGCGTCCGGAGCCGACGCCAACGTCCAGCTGCTGGGTTCCCCACCAGCCACCACCTCGTAATTAGAAATTACCGTGTTGTTCGATGCCGTCACATCCCGATAATACAGTTCCTCTCCCGGCGTCGTAACATTCCCTCCTTTACTTAGTCCCCCAAACCGGAATTTCTGCGTCGTCGATCCAAACCCAGTGCTGTAGGTCGAATTTCCGTATTCGTAAAAGTACGCCGTCCCATTACGGTGCGTATTCAACACCGACCCCACGAATTCGTCATCAGCCGTCTCAGAAATAGCTTTGAATGCCTCTAAACCCGTGGGGAAGACGGCATTGCCTTCTACTTCGAGGTTCAAGCCTTGGTAGAGCTCCGCCCACAGCGTTAGGTTGCCCTCGGGGGAGATGTCCTCGGTTACGTTGCAGTAGAGGGGGTAGTTGTAGTTGGTCGAATACGACACACCCGGGCTCGTAGCGATGTCAAGGCCTGTGGTCTCAAAGGTGTTGATCCCGTCGTAACCATAGGCGTAGAGACCACCTATATTGGAGTAGGACAGTGTCTGGGACCAGGTGGCTTTGCCAGTCTTCTTCTGGGATTTAACGGTAGAGCTGACGGAATATGTTCTTGAAACGGCCAGGTCGAAATCGAGTGTTTCGTTGGCGCCGGTGGAATTCTGGGTGATGGACTGGGTGAGAGAAACGACCGGGGCGCTATTGTAGATTGAGGTGATATTTCCAACAGTGACAGAATCCTCGTCGTCGAGCCACACGAAGATTTTGCCCGTTACGTACCAGTTGCTGCCCACAGTGGAGGTTACGCTGTTGTCCTCTCCCAGACCGGCCACTTGGATGGTGAACGTGTGCTCATTTCCATCGCAAATAAGGGGCAACCAGGGCGTAATATCAATTTCATGTTCCCTCAAGTCAAAAGCGTCAATTCCGACGATGGGGCGGTGGAAACTGGGCACCACGCCTCCGGTAAAAATGACTGGGAACGGCCATTGGACTCCGGCAAGCTTTCCGTCGATGAAAACCTGGACTTCGCGCCAGGGTGAATATCCGTAGTATTGACCAATAGTCGCATCGAAACTGTCGATTGCATTCTGGGGCACGTTGCTCCACCAAAATTCTTCCGTCGACTGACCACATGCAGACACGGAAAAGACTGCCCGGTTGACGTTTCTCGGGAAGCTGACGGTATTGGTGGCATTGTCAGCAGGTACGGTGAATTGACTTACTGCGCCTGTAGAACCTTGTCGCTTGGAAATGGGCACGATCAGGTCTGCTGGTGGGTGGTCACCAGTCTCGACTGGGCTCTTAAAGAAAGTTGCTGTGAGGGTGGTATTGAGAATTCCCGTGTAAACGTCGTTGATGATGTTTCCCAAGTCGAATATTAATGTCTGCGGTTCTTTCCAGAGTGCCAAATACTGGGTCATGTCCTTATGATACTCCCATCGTATGCCCGTTGCGGTTGGCTCTGCCGTAGAAGTTCGCCAGACTTCGGTGTCTCCGAGATACATCAAAGCCAGGCGGTCGAACTGTCGGCCTCGTACATGGACTGTGAAGTTCATGATGACCCTGTTAAAGTCACAATCGGGCGGTGTGTAGTCGCCTGGGGATATTAGTTGTTGCCACCGAAGCGAACTGTAGAATTTTGTAGATACCAACAAAAGGGGCGCCGTAGCTGGACGCAAAGTGATACTCCATCAGAACCACCGAACAAGAGTCCTGAGCATTTCCCTCAATGGATTCTAGCACGCTCGACCCCTGATTGTCCGTTGACTGATAGCTTGCGCCAGATGGCGTCAGGATAGGCTCAGCAACCTGGAAACACTCCAACGGTGTGCTATTCGGAGCCACGGACGTAGTAGTGGTGACTGTTGCAGCAAGCTGGGCATTTTTGACAAGTTGTCCGTACATAGGGAGATTTTTTGCGTCCCTTAACTCCGGGGCAGCATGCTTTAAAGAGGCAGCATGAGCAGATCCAACCAACGACAATAAAAGAATGCCCACGCCCAGTCCAATTTGGCGTGTAGGCGCTCCTGAAAGTTGCCTTCCAGCTTTATTGCCACGCGTCTCAGCAGATAAGACCGGCATGTTGCCAAACAAGCACGCCATCGCAAGCCGTGTCGAATCGAAGGAAAACAAGAAACCCAACTCTGCGTTGCAGCAGCATTCTGTTTATATACATACAAACCCATCTGACCATTTAATTTCGGGTTATCGCGGTGACGAATCAAGATCCAACGTAGCATGGGGCTAAAGCCCGGAAGAGAAGGTGGACGACGCCAATACCCCGGCAGAATAGCCAGATCTCCAGGGGAAGACTCCCCGCTCGCTCGCATATAGTGGCATGGTTGCGATAATGCGAGCGATCATTCCTGGAAAGGGAAGTCGTGGGGGGTATGAGTGTTGCTTCCGGGTCGGTTCGGCCCATGCAGCTAAACATGTCTTGGTGTGACGATTCAGTGGACTGCAGCAGAGAAGTTGAGAGATAAACACAGGCTCTTGCGATCGAAGTTACGCAGGATGGCTTGTGTTGCAGTTGGAAACATAAACGAAATCAATTACCTTTCACTACTTAACTATGAACGTATTCCATCTCAGAGTAGTACGCATTGTGGGGTAGCTTCTTCGTCTGTCCATTCCCATCCTCGACGTGTTAAGAAACAGTCAATGTCCTCTTATTCTGCGGCTTGATAGGATTTGCGCGCCAGCTTCAATGAGTTTCGTATTCCAAGTTACTCAAAAGGTTCACACCTCCGCCCGGCAAACATCGTAATGTGTACCCGACTATAGCTTGCCCACGTGAGACTAATGCATATTCATGAGATCATACTGCGTTTTCTTGGCTCTCACTGTACCATCGGACGCACTAGAATGCGGGGGACATCGAGGCTTGACTCGCCTACCCTCGCCTTAGACTTTCTGCGGGGGAACGAGACGCATTTGACAACCTTCACACATACATACATCCTATCTCAAAATAAACGTCGCCCATCACTTGTTTTTCAGAATTTGCACGTCGCAATCTTCCAGACTCACACCTACAACCATGGAAATCCCCTTAACCCACAATGCCATCATCTACACCAACCCCGGCACTGCCTCCCTGAAAATCACCCAAGTACCGACCCCCTCGCCCGGGCCAGGCCAAGTCCTCATCCGCCTCACGCACAGCGGCGTCTGTCACTCCGACCATGCCGTCATGACCAACAGCTGGCGCTGGCTTCCGGGCCTGACATCGCACGACCAAGTCGGTGGGCATGAAGGCGTGGGCGAGGTTGTAAAACTTGGCCCTGACTTGGTAGACTCCGGTTACAGCAAGTACAACGGCCCGGGAATTAAGATCGGGGATCGCGTGGGAATAAAATGGTTCGCTTCCACTTGTCTGCATTGTCTGGCTTGTATGGATAGTCAAGAGGGCTCTTGTTTCCATCCTACGATATCGGGGTACTCGGTACCGGGCACATTCCAAGAGTATGTCCTCGCGCCGGCAAATTACGTCACGCCCATCCCCGACGGCGTTCCGTCTGACGCCGCGGCGCCGATATTGTGTGGAGGATTAACAGTCTACTCTGCCTTCCACAAAGCACGAGCCCGGGCCGGAGAGTGGGTGGTTATCTCCGGTGCAGGCGGAGGCTTAGGGAGCTTGGCTTGCGAGATCGGAAGTCGGGGTATGGGGTTCAGAATTTTGGGGATTGATTCCGCCGCGAAGGAAACGCTTATCCGGGAGTGCGGGGCTGAGGAATTCCTTCCGCTAGATAAGTTTTCGAGGGATCCGGAGGGTGACAAGGCGATGGCGAACGAGGTGATGAGAATTACGGAGGGAGGCGCCGCGGCGGTGTTGGTGTGTACCTCGGCTAATGCTGCGTATGCTCAGGCGGTGCACTTTCTAAGGTTCTGTGGAACGTTGGTGTGTGTGGGCATTACGGAGGGGGATGAGGTGCCGATTCGGACTGTGAATCCAAATATGTTGATTAAGTTGCAGCTGACTGTCACGGCGTCTTCGGTCGGGAATCGGAAGGAGGCAATTGAGATTTTGAATTTGGTTGCGCGAGGGGTTGTCAAGCCGAGGTTTACGCTGCATAAGCCGGCGGAGCTTGGGGATATATTTGCAAGGTTGGAAAAAGGGGAGATATTAGGTCGAACGGTGCTTTCTTTGGATACGGAGAGTTGGAAGTAACTGTCACTGTGTCAGGACCAACGGCGGTCCAGTCTTCTAGAATATCTTTTAGTCGAATTTCTGATTGGATATAGGCTTCATTCCATTGGCATTCTCATAAGTGCTGGGAATTGCCATCATTATTGTGATTTAGCACTCTCTGATCTAGAAACCCCCCTACTCTGACCCTGGATAGACGTCCAACGGGGGATTAGCGATTAAACTGTATAAGTCAAAGGAATAGCCACCTGAGAAACAGTTCTTCTAGATGAAAAGTGACCGCTGTTGTCTGAATAAGGTACTAAAACAGACCCTGTAAATCCGGCCTTGATATTGTTTTCGATAAAAGTCGGATAGAATATGGGTTGAAACGCAATAAAGGGCTCGGGCTTCGTTATATAGCGAATATAGTACTTCATAAGCTCTTCGATCTAACGACTATATATCCGCTTTAGAATATTGAAATACCTAACATAAGTAGCTCGAGTAGATACGACGAGTACGGAGGCATGGAGATCGTGATATTATCGGTCTACGTTGACGACGGGCAGCAAATGCCGCAGGTTCAAGGTGTGATGATGATGGCAACGGACAACAAGATCCTCAACAAGACCTTACTATCCCGGGGGTGGAAAGAATATCAAATCGAGAGCCTTCTTGCTCCGATCGAACAAAAGTACCTCAACAGGCCCTAGAATTGTATCGCCGCAGCAGGCGAGCAATTGGAACAATGGCCTCAACAGACACAAGCAGATCTATTGGACAATGAAAGTACCTCAAAAGGCGAAAGGAGTCAATTAACTACTGGATAGGCCGCTTGATTTTTCCGTTAAGAGAGACTACCTACACAGGTCCTTAAATATCTTCAAGAACAAGCTTACATAATTCATCTGAAACCCGAAAATCAACACCCCAAAACCCTATCCCCAAGTGATACGTGACCCCATAGGAGGTTACCCTACAGCGATAGGTAAGATAGACAAGATAAGAGCTATAAAAGAGCTCTGCCAGGCCAGAATAGCTGACCTGGCCATCCTTTCCCAATACAACAATTCACACCCCATATGCACTCGCATCACCAAGTCATATACATATAGAAAGTTACGAATTCTACTAAAACATAACTCTCGTAGCATAAAGGCTATAGCCGGCCTAACTCCTATTATCCTAGGGCTATGCTCTACACTAAGCTCCCTAGCTAGGGGCTACCTAGATGAGAGCCTCCCTTCTGCTATGATGTAGCTTCCGCTTTCTTTCTTCTTCAACTTCTTTATTTTCATTACTAGAACCCCCCACCCTGCTGTCTGCTTTCTCTTAGCCGTACTAATTCTCGCTATGAGAATTATTGCTGAAAGCCGGGAGTGTTAGTAATAATAAGTAAGTTATATCGTAAGTGTGGGATTGAGTGTGAGGTCAAGGACAGTGTGGCTGAAATCGCCGAGCGATCCGATAATTGTCGGAGATTGAGCTCCTCAAAAGGGGCCAAACGCGCAACACTTAGCTCGGCAGATAGAAGTCAACAAAACACATCACTTGGAATTGACTTCCGTGTCAGCCCAATCGTAGTCACCTTCCCTGGCACCCAGCCGCACCTATCCTTACGTTGAGCGCCACGGTTATGCCCTATGCCGAAGGTGGTGTAGCGGCAATTGCAGTCTAGTGGGGTCAACCCCTTCCCCGTAGATAAAATAGCTACACACACAACAGACAGAACAGTAGCGAGATACAGCAATCAAGACAGGACCACCACAGAGTCATCAATAGAGGACTGAATCCCTCAGTAAGCATATTATTTAGTATCCTAACTTTATCCCCGTAAACCCCTACCCTATCACCTATATAACTTTAACCTAGTTCGACTACGCACTTATCATAGTGATGTACTATTTTCAGATATTCACGTATCTTCCGGTGTGACCTTGATGTAACGGTAATGTGACCGTTCGGTGTGTTCGATTGATTATTGTGTCCTGTGATCTGCTCTGTAGAGGGATCATCGGCGGGTAATCACGTGACTCCTGTTAGGTCCCGTGATTCAGTGTATCTAACAACTATCAACAAGGGTAGTTGTTGTGTTCCATGCCAAGCCTCGGCATTCTCAACCGCTAAAATTAGCGGCTAATGTGCCCCATCCTGCCCCACCCCCACACACACAACAGGGTTGTAGCCGCTGATTGGTGATTAATACGAGCAAACGGCACACTACCTGTAGAGCGTGTGCCATTCGAAGTGACTCTTCAGTGTGTTTCTTTCGACTATAGCTGTCTGTCGCGAACGACCATTGCTCCCTTTTCGGTGGATTATCAAAGTCGTCTCGCCGTCCTGTTGCCATTCATGTCGTTGCCATCAGCTGTCCAGCAGCACGAGCTTCAGCCTCAGCAGCTTGAGCCGCTAAGACCTGACAGCAAAGAAGTTGCTGCTGGGACAGTCAGTGCCAGAAGCCCCATGCGATGCGCCAAACGTACTGGCCTTGCGCAACATCAACAGTACCATGTCAAACCTCGACTTGAGTCGTGATGCAGACGAGCCTAGACCAAAAGTCTACCACATTGGCTGGAGGCTACATGCCTTGACTACAGGGCAGGTTCGCTTCTCATCGCCAGTCTTTGATTTGACCTTGGCCATTCTGTTCCAGGCTGGCTGACTGCTGTAAACCATGCAGCCCCTGCGTGAGCCTGCTGCTTTCGACTCTGAGACCACCATCGTGAACACCTCTCTCGTGTCCATCGTCAACGCTCTCGATGGCTTCAACCAGAGCGGCTGGGTCGTGACGGCCTGGAATTCGGGGTAGGAACTGATAGATGGGATTCCCATCATAGGGTTCCTCATCTTCTACGCTAAGTTTAGCGACATTCTCGGATGCAAACTCATGCTTCTCTGCGCGATAAGTCTATTCACAGTCCATCGCCTGCGGCCTCTCCAACTCTATGTTGCTCCTGTACGTGATTCTTCGACCCCCCTGACCCAAATCCCGTTTTCTGATAGTTGGACCTGTACACCAGAATCGTGTTCCGGGCCTTCCAGGGAACGGGTGGGTCAGGCATCTCGCCGTGTCGACGATCGTGGTACCCTTGATGGTTCCGCCCCAGAAATACGCAACATATATCGCCATCATCACGTCCGTGTTCGCCTTTTCTAGCGTTCTTGGTCTGCTTCTAGGTGGAGCAATCACCGACGCTACGACTTGCGATGGGTCTTCTTTCTCAAGTCAGTTGCACCCATGAGGCACATGCCATGGTAACCAGTAATGTCAACTGATTCTCCTTGACCACAGTGGGCCGGGCGGAGCACTCGCGGCTATCCTGGTGGCTTTTTCAATACCCTTTAGTTTTCCCTATGGGGAATCGACTCGTTTCTTCCGCTCTATGATATCGGAGCGAGCATGGAAGCGCATTGATTTTCTCGGCGCGTTCATGTCTTTGGCTGCCTCCATCCTCCTCGTATTTGCATTACAACAGGGCAGTATGGTCTAGTCCTGGAACAGCGGTGCCATCGTTGCCGTCTTTGTCATATCAGCAGTTTGATGGTTGGCTTTTGTCGCATGAGAGAGACAGCTTTCCACATGGAATGTCGTCTGCGAGCCCATCTTCCCATGGAGACTTGCCCGTAACAGATTTGTCTTGGTCTTACTTTTGTAAGTGGACCTGCACCTTCGTTTGGATAAGCTGAGGTAGCTCGCTGCCCCTCCTGACCCACTAATCATGGTTTTCAATAGCAACGGAGTCCTAACGGGGTTTCCCTTTATGGCTGCCATCATCAACATCCCTCAGAGGCTGCAGACGGTCAACTCCATGACCGCCATCGGCGCTGGCATTCGCTTGCTGCCTCTCCTCCTCTCTCCTGTCGCAAGTGCTGTCTCTGGGCTTCTCATGACGAGGTTGAAAGTTCTCCCCCTTTATCTGCTCATTATCGGAGGCTGTCTCCAGGCGATAGATGTCGTCCTGTTTAGTTCTCTCGACTCGACCAATCTTGAAATCCAGTCGGCTCAATACGGCTATCAGGTCCTTATGGGATTCGGCTTCGGCTTCAGTCTCAGCACCATCTTGATGATGGCACCCTTGGTCGTGCAGCAGAAGGACATGGGTAAGTGAATTCCGGTTTGCATCTTACCTGAATGAATGAATAATTGACGTCAGACCAGCCGTTGGCATGGGCTCCGTCACGCAGATCCGCATCCTCGGGGGAACAATTGGGTTTGCGATATGCTCCGCGCTTTTGAATAACCACATCAAGGCCGAAGCATCTGGATTTCTCACAGTGGAGCAGGTCGCAGCTTTGCTAGAGTCGTTTCAGGTGGTCAAGCTGCTGCCATCGGAGGTGCAACTTGAGGCCTGAAGTGTGTATGTGACGGGCTACAGCCAGCAGATGAGGGCGATGCTGTACTTTTTTATCGTGTCTTTGTTTTCTCTGTTGCTCCTTGCAGAGAAGAGGCCGAGACAGTTAAAGACAACGCATAATAGGGAACCCACTGCTCCTACTGAATAGGCGTGGGCTTGAACACACCATGGGCGTTCAACATGATTGTAACAGGGAGAGAACTTGAATTCGAAGTTTTATAAAATAGACAGCTTTACCTCACCCAGCAACTCGGAGCATTGCCCTCAAGTTGGACATCATACCCAAGATTGAAATGCAGTTTACATCAAGTTGTATCACCCACCCAACTCCTCTACTCACTGAGCATGAACAGCCAAATGCAGCACATCCTTTACAGCAGCCACCATCCCCGCCACCGCACTCCCCTCCCTCAGCACATCATGCCCACCAGCATACGAAAAGGCCCTTGTTCTCCTCGGCTCGCAAAGCCCATCCAACGCAATACTCGCCCCTAAAGAATCGTCTGTCTCACCCACCACATGCGCAGTAGCACATGAATGACCACCACCACAACGCCATTGCCGTCCAGCAACACCGGTTCCCTGCGCCCGAGAGCAGCAGGGTCGTACAGCGAGCCGGCACAAAGACAGCACACTGGAATAGAGGGTGGAAGCGATAAGTACTTAACATCGGCTGAATAGCATAAGCGTGGTGCGACTGGGATATTTGCGTTAGGATATTTCGGCAGAATCCACTCTATGGAAGTACTTCAACCTCGTCTACCTAGTCTTTTCTTCCCTCTCCATTTTTGTCAGCTTTGACGCCGGTCTTCTCGATACCTTCTCCAAGTAGATAAGTGGAGGTTTCCTTCGGGGTCGCCTCCTTATCCTTATTCTATTTGGCATACAAGTCCGTCGGAAGCATCGGTTCCATATCAGCCTTCTTGACCACCAGCCTATCCGCCAGGCTATCACAGCGAATAATAGCACTTCCGCCGCCGAACCTCTTCACCACATTGAGGATAATCTTGATCAGCGCGGCCAACTTCTTCAGGTTGGTCTGATTGCTCTGTTCCCATGCTCTAATCTCCACGGTGACATCGTGCACCTGGGGCTGCAGGAACAGCCCATTCCTGTGATAGGTTCTCACGGGCTTCAGCGTCTGTGACGCCCATAGCTGGGAGGTGGGAAGGTACGGCCAAGCGTAGGGCTACAAAACCCCGCTTCAAACCAGAAGTAACCATCATAAAGAAAAAAAACATCTTTTTTTGGCCTTCATATAAATCTGGTGCTCAGTATGAGGCGAAATATCATTAGCCTTCTAAGGCATTGTCACTTATTCAACCCACTCGTTTTGTCAATTTAGGACCTCACTATCGTTATTTACAGCATGATTCTACAGTGGAGGGTCGTTGCTTTCGACCTCAGATCCCTCAAGCCGGCGCTCTATACCACCGTCACGTCAGGCCAATACCTAGAGGCAAATACCTCAGCCCTTCTCCACCTCACTCAGAATACGTCATGTCGACAGTCACATTGAAGAAGCACTTTGGAGACTAGGCGGGAACTCTCGTAGGCTATGGATAGCCTAGGGCCGTGGTAATTGTGAGCCCGGCATCAGGGAGGTGGAGTCACCTGCTGTGTACGTTGTGGATGAAGGACTCGGAAGATAAGCTGTCAGGATGAGATATCTAGAGGTGAAGAGATCGGAAGCGTGAGGATGAGATTTACCACAAGGTTCTTAGTAAAATGACCGAGGGCGGTCATTATGTGGAAAGGACTAGGTGGGAAGGTATGGCCAAGTACAGGGCTACAAAACCAGAAGTAACCATCATAGAAGAAGAAAAAAAACATCCTTTTTTGGCCTTCATATAAATCTCTGGGGTGCGACGTCCGAGATGCTAAGGGTTTGTGCGCAACTCGCGTTTTAATCTCGAGTGTGGATTCAATCGGCACGTCGTGACCCTGTTCTCGAATCACCAGTCTGGAACCAGTGTGCTTGTGGGTGGCCTTGATAGGAAGATCGGACTCGCCGGTCGTGGATAGAGACAAAGAACCCAAAATGCTAGAGAGATCATCGTCTGTATCCAGCCCTTTTCTGCCTAATGGCTTTTCCGCACGATCCATATCTACGTATCCGTCTACTTCATGGCGAACGATGAAGCTCAGGCCGCCGAAGCGGTATGAGACGATCCGGTGGTGGCCGGTATTGCCGCTAATAGCGGAAGTCGTGTAGGCCTTCTCGAACTCGTGGCCAAAGCCCTTGAACTCATACGGTGCGATGATTTCCTTAGTCTTTGTCTCGGTCCGGCAGAAGATCACGGTGCTGCCTGATACCTCGACGTTGATGGTGAATGCTTCGAGCCCATTTCGGCTTGACGAGGAATCCACAAACGAGAGCAGTTTGCGGAGATTGTTCCGGTCGCTTACGAGATCGATAGCGCCGATGTCAAATTTCGGCTCCACGATGTACAGCGCACGGAATCCTTGGGAAGCCGCCGGGCAACCGCAGGAGGGCACCACTTTGGCGGGATGCCTGGCACAGCAATAGTGGGTGTGGATGATTCAATCCAGCTGTAGGATGCCAAGTGTTTAACGTCGGTAATCGTTGCCGTTGGGCCATCGTCTTTGAGATCACGTCGAGATATCGTCGCCATGATGTTTGAAGCCATAATGGTGTCAGACTGGCAGGATAGTACCACAAGAGTGCTGACGACGTGTTCTTACTTGGTAGAAATAAGGAAAGAGGTGGTGGAAGAGTAGATAGAGTGACAGGGCGACCCAGGTTCGTATGATCATTCAAGTGCTGAACTTTTCAGCTTTCCGCTCTGAACGCAAACGCAAATACTGCTGCACATGACGCAGTTTCGTAACACGACTGCAGGCTCCAAGCCAATGGGTTTCGCCGCTATCATATCCGCGCATATTACAAACGGCTTGAACTCTTGGATACCCAGCTTATGGCCTGAAATGATATAGGATAATAGCGGCCTGCAGACTCCTATTCAGGCGACCCCGAGCCCGGAGACGACGAAGATCTGCAACGCCAAGCCAGACAGCTGCCCTTTCTTTATGATCATTTTCCTGGCAAAGGCCTTGTGCACTATGAAATGTATACCGGAACACCAAATCAGACGGGTTTTTTGATCCCCATACCAAACGATTCAATGTCACATTCCGGTGCAAGCTCCCTGACGGAAAGTCCCTTCGTTTGAGATGCCATTGCAAACGCCTACTTACTAGGAAACAGCCCGTTGATTTGCATTATCGGGATCCTACCCGTCGTCGCTTCAGAGCCGACGATTTGACCACCGCAAACGCGGCTACCGCGAGACGGATATCGTCCAGTACACAAATATGGTACACCATCAGTGACAACGTATTTTCAGCTTCTGAGGCCTGATGCCTGTCGCCTGCCGCCTGTCTCAGGATCCTGCACCCTTTATATCCCTGTTTTGACAAGTGCCTCTACCAGCTGTTTCCTCAAGTTACCCGAAGTGTAGAGTTCACAGATGGGGTCTCCTACGTGTGGATCAGCCGGTTGGAGAGAACTTCTAAAGCACAAGCAGCATCTCTTCGACCTAGCCTTCATTAATGAAGCCGGAAAGTGCGGTGAGAAACAGAGGGCTGTCGGCCATGGGGTATTTGTGAGCAGCTAGGTCCTAGAACTATAAGGCTACTTCTTAAATACAATATTTAGTGAACTGTGTACTTTTGCGGACTTATACTAATACTCTATAGTGGTTGAAATTCTAGTGCTTAGGCGGAAATACAGCGATGTGTGGAGTCTTGCTTTGCACACAGCAGGGCTGAAAGACAACTCAGAATGGTCAACATTGGTTCAGGGCCTGATTGGAGGACTCATGACTGCCAAAAGTGCAAATATGTAGCAACAATATTTGCACATCGTCTCGATGGTGTCATCAGTTGGCAGCTGAGTACCAAAACATTGATAACCAAGCTGAGATAGCGGTATATAGGCATATTGAAGGGTTGCTAAAACCAATAAGTGCAACAGACTTGCATTGTCTATGTGCGCATACCTGTGGTCTGTTCCGACCGAATTTGCCAGATTAGATTTCACCCTGCTTCAGTCTCTTCTCGACTGCACTATATGCACTAAATGAGCCGCAAGGAACGAATCGTGTGTTCTCATTTTGAGAAGCGTAGAGCTGTCTTGTAGTGGACATGATCATGCTATGCCTTCCTAGCCGAGGCCAAACTCAGTCCTGATGCAGCAGGGTTGCGTCCTCGGCTCCTTCTCGATAGCTCTATGCAAAAACATGCCCGCCTGAGCCCAGGCTGGTTCAGCTGCGCATTATTTTGCAACAGCCAATCTGGAAATGTTGATCTGCTATCGAGCTGACGGTAATCATGAATATGTGGGACGCTATCGGTCAATCTAATTTTAGAATCTCCAGTGCATTCATCGCTTGTCTAGTTCCTGTCCCTGATCACGAAGGTACCACCTAGCTCCACCCTTAAATTTCGTCGCTGATCCTTTCAGCCTTCACCTCTTGCGAACCAAACGCAATGCTCCCCTGTCTAGCGAATTATTAGCCCTAGAACTGGTGCATCAATGCAGCATGGCTTCGTTGAGCTTGCTGGTGCTGGGGAGATTTGGGAAGGATGCGAAGGATGCGAAGGAACCGAAAAAGTGCCTCTAGTGCGGAAACCGTGTTCTATCTCGGTCTTTGGCCATGATGCTATCTGGTGGGTAACGCAGTGGCACCTTCATCGCGATCAACATATACTCGGTCGTCGCCGCCGTCAGCGGCTGACTACAAGCCAGCACTCCTGTGGCCTCTCCAAACAGAAAAAGGGTCAAGACCTGTCTCAAATTAGGGATAAGAAGGCCCATTCTGTTCCCCGTACTCTGCCCGCATTTCCTGCATCTAGCCAGCAGCGGCACGTCAACAATACCGACGATCTACCCGTTGCATGTCCAAGAGCAAGATGATCGCCCTGGTCCTCGCCCTCCTGGCTGGCCAAGCCCTCGCCATGCCGCGCCTGAAGCCGCATCAATCCTCAGCGCAAGCTTTCTGTTCCTCCTCGGACGGTGTATATAAGCTCAGCACCTTCGACGCGCCCGTATCCGGCACGGGCACTCCAGGCAATGCACCGACGTGGAAATTGACCGTCGACGACACCTCGTCGGGGTACAAGCAAAAGGTCACCGGGTTTGGCGCTGCTGTCACCGACGCCACTGTCTCCCTCATCAGTGCGCTCTCTGCCGACGTCAAGGCCAAGCTGCTTCGGGAGCTGATGACTTCGGATGGTGTGGACTTCAGCCTGTTGCGACATACCATTGCGTCGTCGGATTTGTCGGGGCCGCCGGCGTACAGTTATGATGATAATTCAGGGAATGCCGACACGACATTGGCTGGTTTCGATCTTGGGGACAGGGGCAATTCTATGGCAGACTTGTTGGCCGATATGAAGGCCCTCAAGGCCGATTTGACCATCCTGGGATCCGTGTGGGCCCCCCCAGCGTGGATGCAGTTGGATAATGCGCTGACGGGAACAACGGTCAATGTCAGACTTTCCCTTATCGCAAGTGAGGTTGTCTGGTTCGTGCAATTGATATCTAACTCTGAATACACAGAACAACCTGGACCATGACTATGTCGACGCGTATGCGCAGTACTTTGTCAAGTACATCAAGGCATACACGGCCAAGGGAGCCCCGATCAATGCCATCACTATCCAGAACGAGCCCTTGAACAGCCAATCGGGTTATCCAACCATGTACATCTATGCAGACGAGTCTGGTTCGCTCATCAAAGACAACGTTGGGCCTGCGTTGAAGGCAGCTGGTCTTAAAACTGAAGTCTGGGCGTACGACCACAACACCGGTAAGTCTTCCACAAGCCCCAGATTCTCCTGGGAGATGCTGACTATTCAAGATGTCCCCTCGTACCCCCAGACCGTGATTGACACGGCTTCCGAATACGTCAACACCGTCGCGTGGCATGTAAGTCTTTCCCTGCATATGTGCATCCTCGACGAGACCAAGACCACTAACCAATGGCTCCATGTCTCCAGTGCTATGCATCTAACAATAACTGGACCGTCTTAACCGACTTCCACACCGCCAACCCCAGCGTACGTCAATACCAAACCGAATGTTGGACCTCGTCCACCACCTCCTGGGACCAAGCCTCGGGCTTCACCATCGGCCCACTCCAAAACTGGGCCCAAGGCTCCCTAGCCTGGACTCTCGGCTCCGACACCTCCTTCGGCCCACACCTCGACGGCGGCTGCGAAACCTGCCGTGGCCTGGTCGTCGTCGATACCTCTGCCGGCACGTACGAGTTCCAGGTCGATTATTACATGATGGGGCAGTACTCCAAGTTCATCCCGAGGGGTGCGATGATTTTGCACGGGAGCGGGAGTTATACGTATGAGGACGGGTCGGGCATCCAGTCGGTGGCGAGCGTGAATCCTGATGGAACCAGGACGGTGGTTATTGAGAACAAGTTTGGGAATGACGTGTATGTTACGGTCAAGATGAAGAGTGGGGAGACTTGGAGTGGGAGGGTTCATGCGAGTAGTGTTGTGACTTGGATATTGCCGTAGATTATCGGATGCGGTCTCCGTCTCGGCTTCTGGTATATAGTTCAAGCAAGGTGCTGGATCATCGTCTGCCAATTCGTATTGGCAGCCCTAGACAACCGGCCAAGGTGATATCGTGGAAGTTGCGTGCGGTTCCGTCTGACGTGCTGAATTTCCGCAGATATTGGCAGACTTGTAACCGCAGTGTTGATTTCCTCGGATTGCTTCAAACATGACTTCACTAAGCCATCCTAGCATCCCCTTCACCGCATTTTCTCCAGCTTAATCATGTGAAGCCAACACCTCGGAGAAAACCCGACTAGCCCCCCTCTTCAGCCCGCCTTCCACCGGCGTCGGCTGTGCCTCACCGAGATTCTCTGGGAGTGTTAGCTCCCTCGGTTGTCTCTGCCCCTGCTTTTCTACATCCGTGCCGCCCAGCGTCTCGATGCACGGTTTTTGTATCTGCGACGGTGAGACAAGGTGCGGGGCGTCGTGCCCGACGAGTTTGGCGAGTAGCGGGCGTAGGACGGGGATGCAGGAGGCGATTATTACGGTGCTGCCTTCGATGCTGGGAGTATTTAGATGCGGAAAGGAGTAGGTGATTGCTTAACAGGGAAGGTACGGGACAGAGGAGGTGAGCTGACGTACCATGTACAAATGACGAGGTCGGATGTGCCATCTAAATACTGTTTAGTCACTTGTACCGCTATTTGGCGTATGCAATGTTCTGCTGGCTTAGGGCATACAGCATATCACTCACACGTAAAGTCGGCACTCATTATAGAAGGGAGGCGGGTCGTCTTGTAAGTGGCCATGATAGCCGAGCTTTTGTCCGGTTAGCCATAAATCCGGCACAAGATGAAAGGGAGGGGAAGGTCAATTACACGAAGCCAACGCCAAGCGCAAAGCTGAGTACAATCTTCTTCTTCCGGTTGATTTGCAGGCGGTACAGTACCACAGTCGGATAGACGGCGAGGTACAAGTCGACGAAGGCGGATATAGCTAGATGTGGTTTATGTCAGCTCGAAACAAGTGTGGACTACTTCCATATAAGCGCTCCTACATCCGCCGCACCGCCATTCCGAAGGCCAAGAATTAAGGCAAAGAAAAGGGGGAAACCATACCACCAGCCATAATCGAATAATTCACCACAATCCTCATATCCATGCACGTCCCCGCCACCTCCTTATCCCAACCCCTGCTCACTGGCGAACACCGAGCATAAATCAAGACGACGCAGCCCACGAGGCTGATGCAGGAGACTATCCCCAGCGACCAGAGCAAAACTCGGTGTGGCCGACTCGGACACATAATGCGGCACAGCAACGACGCGACAGCCAACTTTGGGATCCCGGACGAAAAGATGCCCGGGCAGAAACTGGCGATGGTCCAGAAGATGGCCGGGCTGCGGTCTTCGGGCGGGATGCTGGCCAGGTGTAGGCCGTTGCCGTAGTGCACGGCGACGATGCCGAAGGCGGTTGAGGTCCAGCCGAGGAGCTGTGCATTGGTTAGAAGATGACGATTGCCGTAGTAGCACGGGGAGGGTCAGAAGACGAACCAGAGATAATACGATCAAATAGTCTTCGAGGTGCAACTGTTTCTGGATGCGCGTCTTGCTGTAGAGTCGCGCGATGACGAACAGCGTGGCTACGAAGAGAATGGAGGATATCGACGCTATCACCGCAGGACCTTGGTTCTGTTCCGCTACGCCAGGTGGAAGGCTGTTTGCGTCCATCTTGAAGTTGGATATCCAAATCTTTGGGGTGCAAGTGTGGACAACAATGGCTACACGGCTAATAAGTGGAACTGTGGTTGTCGTAATTCGTTCACGATGTCGATCGGTAGTAAATACATGACATACGATATCCTCGCTGCTATATATAAATACCAATTCTCGACGAACACGAAGATATGTTGAATGTTGGAAAACTTGAAAATGGAAACACGGTTCGTGCCGTGGGTGGACAATAGGGCCGAAGAATGACTCGGCTACTGTGCCGGCTCAACATCAGATGAGACGGTATGCTATTGTAAACCTGCGTGTACATTCCTCTATAGGATAATGAGCCGGTCTCACACGGGAAGTCTATCTACTTAGAGCAGTTCAGTTTCTCGCCAATATGTCATGGCTTATCATGACAGTGTCTCGCTACGTCACCTTCATGGAGCATGATCCGAAGGAAAGGGGAAGGCGATTGGGAGGCTGTCGGAAGGCGGTTGCAACATGTTATGCAATGTATTTGACAGGAAGGATGCGAGGAAGCACATCATAGTTCCGGCATGGAAACGCTGACATGTCTTTAACAAGTTATCGATGTGCTCTGCCATCTTTCAGGGATAGGTCTAAGGCGTCAGTCACGTATATACTGGTCACATTTGCAGTAGCAAAATCTATCCAACTAATTAACTATCTCATCGCATTCACGTCCGTCATAGTTTTTACGCATACGAATCACACCTCTTCAATGCACCTCAGACGACTACATAACCATAACCGACGGGGCGTCCCGCCTACCACTTCTTGGGCATATGCGCAAGCGGATATATACTTTCCCCCACAGGGAGCACGGCATGATTCAAGCAAAATTGCCAAGTGGGATTTATTCGTCCTCATCATTAAAGCCCCCATTGACATGAATATGCCCTTCGGGTATTTCACTTGACCATCCGCGGTTGGTTTCCCGCTTCCGGCTGACAGCGAGGTTTATCCCAACAATCAGCCGATGTAGATCAAACGGTCGTCTTGTGCGGCAATGGGCGGATGTTTTGTTTCACGCAAACCTTGTTCTTGCCTGCTGCGCCTAGATGACCGGACCGCGACGATCGATCGGATAATTATCCGAAGGGGCGGAAGTGTAGAGCTTACTAGATCCGGGAACATCAAGTCTAGGTCATCTTACTATCTCGATCATATTCAACATCTCGCAGGGGGTAGGGCAAAAAGAAAGAAAGTAGCTTTCATGGGTTCGCTGCGACCGCTAACTAACGGACCAAACTTTGAAGCCGTGATGTGGGTGTAAATATAAGCTATGTACCAGAGATCAACTTCTCGAATTCACAGCTCCTAGGTACCCAGAACAGCATTCATGTACTCAGCTGGAGTTCGGATGTGTACTTCAATATACAGAAGTACTGCGCGAATAAGCCAAATAGAGCCAGCTGCCTCGAGCTAAACCGCCTTCCTCGTTGCACAGTGGCAACACCCTGCGGAGATAAGCGAACAAAATACACATAGAAGCAAGAAACGCAGTAAGCAGGCACACTGCAGGTCTTCTGACAAGTCGTATATCATAATGCCATTGCACATAATTACAAAACTATATGTGTTCAAAAAAAACGCTGGTGATGTCGTTACTGCAGACACCAGAACCATAGTGGTACAACCCCGGCCTCCCAACCCGACACCATAATTATACACTCAAGACCGCCGTAGTACCACCAATTCCTCTCTACAATTCCTTCTCAGCCTCGCCCTCATTGTCCACATCCTCCTCCACCTCCCAATCCCTCCAATCACCCCCCGTCACAAACCCGACTCCCTTTCTCCAACTCGACTCCTTAATCGCCCTCGCGTCCCTCTCATATACGATGCCGGTAAGCGCTATCGCCAGTACAAAAACCCACACATCTCCGCCCTTCATGGCCCTCCACCACCTCCTCTTGACCCCCACTTTCCATAAACTATCTACACTCGTCCGGGCACTATACAAGAACACACCCCTGCCATTTTCCTTTTCCACAAAACCCCACAACCCCGCCAGGAACCCACCCAAGAAGAAGCGCTGCGTAGGCAAGAATGTTCGCGGGAGGTATGACTGAAAGAGGCAGATGGAGGTCCAGGCGGTGCTGATGGAGCCCGTGACGAAAGTGGAGAGGCGGAGGGTGCGGGCGAGGAGTTTGTTAATTACGGCCCAGGGGGCGTTATAGAGGGCTTTGTATTTGGGGAGAAGGAGGAGGGAGTAGAAGACAAGGAAAAAGCGGCCGAGGCGTGGGAAGGAGCGGACCCAGAAGGTAAGGTAGGTTCGGAGGCAGGAGGGGTCGGAGGGGTGCAGGGTGGCGCAGGAGAGGGAGGTTAGGAGTGGGTGCGCTTGTGAGGTTAGGGGGCCGAGGGAAGCAAGTGATTGGGGGAGGGTCTGTTGGTTTGGGAAGAGGGTTGGAGAGACGTAAGGTCTGTTGATGTCGTCAGTCAACATATTCCAGAGCAATGCCATCCACGATGGGGAAATACGTACGGCCAATTAAGCTTCGCCATGGTCGCCAGACTGTCTGCAACGTCCCAAGCAACCGGCCATTTCATACCTGCTGGCAGGTTGTTCGGCGGACTGTGTAGGTAGGTGCTGGTGCTCTTCCAGATAAAGTCCACGTACGATACGGGCGAGCACTCACGATCAAACACTACCGCGTGTAAAAGCTGACCGAACGCGAAAGGCTGCAGCATCCAGCTGCCCCACCACCGTGGCCTCTCGCGCTTCATCAGCCCTCCTTTCAGACCCGGCCGCATCTTCCAACCCCAGATGGCGCCCTCTTCTTCTAGCATGTTCCACGCGAACTCGAGGGACCGGAAGAGTGAGTAGATGGCGATGGATACGCGTAGTTGGCGCGAAGGGTAGATGCCCAATGCCAAACCGGCAAGCGATGCGCCAACGGCTGGCGCATACGGTGACGTCAGCGTCTGGCTTGTCCGCGGGTTGCGTGCTCGGAAGGGCTCGGCTTGCGGGTCGAGGAGATGGGTTCGAAGGCGGGAGAGAAAGCGGAAGAGAAGTCGGTAGAGCAGTAGGATGGTCGATAGAGAAACGGAGAGTCGCAAGGTTGAAGATTTATAAAACGGCTCTTTCTTGTTCTTGTTGGGTACGCTGTCCAGTGTGAGTGTCGGACCTTGAAATTGAGACTAGCTTGTTTACCTTGCTTGGCCTTTCAATCGTGCCATGATGATCTCGTATGCCTTGGTGCCAAGCCCTGTAGCAATGAAGACGCGAAGCGCATGTCGGATCGCGCGGGCATTGTACGTGTCGCCGCCACTTCCGGCACTACCGACCGCCTCGTTCCCCTTGCCTGTCCCCTTACTGGTATCGCCATCTCTGCCGTCCATGTACTTTTGCATAGCATTGATGCTTGGGGCCCTCCTCCTCAGAACGCGCGACCGCGACAGGACGTATTTGTGTAGAACTTCATATTCGCGGGCAGAGATGGTGTAGCGCAGCGCGATTCGCAGAATCGGGTCTGCGGCTCTCGGCCGTGATATCGGTGCTGGCTTGGATACAGGCGACTCGATAGGAGGCGGTTTCGAGGAACCGGCTTGAGTAGCCATGGTCGCAGGTCGGGTTGTCCGCCGTCCCTCACTCAATTTAGGTACAAGACAACGTGCTTAGTCGTCGCTGGATTGGATGACGGCGAATATACAGAGGCGGCCAGCAGGTCAAGAATGAATGACAGTCGAGCTGGATTCGCCGTGTAACCTAACTTGAAGCTTTATGGGTAGCTGAATCATGCCCGATCGGACCATAGGGTATCTCGGCGCAGAGCCTGCATGGACAGGTGGTGATCAGGCGACTCTGTCGCGTGTCGTTGGGATATGCAGGTACTGTGCGGTAAATTTGCAAAGGCTGAAGTGAAGGTAAACATTGGAGCATCGCACGGCGTATTGCAGTCGCGTTTGGCATGAAGTTGTAATTTATGACAAGAGCCGAGGCCAATCTCACATGCTAATCCCGCCTTCGGTGCCATCGGTGCCCGCTAACTGTAGCGTCTGGGGTTGGATAAGATTAGCGATGAGCCATGGTGGGGTAAACTGGTTCCACCTCCGAAATTCGTCATCATTTTGCTCGTCACTAGATTCAACGTCGTTCTTCTATTTCGTAAAACGAATGACGCCCAGCTCGTGAGGAACAAATGCTTTCAAGCCAGATATCTAAAGAAGCGTACAATAGCCGCTCACCAATTGTGCCAGGACATAACGATATCTCTACCTAATCCAATATCCGTTAAGGGCTTGCGAGTCGAATCCACGAGCGACGACATGATGGACTCGGCAACATTTTCTAGTAATGCAAATCAATATTTAGCAGTCGAATTAGGCCGTCTGCGCATTATCCAGCTTCAACTTTGTCTTCCCATGCCACACCTCCATCCTCAGACTTTCTCCGTCTCCCTTTGATCTTCCGGTCTTTATTTCCTCTTCTACCAGGCTGATCATTTCGTCGCCTCTGCTGCCTCTGCTGAGTCTGCTGAAGAACACGGCTGCTAAGAAGAACGACTACCACACTGGAATTCGTTCCCTTCTGGTAGTCCATGTCGTGGCCACCACGAGTAAGAAACTCAAACCTCCAGGACCAACGGTAAAGCGAGCCACTCGTATCTGAACAGCACATATGCACCCCATTTGTACGCGAAGTCCTGCGATGACTCTACAAGCTGTACCCCGAGTCACTTTTGTTATTGCCAGCCGGCCTAATACTATTTGTGATGCATACCGTAAACTGGTCAGCACACCTGGGAACCCGTTGGCATCCAAGCAATCATCAGCATCATCGACACCAACGTTCACATTTTCTGAAGAGGTCTGGAGAGAGGTACGGCCCAACGACATAACCCCATGTCTCAAATGACCGGTGAAGACTGCTTTACGTTATCAAACTGCAACGCATAGTAATATTTGGATGTGTTCCCCAGCCAGTTCGCCATTGCTGTCGCATCATCAGAGTAGACGAGGAAATAGTTGAGCTCGCCGCGTCCGAGACACGAAGGATGATGGCGATGTTGTGAATCATGGCGTTTATACCATTAGCCACCTTGGTCTATTCCTCGTCCGGCGCGAAGGTGTGGACAAGCCGCTACCGGAAATCCCCCAACGAAACAGGTGCTTCGGACATCTAGACGCAGAAGTACATGGCGCATTTCGATTCCTGGTACAAATTGGTAGCTTTGGTCCAGCTTGTGTTGGAATATTACTGACAACCTCATAGCCACTAAAGTGGTATTGGCCAGGTCGAGTGTATACAGGGGGTTGTCGCGCGTCATGTTGATTCCTTCGTCTCCTCTGAAGGTGAGTCCGTTGGGCAAGGAAAACATTCGTCTCCGAGTCAACCTCCAGTCGTGAAGTCATGTCGACGCACCTGCTACACATGGCCAAGGATGAGTATCCGTTGAATGTGCAGTTGGCAGTGCTGCACTGGACAGACAACGCCGAAGGCGAGTCTGCCATGTCGCCATAATGAATTGTGTCGAACCCAGCACCTTTCAATCTCCGCGAAATAGTTGACGTGGCCAGAGTCCGAGTTTCCCTTGATTGTGAGATGTTCCAATACCGTGTTTGATAAACATACGCCGTGGAATAAACCATCGTACGATAGTTGTACATTACGGCCTGCTGCACAAACGGTCTTGTCAAAATGCCCCGTGGGGCAGAATTCCCATGTTTCTTCCCTAGAGACATCTTGGGGGATTACTCGAGACAAAATAATATGTGTCTTCGAACGCATGAGACTGATTGCCGGAGTATCCATGGTGGAAGGCTATGGGAGTGCGGTAATTAGGTCGAATATGACACCACGCGAGATGCGAATAATGGAACTCGACACAGCCAGCTTTCACTTTATAGCTGAGTGGCCTCAACCAGTTTGTGCAACTGTAACACGCAGGCAGCGAATCAAAGAGTAGCTCGTTATGCCAGCAGCAGTGCCACGCTATCTTTACACGGCGCGACTAACATCAAAATGTGTAAGAGAGCCTTGCGACCTGCAAGTCCAATATTCCAAAGAGAAAAATAAGAAAAATAAAAATGATTGGTTGGCGGTGTTTTTAGTGCACTCATCCATGGCATATAACCCTCCCGCTTTGGCTTGAATATGACGGTGCAAGAATATGACTACTCGCTGGATTGATCCATATTATTTAGCCTCGACACCTGAGGCGCATGTTGTGGGAGGTACATCGCTGAAGGCCTCTCGGAGGCGTCTCGACATAGTTGGCTCATCATCCGTCAGAGTAAGAGGAAACAGACCTATAGACCACAAGAAGTGGAAGAGAGACATTGCAACAAACCCAGGCTGGCAGACCGAATGCGCCGAGAACTTCAACATCCATCTCTGAGCGCATAGCCCAAGCCTCCGGTCATCATGATCGATGGTGAATGGACTAAGCTCCCCTCATACTGCCCTCTTACCGGAAGTCCTGTCGACGTTTCCCGAAAATCCGTGGCTTCGCTGCAAGACATAAAGCTCTTGGGACCATTTTGCTAGGTGGGGGATTGCTTGCACGGCTGTGATGCCGGTACCAATGATGCCCACTTTCTTTTCAGCTAAGGAAGTGAAGTCTGGCTGCTCTGGGGAGCCACCGGTTATGTTGTAGTCCCAGCGACATTTGGAAGGCATAAGCCTGAAGGGTTTGCAAGCTGCCGAGGTGGGGAAGTTTGGGGAAGTTTCCAATACCGTGGGCTATCAGGACAGATTTCGCCCTGGCGGAAAGACAAAAATGTGTAACTTGATGCCCTTCTTGGTGCAGTTCCGCGATCTCGTGCATGTTGGCTGCTGGTACTTATTGTGGGCAGAAGTGGCACAGTATTCGGCCCATGCACGTGACAAGTGGCGTAACTACCTAGATAGGTAGAGCTTATGTGTATCCTGGTTGATCTGACCTCACAGGACTCAAGTCACGAATATCAGGATTGATTTCGTGCCAAGTCAGTTGTGTGGTTCAGATCTCTTTTGATGGTGTTTTTTCTAGAAAGCTCAGCTATTTCCGAAGCTACGAAATGTTGCTTAAGAGCAACGATGTAGCCAATCAGATCCTCTGATTTGGATCCACACTTATAGACAATCTACGATGGCTTTCTAATCAAGTACAAGTTGGGCCGTTTTTGCCCAAAATTATGTCACAAGAACGGATGAGGTTGCATTACCATTCGTTTCCACCATCATCCCAAGTCACTATCGACATGAGGACCAAACAGCGATTTAGCATCCAACTTGTGTTGCTGCGCAGTTCCCTCAATTGTTGACCAAACGAATATTCATATTTGGGCATCTCCTCCAAAAGTGGCATATAGATGTAGCTCTTTACATCACATGGCAAGCCCGTGTATCGGTTCTAGTACCAGGTCCCTCGAAACACCATTGCCACATCTACGATGTGAATATCCACGTCTAACCTGTTCTTGATCAAATTGATTGCAAAGAGAGTCTCATCGTAGCCTGCCCCGATAATGAGGAAGTTGCGAGAAACTCCATTTTTCAGGGCAGATCATTGCGATCGTGGAGGGTTAGAAGGTACCCGACAACGTCTTGGAAGTGCTTGATCCTGTCAGGGGCAGATAGGTCGACTACTGACGACGGGTAGTGAATGCCCGAAGGTTGAAGGTGTGTGTTGCAGGATCACGTGTTGAATGATCACGTGACCTGAGTGCATTACAGCTATATCTCTGCGAAAGATGCATCGCGAGAAAACACTTACTTTTTCAATCAAATATATATTTCGATTTAACACCTTTTCTGCAACAGTGTGATGATGATGGCAACGGACAACAAGATCCTCAACAAGACCTACTATCCGGGAGATGGAAAGAATAACAAAATCGAAGCCTTCTTGCTCCGATCAGAACGATAAGCACCCCCAACAGGTACTAACAACTGGTGCCTCAGCAGGCGAAAAGAGTCAATTGACTACAGACTTGGGCCGCTTATCCTTTTCGTCAAGAAAGTGACTCTCTACACAGATCCTTAAATGCCGTCAAGAACACGCTTACATAATTCGTCTGAAAACTGAAAAACAACACCCAAAAGCCCTATCCCTAAGTCATTATGTACTGCTTGAGTCCATCTCGATGGTACCTCTGGTTCGTTCTTCCGCGTATTTCTTGTGTGCTGATGTTGAAATTGGGTTGTTGCGGTCTGGAGACTTGATTACGTGTCTTACCGTCGTATCGTAGACCTTGGAGTGGTGGTCATGGGATAGTTCATAGCTTGGCAAGACGAGATGACAGGCGGCTAAGCGGCACGTACAGACGCAGATCGTCATGCCCAATTCGGCAGGTCAATGGAAATAGTTACCTAGGTCTGGCTTATACAATTCAAGTCCGACTTCGGCTCCTTGGCAATATTCCACACCGAATGCCACAATACTCCTCTATGGCATAACGTGGCAACTTGGCGTCGCGATGTCTTATCATCCTCGTCGTTCAGCATCTTATATGACAGGAGAATGTGGATTATCGGTGTTACAGGAGCGCAACCCCACGTTCGCTGATGTTCTGATTCAAGTGGGTCTCACATGCAACAACTTGGGCCTTGGCAGTGGATAACGACAATAATTCTCGCCCAATGTGAGCAACCTCGACATCCTAGGATACCCAAGCCTTTGACGTCACTTTACTTTCACTATCAACGGGTCTGCGGATGTCTCGATCTGTCAACTGACGTCCAAGTTAACCCCGCTTGATGCCATCTGAACTGTTGGCGGTCTATCCAAGTCCACATTGTCTATTTAAGGCGTGAAAGCAAGGCTTGTAAGACTCCGTACCGTTGGCATAGTAAGCCAGTAGTTACATGTCTATCTTGGTGAGGAAAGTAGAGGGACTACTTACTCCTAGTGGCCAGAAACGCCCTTCCATCACTGCCCCTCCATCAGGCACGATTCGAGGGGTAGCAACCGAGAAAGGAGTCTCTTCCGATGCTTCGAATTTCGTGCCTGAGCCTGGAGCGATACCGTAGTGATTCTAGGGCACAACTTGCGAGCCCAGGCTCTTCATGACAGTGCAAATTTTAGTTATCATAACCCATATTCAAGACAGTAGAGAATAATTACTATGTCGAGATAGTGAAAGTGAGAAGGCACATAAAAGCGTAGGAAGGTGCTGGCCTAGCCAGATCCAATCAACAGCAGACATGCCCAAAACCCCTTACGGCAGAACTAGATCAAGTGCGAACACCTCTACTTAGTTATCCAACCAGCTGCTGGGTACGCTTTGTCGCAAATGGCTTCCGTCCGTAGACGACATATCTAGTTCAAATGACTATCAGTGAACGAAACAAGAACCGATGAAAAGGTTTACGTACAGCGGAGTATAAGCATGGATTCTGGTATTGCCGCTGTCTCGGACGGCCCGCGCTGACAGATCTTGGGCTTCAGCAGATGAGAGGCCTGCCAGCGGAAGCACCTTTGCGGAAACCCCCGGTATTCCATCGCAGGCATTTGCGTGTTGAAAACGACCCACTTCCTTGGATTTAGGGGATTCGGGCCACTGGTTCACTCGTAGAACGTCCTATTAGCTGCCCTGGTTCTTGTAATAAAACCAATGCGACCTGAATGGAATGGAAGCATCGAGGACAAGTGTAAGTCCTTACGGGGAATCGGGAAACACTTTTCCTCCACATCCACAAACCCAGCCTCAAGGAACCACTGCTTGTAAAACAACGGCCTGTCGACATCCCTCCCAATCGAGGCGAACCCCCTCCTCACCGTGCGGAACCACTCCTGCACGGCCGTCCCCTCGAGCGTGTGGTCAATAGACCGAACATCCATATTAATATCCTGGAACTCAATCCACCCTCCCTCGTTCATCCCCTCGAACGCGCGGGCGAGGACCACCCTCGTATCATTGAAGCACGACACGACGGCGCGCGCATGCACGTAGTCAAACTTGTAGTCGAAGACCCAGGGCTCTTCCGAGTCCTCCCTGACGAAGCTGCAGTTAGGGAGGAGCCGGAGGGCGCTGGGTTGGATCATACTTAGGTCTGTGCCGACGACTGTAGATATAGGATGGGCTTCGGCGAATTCGAAGGCCCAGATACCCGTCCCCGTAGCTATGTCCAACACGTGTGCTGGCTCCCCGACTGGGGCGAGGGCCAGTTTTCGGTCGAAGAGGATGTTGAATATTTCATGTTGAAGATCTGAGTCACGTGAGGACTGATTCAAGGATAGGAATAGGGGTTCCGAGCCCTTACCCAGACGCTCCTGTTCAGCCTATGACATCTTTCCTGTCAGCGGTCGTACTACATTACCCATAGTCTTTACTCCACGGTCTGCACCCACACTCATTGGCACTCACACCATCGTTGGGTAGGAAATACCCTTTGAAAACCATCAGCAGACTCTCTAAAACACAGAGACAGAGATGGTCACATACTCCCTTGTCGATATCCATGGAATGATCGCCCATCTTCCTCGATGACAGCATCAGGGGCCTCGACAGTCTCACCGCTACCGCCCCGTCAATACTTCATGTATCCATGTTCTCAGCTGAAATCTCACCTTGATATGCGATTGGCGACAGAAGACGCCGGACCGTCGTCCACACCAAGATGAAATCCGTAAGCATTATGGACTTGTGGCGCCGGCTCAGATGCGACGCCGTATCCAGTGGAGAATCCCACGCTGCCTGCTTGCGGCGCCCTGTTGCTAGCGGGATTAGTGCTCACATTGTACTGGCTGGACTCAAGGTCACCGGGATTCGCCCCTGTTGAGCCTGTGTTCTCGGGTGGCGGCAGGTCGTACGCGTTATTGGTGCTGGAGTTAAGCGCTCTTGCACTGCGGTACGCGTCATTATACCCCTCATCCCGATGCAGCCAATGGCTCATGGTGGCTAGTTTTCTTATGTGACAATCAAAGGCGTCGGGGAAGTTCAACTTGGATTCATAAGTTGTGCTGGTGTCACCAATGTGGACCAAGAAACGTGAGAGGTTTGCTGAATGGATAAGGTAACATGGGAATTTTCAACGGCTTCGAGGCTGGCTTGACGCTGTTGACCAATCATGCCATAGTTTCACGCGAACCGGTAAGGATTGATGCACTTGTGCGAATTGGGCTGGAATCTGGACTCGCGCGCATCGCTTTCCTATCCGGGCTAAAGTAAACATCCGCAAGTCCAGCCAATTTCTTCTGAGCACTAAGTGAAGGTAAGCGGGAAGTGTGCAATTTTGGGTACTGGCGTACACATTTCTTAAAGTAGCCAATCAGCATAGTCTATTTTAGGTTTCCTTCCTCATTCGGCAATTGCAGATCAACCTAACATTGAACAGTTCGATGCAAATGATCGTAGCCTAGTCGTGTACTTGTGTAAGGGCCTGACCTTCACATCCCACCTTCACAGTAGGATGGGTCGCTCCGGGCTATGCACGTTCATTCCAGCGATGGCACGACTCGCACGATGGCGCAATCCAAGTAGCGCTAGATCAGCATGACGACAGGTTAGTAAACATATATTCAACCCCGTTGGTACCGCGTGAATGCGAAGAGAGCAGGAGCGTTGTCTTCAACCTGTATTCGTCGAGAAAGCAACAAAATCAAATGCAGGTCACCCATGAAATCGGTAGAGTAGTGTGCAGTGACTAGAAGTGGCTAGTATGATTCATTATTTATCATTAGTATGTGATAGTTGTAATTTCCTGCGCTCCTCTATTATATCCATTGGCAATGCGAGCTCCACTCTTATTTGAATCAACCCTTCTAAAACCATATTTTACAAGCCAGAATCATCCTGGACCACGAGACTGACAGCCGTGTACTCGTCCCACTTGGCACAAGTCTGGTTGATCCGGTCGTTGTCCTGGATGGCAAGGAACTCGGTCTCGCGCTCCAGGAGCTGGACGGCCAGACCCTCAGAAGTGTGCCAGGCGATGTGGCAATGCATAAGCCATGCTAAAGGAATTTGTTAGCGATAATGTAATCAAAAGGGGAGAGAGGAGCAGGATGAGTCTTACCACCAGGGTTGTCGGTGTAGAACGCAATAACGACATATCCACTGCCAGGCAACTGCACGACATCTCTCCGCGGGGTGTTGGTCACCTGCAGCGAAGCACTGCTCGAATCATAAGTACCAGTACCCTGGCCCAGAACCCAGAAATCGTGACCGTGCAGATGCATGGGGTGCGAGGCGCCCAGCGTAGTCTCAATGACGAAGTAAACCCACTGGTTAGCATCGGGGAGGACCACGACGTTCTGGGCTGACGACCAGGTGTCGTTGCCCTCGGCGGCTTGCTGCACAGTCGGGTAGTTCCATTGGTTGACGAAGGAGCTCTCGCCCATGCGCCACAGCACGCCGTTGCCGCCGACGCTGATGCTGACTTGGAAGTCTTCCTCCTCGTCGGGGGAGTCGGAGGCGGCGACGACGACGCGGGGGACCAGTAGGGCCATGTCCATGTCGTCGCAGTCGTCGTCGGCGGCGGAGGCCCAGGCCGTGGTAGTGGGGTCTGCGGTCGATGTGCTGTCGTAGCGGACTATGCCCTTGACGTTGTCCGGGTTGGCGCTGTTACTGCAGGTGATTTGGGGGATGGCGCGCATCCAGTAGTTGTCGGCGGTGGCGTTGGCGGTGACAATGATGTCGTAACGCTGGCCCATGGCGATGGAGACGCTGTCCGTAGAAAAGGGATTGATGGGCACGAAGTCGGCGGCGATAACTTCCATGGTGTGGTTATCGATGGAGAACTTGAAGAAAGTGTCGGCGGCACCGTTGATGAGACGGATTCGGTAACGGGTGCCGGCGGTGAAGGTAGTCTCGAAGCGAGATCCCAGGTCGCCATAGACGTTGGTACCGTTGATGAGGCCGTTGTCAAGCGTGGGAGGGCCACTTGTGTGCGATCTGAGGACCATGACGTCGGCGGTTTCGTGCGACCAATCGGCAAGGAGGATGGTGCCAAGATCTTCATCGTAGTTGGCAGTGGCGGGACCGTTGATGATAATACCGCCCGCAACACCGTCCCAGGCCTGGACGTAGAAGTGCGAGTGATACCACGAGGAGCCATACTGGGTTGCCTTCCAGGTGTAGGTCATAGAGTCTCCAGGGGCGGTAGGGCACTGCGTAATACTCGCCACACCATCCTCCAGGTTGGTGTAGTTTTGGCGGATGCCGTGGAAGTGAATGCTGGTTCCGTTGTTCTGCATGGAGTTGGTCACGTGGACAACTAATGGACTAAGTTAGCTACCTGGGTATATCAAAGCGGATATGGAGGGAAACTCACCGACGGTGTCACCCCAGTCAGCAATGATGGTGGGGCCCGGGAACGAGCCGTTGATGGTGAGAACGCTGCGCTCTACGCCATCGAGCGCTGCCGTAGTGTTGGTGATTTCGAACCAGTACTCGCGAACGACGCCCGTGTCGGGGCTCTCATCGTAGTAGTTGGTGTCGATGTCGTAGTCACCCCAACAACTCCGATCTTCGGGGCTGTTTACGCACCGCTTGGCTAGGGAAGGAGAATGTGAGAACTGGGCGGAAGGAGAAGGTGCTGCCAGGACGCACGAGGCCAGGAGCCATGTGCAAAAGGAGGAGGCGAACTTCATCGCGGCGACACTTGTGTATAAGCGAGAGACAAGGTTTGAGTCGTAGAAAACGAAGGATAGACTCAAAAAATAGTATAATAAGGAAGGACTGTGAGCCGGATGGTTGGAGCTGAGTCTCAGGACGGAAAGGAAAACATCGTGGATGAGAGTAACTATCTATATACTGACTGACGATGCATCAGGAAGACACTGTCAGTGCGTGTTGGAGGTCATTTGCCCCAAACGCGACAAGTCTTGCCGAATTGTGCAAGCCGCAATAGCAGCACATCTCCGTTGCCGACAGGTTCATCCGCTGCAACCCTGCCACGCGTTGATTCTTGCAGTATCTTCATGATCTCTGGGTGGAGTGTGGATCGAAAGGTGCAAGGGTTCTATGACCGTAAAACGGAAGACGATACGAGATTCTAGCCCACGTTCCTAATTCGGCGACATTGCAGCCAGCATCCTGGAATTTTCAGGTGAAGGTCGTTTTAGTGAAATCTAGGAGTCCATGGTGCAGTTCGGAGATGGAGAATAATGTGTAGCGAACATCCAGGCGGCTTCGTGACTCGCTAGCTATGGAAACGGGCAGCTCGGCCAGGGGAAATAAATCCACATTTGCACAGGTCGGTGCACTCGGCGTGCAGCAGCTCGGATCGCCGATAAATACGCGGAGAACCTATCACGACATCAGGACTTTATCTTCTGGCAGTCAACTGGTGAGTGGTCGGACTCTTGGTTTTCTTTGTTCAATATAAATCGCGGCATTTCAGTCCGTTCGCTTCATGGATTATGGATGTAAGACGACGCACGTATCCTCCAGCATGGATGATCCTCCTACTGTATCGCGTACTCCAGATGTTAAATTTCAGCCGCATCGGTCTTCAGGGAATCCCCATGACCGATTCTGCAGGCAGGCTTCCTATTTGCGGCTCAGAGGCATTTTCGGGCGTTCAATCCGGTCGCCAAGTTGTGGGTACGGGGAGTGATTCGGCCGAATTGTCTCAAGACAGTCAAATGCCGGTCGATGACACGCGTCACCATAGACGCCGTACAGAAATTAGCATTACACCTCTCCAGCCATGCAGATTGTTAGCCTGTGAACTGCCCCATACTGAGTGACTGATGAACACCTGTGTGGGATATCGAGTACCCTTTTCTCTGGACAAGGGTATTATTCCCTTCCGCGCTTTCCATATCGACTAAGATATCAAGTATTACGGGGATTGTAACCCGCTAATCATCTGCATGCCTGGGGAGGTGTAGAGTCCGCACTAAGACGGAGGGGGGAAAAAAGTAGAGCACGAAAAACGGACACAAAGAAAGTGTTAAGCTTTAGTGCCAAGAGAAATTAGTTCCCGTTCGGGGGCCTCTCGAGCCAAATACATGATTGTGATGGCTTTCGGCGCCGAGCCGCCAGATCTCATACCTCCGCAGCGAGCTGCTTCTTTTTTTCCAGTGTTTTCCCCTTTGCACCGTTTCTTGCTCTGCCGGTTGTCTCCATCTCCAAATATATGTTGCGGCTGACTACAATCCTACGATAATACGTAATTCGTGTTTTGAATCATTTTATAGTCTATATCTTTTTATGTACCACGATCCCGAATCAGCCATGAAATACTACATACCACGAGCCGCCATATGCCTAACCCTGAGGACCATCATCTGAAGAGACCGAACCGGATCTTGGCTGGCTCAAAACGGTTGCATTGCATCGCATTCAGTCCACTTAGTCAGGTAACCACTATAGATGAAGGGTCCCATAAAGCGAATTAGAGTTAAGAATAGAGAAGAATGAACACAAGGGGAAGGGTGGAGCTCGGAAAAGCAGCGCTAAAGTGAATACGGAAATACAAAACCAGTGCAAGAAGGACTAAGCCTGAGCGGTGATTAAAGTGGGAGCTCCTGTAGTGGGTTGTGGTGTGTCTTTTCTCGAAAAGTTTTCGAAGTTCCCAGGTGGCTAAGCTCACGGGCCTAAAGAACGCGTACCCCCTGGCCAGCCAAGCCCCAAGTAATCCTGATCAACGGCCTGTTCCGACCCGGGAACCGGCCCTCTGAGTTCCCACAATATGTGGTCCCATGCAACAACCAGGTAGTTGACGACGCGCACGCAAAAGCCGCACGGTCAGGGGCCGGAGATACTAGATGCTTGTGATTGGTGATCAAAGCGAAAGATTCCCGATAGCGACGCGAGAGTTGATGGCATACCGAGTATTCATACTCATCCCATCCCCCCATCTATACACCACTGTCTGTCACATGTTGCAACTTTACAGGTTCACATTCTCATCTACCAAATATTTCTATATTTCTTAGATAGCCACTCATTTTTCAACCTACACAGCTCGTTACGTTGTTTTACACAGCACATTTACACTCGTTCCAAAACCTGTCATCATGCACTTCCGACAAATCCTCTCCTCGGTGGCTCTGCTGGCTGTTGGTGCCTCGGCCGCACCGCAAAATAAGCGTGATGTAGAAACCAACGTGACGATCTACGCCTGGGGTACCGGCCTCTCCGGTCTGCCTGTGTTCGCCGGCACTGATGGTCAGTTTTCACATTGTCCCGTGGTCAAACTGAGAGCGCTGTTTACTGACCCAAACCAGGCATCGCTTACATGGCGGCTTCCCCTCCTGCCAACCTCTCGGCCCTGACCTGTAAGTTTGCCTCCATGCACACGAAAAGCAGTTGCAAAACACGATCTTGAGAACTCGCAGCAGAGATGTATAGCCAATTCTTGAGTGCTGACCTTTCCGTCTAGGGGACATCGACATCACTGGCACCGCCCCCTGGAACGTAACCATGGCCGAAAACTCGACTTCCAGCAGCGTAAACACCACCAACTCGCGCAGCTTCTTCATCGTGTCCTCGAGCGACGCCTACGCGCCCTGCGGCTTCGTCCCGAAGAACGGCAGCATGCCCGAGGGCGGCCAAACCGCCGGCTTCATCAAGTGGGGCTCCGACGTCATGGTTAAGAACGGGTCCACCTACACCTCGCAGTTCTGGGCCCAGAGCACTAGTGACGAGGGTATTTGGTCCCTCATGTGGAACTCCGACGGCAGCTCCCAGGATAATGCTATTCCTGTGCTGTTGAAGACTACGGCGCCTGTTGATACCACGAGTTAGACGGGGCTTGATCTAGTCGCGGTGTGGATAGGGTTGCTCGTAGGATCTGTTCCGAATGACAGTTCAGGACAGGCGGGGTGAGATGGATTAAGGAGATGTTGTTGTTCTGGTACATATATATCATCCACACAAGTTATTGTGGGAGGCTTAATACGAAGTATAACAATAATCAGAACACCAATAATCTTGTATATTTGGATCAATACTTCTCGACTTGGACTTCAGAATGTGTAATTTACGAACGATCATGACAGCAAAGTGCCAGGTCTAAGATATACACCTCTCCAGGCATGCAGGTTGCTAGCGTGTGAAATGCCCCATACTAAGTGACTGATGAACACATACAGACTGTGTGGGATATCGAGTGCCTATGCTTTTGGACAAGGGTATTGCTACCTTCTTGAGCTTTGGAAATCGGCTAAGATAGCAAGTATTATGGTGGTTGTACACGCTAACGATCTGCATGCCCGGGAAGGTGTAAGTCTCCTGTTCCCATCCAGACAAATAATTCCACAGACAAAGTACCCCACAGGCCAGGTATTGAATCAAAGGACAGGCGCGCAACTTAGTCAGCACAAATTCAACCACATAGTCAAGTTTTCACTAGTTCATGTAGAACAAGGTACTTGGATTGCCACCACGGTAAAGGGACTGCTACCCAGCATCAGTCCAAGGACAGTGCTAGAAGATCCAGTATCCCTCAAACGCATTGGGAAGATATCGCAAAGAAAGAAACAACTGCTTGAGAAGGTATTCAACGAAGGGCTCAAACCTTCGCCACCGCCCCACTGGCGCCTGTCTATGTCTGACAGTCTACTCCCAACCCAACTCCATACCTTCCACCGGGTGTCTCCCTGCTCACGACTGATTTTCCTGTTTCCTACTCCGAATAAGCAGCTGTCGTAATGATGACATAGCGGGGTGAGGAAAATCTGGGCCATGTAGATGGTTACATAAGTCAGGTGCGACCGAACGAGTTGGCTTCCCTTCCTAGCGGCATGGGTATCTGTTCGTGCCCGCACACGTGCAGCTGAGATCCCTTTTGGATCTATCCGGCTTATCGAACTCTGATCCTGCCTTAATATATCTGACTCGGGGGCCGACTGTATGTAGCTGCATCGATTAGAGTATAGTGGGACGAGCAAGCTCTTTTAGAAGATGAAATATTTTTGGAAGAAAAGCAGACGTCTCAACAGGAACAGCACTGATACGTGACCCCATGGAGGGTTACCCTATAGCTATAGATAAGATAGATAAGAGCTATAAAAGAGCTCTGCCAGGCCAGAATAGCTGACCTGGCCATCCTTTCCCAATACAACAATTCACACCCCATATGCACTCGCATCAAGCACGATTCATTGTATTAAGCCAAAAGAGCCGACACTGAGTGTAGCCGGCCATATGAGCAGTATAAAAAACTGGGCCAAAGTCACGCCGACGGGTCAGGACCCCGATTTTGTAAAGGTGCGTTGCTGTATCAACCTTGTTCTTCGGCTCCGCAAGAAAAGCGTCATAAAGACAAGAGTCAACCTTGTTTCTAGATCGGTTAAGCATAGCGTCTTAAAGAAGCTTGACAAGGTATCTACGATGAGACCTCTACATTAAATGCAGGATAATAAAAAATAATATTAAATACGCCGTAGGTGTTAACCCTCGGTACCTCTACAAGTACTCCCTTAAGGGGCTATAGATGATATAGCGGGCCCTTAAGCCGCGTCGGGCGGTTATACAGGTAAACTTGTAGCCAAACGACTACTAAACCTCCTGTCCCTCCCTAAGTCTGTGCTACAACCCCTGCCTGAACTACCGATAAGTGTGGTAATGTGGCACTTAAATTCGTCCTCAGGGGTGGGATGCTGCTGATGTGCAGAAGATGCTCGACTATTTTTTTGTCGCGACAAGTCGTAGTATCTGCTAATTGGGGTTCTCGTCGAGCGTATACATCTCAACCATACGCTCAAGTGGATAGACCGTAACGTGGTCTAGACGCTCGCAAGAATCGCGGCGAGAGGGCGTGCTGCGCGCCTTCTATCGTGAGGGGACGGGTTCGCCGACGAGCGTTATCGGATAGGCGAGGTCCGATAAGGGGCCGGATTAACGATTCGAATTCTGGACCGGCTGTCGAGTTATATTCCGCCGACGTAGTGCTTGACGGTCGACTGGCTAGGATGCTCGTAATCCTAAACTGCACCAATCTCCCTATTATCACTAGGTAGGCGAAGTCAACAAGGTGGGCAGCGCGCCGTAAGGGTTGACTAAACCCCCTTGTGTGTCAGCTGCGGGATTCGAACCCGCGACTCGTCACCGACCCAAGTGGGCGAGGCTCAAGTCGGGACTTATCTACCAGCGAAGTGACCAACTACACCAGCCGACCAGGATAATATATTTAGACTACCAGTAGAGGTAATGGGCATGACGACGTGAAACAATGCGATGCGGCCGCTCAGCAATGAAACAATCGGAGATAAGCTTAAATAGGAGTCTCATTAGATGTTGACAATATCCTTTTAATTATCGCATGATTCATGTTGAATTCCTAGGGGCACGTGACAGGTTCACTCGTCATGGGCTGATGGTAAAGGTATATTTGCTCTTGTAAACGTCTCTGGGACTTGCAGGTTTTCAGATACTAAGTCGAGTAAGTCCTCCTCACTTGATGTCCAAAGGAATAGTGCGAAGAGAGTTAGAGTATTGATATTGTAATCTGTAACTGCAAGGCAATGGGTAAGCGAACACATTACACTCTTAGTTCCTGTAGGCTTGAAAGTACTACATTCCTTACGATTGTTCTACCATGTCTCGCTTCCCGCAGCACTGTGCAAAGCCATTGAAGCAGAGACTGAAATGCGCATACCTCGTCTTCACAGGGCGCTGCATAATACATCACGAAAACCATTCTCTAGTAAAGCGAATCAGTGCTCGCAAAAGCTCATGTGAGTATATACACAGTCAATAAGTTCAATTCCACAATCCTGAAAAACACAAGACAAACTCACATCTTCCATATCCGTATTACTATTGTCATTCATCCCCGCTCTCCTATCCATCAACCTCTCCCTCACCTCGTTCGCCTCCCCTACACTTCACGGCGGTCCATCCCCATCTAACTCATTTAGAATCTCAGTCAAAATTTCCTTAGGCAGCCTTCTGAATATCTCGAGCTTTCGCACCTCATCAGCCCACCAGTCATGCTGCTATAGCGGCACGTTGGCTGTCGATAGCACGCAGATATGTGGGTCGACGAGATGTTGCAGGACGTTGGGAAAGACGAGTAGCAGATCGGCGCTGGTTTGGACGGAACCAAAGACTTGAATTAGGAGCCCACTGTCTTGCTCTATGCCGAAGTAAATATCGGTGGAATGGTATTCGCTCTAAAAGTGAAGTGGACCTTAGTGTGTCAAGGGGAACCGGTACCGACTGGTTGAATGAGCTGTAGAGTGAATGCAACTTGAAAGGGGCAACGATATGATTCGCGAAAGAGTGAAGAAATATCGGCGCTGCCTGCATGAGTAAATAATTGTGTTCAATAGACTGTCGGAATGACAAACGACTTTCGGCTGTATTTTCCTGGTCATAATAGAATAGGGCAGTGACGCAAATGTGCTCGTTCAGTGCTCCCTCTACATCCATGTCCCATCTTCGTACTCCGGTCGTCGGGATCCAGATGAATATTCGCAAGTTTGAGGATAACCTGTAGACCGCTGCCTTTGGGTTTGCTGCGCAGGTCAATGATATCATTCCTAGAAGGCTTTGGAGTGGCCGAAAAAGGCCTCTCATCTTCCGCTTCTGGGATGTCCAGAATCTTGACACTCTCGAACCACTGGTCCCATTTCTCGTGATAGTCTTTGTCTTGATGTTTATCACAATGCTTCTCCATATCCCAACCTTCAGGGGGGTTCCATTCAGGGGACTGGGCACGCTCAGGCACGGGCACTTCCCAGTCGTCATTGCTTCCCAAACCGGTATCGATGTGGCAAGGATATCGACGCCAGGTCAGCGTCTTGTTCCAATGCGGAATAGTGCGGTCGACTATTCTTTCCAGCACATGATAGAGATCCTCGTGGTGCACTGGGTGAATTTTGTTGATATAGCTGTTGATCTTGATGCTTCCATCTTCAGCAAACTCTAGGTCAGCTGGGAACCATTGATATTCGTCCCATGCCTCCACCCATTCAAAATCATCGGCGCCCCAGGTCTGAGCGGAGCGCTTGTAGATGCTTCTGATCTCCTGAGATACTTCAAACCGTCAGTGGTTTCCCCCATTCCTGCGAACTGGGCGCACGTTACCAGCGGCACCGCTCCAGTAGGCAAAACTTTGGTCCTATCGTATATAAGTGGAAAAAGTTACGGGTGGACTAAGTCCAGAACGATTTCGCCGGTATACGGATGCCAGTCCTTGGGCTTGTCAGGTACATCATCGATTGGAGCCACTGCAGCAATCAGTGCATCGCGCAGAACATATGGTATGACTTTTGTCGGACTTGAATGTAGTGGGCCCTGCATCCAGAATGGAGACCATGCCAGTCTCCCTATACTACAATACCTTGAAGCGCAGTCCCTCCAGACACTAACAAGTCTTAGAAAACTGCACACATTGCATTTCATAGGTGCTTACATACGTAATCAAACATCTTCCTGGTGAAGTAAGTCTCGTACTCCCCCTTGCGGACCTGCTCAACGGCCTCGCTCAGCGGCCTCATTCCGCCCCTTACTCACAATGTCCTCGCTGAAGACCATTTCGTCCCAGTCCGGCTTCTCCATGATAGTGCCGACAAAGCCACCGGCGACATCCACTCCACGAGTTCTCTGTTCGGGTGTAGTTGCCAGCGGACTCTGGACCCTGGCGTAAATAACAGGCCATTCGTAGATATGAGTAGTTGGGTTTGATTTAACCCGCTTGCCCATTTTATTTCGGGAAACTGTTTCTTATTTTTCTCATTTTAATTATCTGACGTAATCCTCTTTTGCGGCCTGCTGGAAGAATCGAGAGAGCGCCTGCGGGCCACTATCGCACCATGGCCGCTGCATACACGTAGAGACCTGGCAACGGCGACGGGGAAACCAGTAGTCAGCGGGACTATCACAAGGTGGCTACTCAGGACTGGCCGGATAGCGCTTAGGCCCGGATAATATCGATCTTCTCAGGGGGACTTTGTTAGTAGGGTGAGAACTAACATAGTATTGTGGTGGACGTAACGCAGTCGCTAATAGAGCGAACCTACGTAGCAGCGTATGTATTTAGTCCAGCCATTAGGGCACGGTTTGACATACGGGAGCACTTGTAGAGGTACCGGGGGCCTCGAGCCTACGGCGTATTTAATAATAATAATAATTATCTTTCGACTCTGTGCCCAACTAATTCTCCCTTGATTCTCCCAACGAGGATATACTTACTGATACAAGCAAACGCCGTGACATATAGATATAGCTATCTACATCATACAACGGACTATCAGATGCTTCTCGCATTGAGGAATTCATGAGATTGAAAGTATCCCAATCTAACCATACCAGATGCATGACGTTGGACGAAGAATGATCGGGAAGCTAGAATACCTCTGATAAGAACGAATTCCCTGCAAAGTATTGCTCAAAGCGTTACTTTTGCATTTGCGAAATTGGAACAATGCTGAGTTTTGGTTTGTGACATCATGAGACCCAACGTGTGGGTTTGGCATAATAGACCGATATATGTACACAGAGCGGCATTGAGGTCGAATCAATGATCGCTCAAGTCAAGGTGATCAAATAATTGTTCTCATTTCTCTCTGGACTGTTCACGCACAGTAATGACTGGGTTTAGAGCACTGCTCAACTGAGACCAAGGTATTCTATAAAATTTGAGCGAAGGTGGGGAACAGAAATTGACTCACAAGATACACTTCGACCTATAGTGCACATCAGTCCAGTCCATCCTCGGATGATGCCATTTAAAGTAGAGCGCAAGCCTAAACCAATAGCAGGAAAGCCTGCTATGTAAACCCAACCATCTAAACCGATCGACCCGAGTCAACCTTCTTCAAAACCGTTCCCTTTTCCACGCTGCCCGCTGTCCAGATTCGGATCTTCTTGCCCGTGAAGTAGAGGGCAGGGATGCCCAGTGACAGCACAATGAGAGCCTCGGCATAAACCGCGAATGTGCCCAAGAAACCCTTCTCGATGACCCAGGTCGTGATGGTGGACGAGAAGAAGAAGGCAATGATAAGACGCATAGATGACACGTTGACTAAAACAGGACTGTTGGTCGCTCAAACACCAGCACCTCGATCCATGGAAAGACTGGAGTCAATGAAGTACTAACCCGGCCCACATTGGATAGCTCTCTACCATATAGACGTTGATGACCGTCAAGACCGTCAAGAAGGCAAAGATGATGAAGAACGATCCTGCCATTATCACAGCCCAGTGGACGTTATTCTCCGCCGCATACCCAAAGATGAAGCAGCCAATAACACCGGAGAAGAAGGGAATGATGAGATTGGGAAGGTGGTACTCGGGCTCTCGAACACCGCCATGCCATTTGGTGATGGTGAGCGACACCTTGTCCGAAAGTGGGCCGCCCAGGAAGTAGACCATGACGGTAGCCAGCACGAAAGGCAGGACAATCAGGCCCGTATACTTGAACTGCCAACTGTGCGCTCCAGTCAGAGGGGATGCCATGAGGTGGGCTGGGTAGGACTGAACAACTTACCCCTGAGCAAGCAAGGCGAAGGACCCCAGCTGCTGGGCAGCCTGGTTGATAATAACGAAGGCACTGTTCCCGAGGGTTGCCCACACAACAGCGGGGAAAAAAGTCGTCCGCAGAGTGTCCAACATCGAGCGACCGGCGTCCTTGAAAGTAAAACCATATTGGAATAGGCCGATGGTAGTCTTGAATGTACGAGGTCCATAGGTGTCCGGATCAAGACGAGGTCGCTTCTCACCAGGTTCGAGGCCGTAAATCTTTTGACCGCCTGTAGACTATGAGTAACTGTCCCGATCTCAGAACCAACATAACTCACTCAATTCCTCCTTTGAACGCTTCCACCTCGTCTCAGGCAGGAAAGCAATCATCAAAATCCAAGCCACAATACCAGCTCCGCTGGTAATGAAGTACAACCAACGCCAATCGCCGACCGCAGCGACATAGGGTGCCGCAATACCCAGGCTAATGATGATGATTCCCTGGCTGCTCACAATGGTGCTCATTGCTTTGTTGCGCTGGTGGATGAACATCATGTCCTGGATGATCAGCGGGATCAGCGCTTCGACAGCACCGGCTCCCAACCCCATCAAAGCTCGAGCTGCCAGATGGCTGTAAAGTGAGCTACTTAGCCCGGCCCAAAGCCCGCCAACCCAGGCGCATACACCCATTAATAACATGACCGGTCGCCGACCGATGCCAATGGAAAGGGGCACGAGGAAGTAGCTTGCAATGCCGTTGGTCAGCAGCGGGATTGTGGCCAGCATAGACACCTGTTCGATGGGCGCTGGCGTAACGCCTGGAGGAATCACGGAGAGTGGGTTGAAGTTGATGGAGCCGCCAGAACTCGCAGCGAAGTTGAAGGTGTTCAGGGTGTGTGGATCAACACCAGAGTACTCGAGAAGGAAAACGGGGATAAGAGAGCCGATAATGATTTCGGCAGCAAGGGCAAGCGAGCCAACTGTAGGAGAATCAGCGTCTTGATATCCGAAAATTCGTGGTACTGGCACTCACAGAAAGAGATGACGCCAATGGCAATCCATTTTCTCTTCTCAGAAAGATTGAGGGGATCTGTTATCGTTAGAATCCATGCAGAAATCAAGCGCCGACGTGATCAACCTTTTGGGTCTGGTGTTGGCATCTGCAATAGTTAGCATTGCGACCAGATTACCCCCGCCAACGAGTTGGCCCAGCACTCATCACTCACAGGAATCAACTTCATCTCTCCGTTCTCAAACAAGTTGGTTGAGCCAACCGCCTGCTCGACCTTGTCCTCATCATCGCTTTCAAACTTAGACTCGTACGCCTGCGACCTCTTCTCGTCTACAATATCCCTCTCGTATTCCATCTTGGCTCTGTATTAGGTGTCGAAGTGGTAAGGAGATCCAGCCCAACCACCAAATAGGAAGCAAACGTCAAGATGGGTTGAACACAGGCTATACTTAAGTCTTTGGATCTTGAGAAACGCCCCGTTCTTTACCCCATAATCGCGTTTCGCAGCCTGGGGGGAATGTGGTCGAGCCAGAATATGTGGGTTCGAGTGAGGCAGGCCGGGGATATCTGTCAAACCGCACGAGCCTTCGACTTCCAACGACTGTCTTTTCCGTTTTACCGCTAGAATAGCCAGTTGACTGATGATGGATAGACCATGAGTACTAAACCCTTGGCAACGGCCAACTGTTAGAACTTCAGGAGCGAAACCGCTGGTGTATCAGCACTTGACTCAAGTGTGCAGCCAAAAGGCACACTTTTCTGTACTTGAGGCCCTTATGACCACCTTCACTCCTTTGTACTCGGGGAGATTAGAGCCACGTTCAATTCTACACTTTGTGATAGCTTGCAATAGGTCCGATACGATCAGATCGACCGGCGGGGGCCCGAACACCTATTTCGAAGGTGCTGATACAGGGGTAGAAGGTGTATAGCTATGAGATGTCATGCAAGGCTATGGCAGCTTGCTTCGTCAAACGAGCATCCTGTCCCAATATCCCAGAACAGTGGACGATTGGGTTTGGGCGTTTTCGAGATGTTCGTCATTGGGACTTGACTTAGACGTTTTGGGCAACCTGGAACCGGGGACAGCTCTGCATGTCCACACTGGTGGCATGACTTAGCGCGACGGTTGGAACCCTGTTTTGGATGCGAAGGAAGAATGTTGGTTGACCGACAGCATGTATCAAGACTTGACGATCAGGGGCACAATGCCATGATCTGCGTTTACGGAGAGGCTCGGTAGGTTTTTGGTAGTAACGAGGGAAGCGGCAGTGAAGATCAGCCATGGACGCGAGTCTACGGTATCGCAAGGACTTGGCGGCTCCTGATTGTGACGTGGACATGATCTGGAAGATGGTAAGACCTGATAGAGGCAGACGGACCTTTGGCCAAAGGACAGCCAGACACTTGCCCAAGCTGGGATGAAACGTCATCGGTTTTGATGTGCCAGCTCTGTATAGGATGGCATGAGCTCTCAGGCATTGAATCCGGTTGGCCGATATGTTGCCGGATGAAACTAGACAGCATTGAGATATTGCTGCAAGAATAATCGCCCAGTTGGGGAGATTGTCGCCCAGAGCGAAAGCCAAGTCTGAACTGCCTATGTGTAAGCGTGAAAATTGCCGACCCCACACAACCTCTTACGCGCCCAGTTTCTGTCAGGTGCAACCCCACATTGGGGACCGTTGAAGCATTGTGTACATAGATACTTCCGGCAGATGGGCAGCACACTTATGCAGTTGTCCTCGATCCTGATTACATTTCTCATTCTGAACCCTACCTTACAGTCTCAGCCGCGATCTATCAACAGGGTTATCGGCCGATGATAGGCCTAGGAATGATCCCGCTGCAATTGTTGTTCGAACTCGGGATGAACTCACTTTATTCCACGACTTCAGAAATGAAATTCTGCTGAAATATGCCCACCGGGCCCTCGTCCAAACTGTACAAGTTCCGAACCTGTCTCCCGATCCAGGATGTCGATTGCGGGAGGCGCGAGACCTTCGGCTAAGGGCGGGGACGTTGCATCTAGAGTCCTGCCCTATGAGGTACAGACGTTTATGAAACAAACCAGATCCATATCAGTGTAGTGTAACTTGCCAAGAGCTCCATGTTATCTGTCCACCCATTGCGTTGGATAGCTGAAACACTGGATAGCTGCCACAACATTTGGGGTTGCAGATCGCAGCGGGAGCTGGGTTTGAGAGGCGACGACCGATGGGGTATCATGCAACCTCCTTATTGGACAGCTCATTACTGCTTTCTACATACCAGACAGGGTGGTATTGTGCTGTTTGCAGATCACCAGCATCAGTTCTGGTGTTGGTCTCGAGCACCAAAATAAGCGTCGCAAGCTCAAGTCGACGTCAATTGAGGCTGTTGAGCCGGATATGGTCACCAGCATGGCGGCAGTCAGAGCTATGATTGTGCCCTTGATTCAAGCCTTGATTCAAGACTGTTTCCTTGTGAGTGAGGAGTACCGTCTACCAATAAACTGTCATTTGAGACAGTAATATGTAGCTAGTACGGCCAATGAGAACATGGCCTTCACAAGAGGACTGGCTTGTTGGCACATCACCGCATTGCGGACATCGAAATTGAAGAGAAGACGGTGAATATCGGACGCTTGACCGAAGCATGCTCACTAGGTAAATGGAGCCTCTAGTACTGGATATCCGACAGAACAGGAGTTTGGTGCACACGTAAGCTCGTTGATTTCCTTCCTCAGAGAAAGTTGATGCCAACACCGACAGTAAGCCCTTTGCGCGCCTCCTCGCCACGGCGCAGAACCAACGGCAGGCTGAAGTTCAGTTCGAATCTTGCAGCGGGATGCGCATAGATCAACCCAACACCCGCTGAAAGACTGGGCAGACCTGTTGCCAGGTCCTTCGAAGCCGTAATCATGCCGTCCCATACCGTGCCAGCTTTCAGCCCCTCACCCACGGGTGAATGCGTTTTCGTCTTGTTCTTCATCGCCACACACCGGCCGCCGTTGGCAAAGAATTGAAGTCTGAAGGGGCTCTCGGCTCCAACCCGCGGGAGAGGGAGCAGCAAGTTCATACTGCCTGCTGCGAATACATCTCCTCCGAGCGAATCAACGCCGTCCCGCGGCCCCAGTCCGCCGAGTGTGAAGCCTCGTACATCGGTTGGACCGCCGAGAGTAAACCGGTCGTTCACACGACTTGGTTTTGCGCCATGTAACCCATAACTGTGAGGCAGCGGGTACAGCAGCCCAGCCCTTAAACCGGCACCGAATGAAACCCCCGAGAACCCCTTCACTCCAGGAATCGGGATCGGAACAGCGCCGGCTACTTCCATCTCGGACTTTGAAAACGCCACATCGCCACCTAGACTACCCCAACCTGCAAGCTCCGAGGCAGTGCGGAAGAGGTAGCCGCTTTGCGGCAGCATTGGGTTGTCCCTCCGGTCGCGTAGGAATGAAGTTGACAGTGCTGATTTTACTGAGTCCCCTGCGTCACCTCGTATTGTAGGACTCGCGCGATCGTGCAGACCAGTGACCTGGCGCCATAAGCCTGAGTATCCCACATGGTATTTGTCGCCGCTCTGGTTCAGCCATCCAAGCTTAACTCCCCCACCTTTGACGGCCTCCTCATGGCTTGCCCATGGCTTCTGCGTGCTGCTCATAATACCATCAAAACTCAGCCTCAAATCAGGGTTGCTGAAGAGCGGCGTAGAGAAATCCGCGCTGTAAGCAGACCTCGTCCTCGTACCAATCGATGCGTTCAACGATAAGAGTTCTGCTCCGCCGAAAATATTCCTCCACAGCAATGTTCCGTATCCCGAACCCTCCGTGTTGCCTACATCTGTGCCCGTCTTGAGGAACAATCTCGATTTCTCCCTCACTCTCAGAGAGACTTCGAAGTCGGTCGGCGTGGTGGAAGGGTCGAGGTGCGGCGGCTGGGATAGGTGCAGGTGGATCTGGTCTTTGAAGATATCGAATTTCTGAAGTTTGGAGACCACCTCGGTGACCTCCTGCAGCATATCCGACAAGGTGTAGTTCGCATTTTGGGCGCTAGATTGTAGAATGGGCTCGAGCAGCGGGTTGAGAAAGGAGCGCCGGGTGTACTTTGCGCCGTGGATTTGAATTGAAGAGAGCGTTACAGGGAGGGTCGAGTTTTGCGAGAGCTGTCACCGGGTTAGGTTAGGTTAGGTTATGTAATCCAGAAGATGTGAGTAGCCAGTGGAGAGAAGGTGTGTACCAAGTCTGCATTCCGTTGCTGTGACTCTGCATGTGCCTGTGCCCGTTCTGCTGCCAGCTTCTGCTCTACCGACGCCGTCTCCTTCCGGAGCATAGTCTCAAAGGCCTAGTCCATGATTAGCCATTGGGTCTTTCGAGACGGATCTGAAAGGGTGAAATGAGGTTAGCCTACATCTTCGCCCATGGGAGCAGCGTTTTTCGCCATATGAGCCAGTGACAGCGGCTACGTTGGGTGGTTCCTAAAGCTGATCTTGCCCAAGGTTGTTTATTAACTCAGGTCGTTCACGCTGCCGCCCGCATGCCAGGCCCAGCTTCAGTTGTGGCTGTGCCTTGTGTGGCACGTCTAGATACGTCAAACAAGAGTTGCTGGCTGCATGCAAGGCAGAACAATCCCGAAAAACATAACAGAAATTGGGTATGGATTTGGACAGCAACCGCACAACCCGAGTTAAAGTATCTCGCAACGATGGCCCGGAAGATCTGAATACTCGAAGTGCTGTTGCAGCATATTTTGAACTGAATTCACGTCGAACAAAGGGCAAGATTGGCCGGGGCTAGCCTAGGGCCTGATCTTATGAGTGACCGTGCCCGATTTCCTGTCCTTCGGCTCCACATGATTGCCGCTATCTTCAGCCTCATGACTTGGAAGGCAACAGCTTGCAACCTTAACAACTACACTTCTTCGCGCCTCCAAATCCCGTCTCCTGACTCCGCCTTACTCCAACCCACCAAACACCGGCAGTCGCTCTTTGATCTCGAGTCATTTAATTTCGTGTATACAGTTACCTGCAACATCTTTTAATCGGACTTGTGACGATCCATTCGGAACCATCGTGACACCTTTCCATTTGTAGCCAGTGCGCCATTCAAAGGCACCTGAAGGCCCTCAATCCACATCCACCAAATCTGCAGAGCAGTCTTCATCATGGCAAGCAAAGCAGCAACCAAGCGCTTAACGCGCGAGTATGCTGCCATCGGCAAAAACCCTCCACCCTACATCACAGCCCATCCCTCTGAGTCAAACATCCTCGAGTGGCATTACATCATCACAGGTCCCGAGGAGACACCCTACCACGGCGGCCAGTACTGGGGCACTCTCATGTTCCCGCCGAATTACCCTTTCGCACCACCCGCCATTCGAATGCACACACCCTCGGGTCGTTTCCAACCATCGACGCGATTGTGCCTATCCATTTCCGACTTCCACCCCAAGAGTTTCAACCCTGCTTGGGAAGTCAGCACCATCCTGATCGGCCTCCTATCCTTCATGACGAGTGAGGAAATGACCACCGGAAGCGTCAGCATGACCGAGGCGGAGAGGAAGCAACATGCTGAGAGGTCAAGATGGTGGAACTCGACTGGTGGCGGCTCGCATGCCAGTGCCAAGATTGCTCAAAAGGGAAATATCAAAGCAGGCGACGGAGGCCTCAAATTCAAGTCGGAATGGCCCGATGTTGACAAGGAGAACTGGGAGTGGATGAGCAAGAACAGCATTGACCTAACCACTGGCTTTGCGCCACCGCCCGCAGACACCAACAGCTGTGGACGACAACTAGGTATTGGACAGGGCAGTGGACAGACCCAGGCTGTGGTCGATGCGGTTGTACAACAAAGGAATGCTGGAAGGAGTTGGATCAGCCGCAACAAAGTCCTTATTTTCGTTAGCTTCGTTTTGGTGTACACTGCGCTTGCAAGATGGCTGGGCGAGGGCGATGGCGATCGAACAGGGTTGTAAACCACACGGGATGAGATGGCCCGTGGATCGATGGAGTAATCTGCAAAGAGGCCACATTTGGACTCTTGTGGCTAATGGTTCGCTCCACGTGATGACTTGGATTTGCAGGCGGCGGTCCGAGCATATTTCTACACCTCTCTCTTATATGCCGGCAGGTGCTGATGTCTAAAGGCTGGGCTGAAAAGTCACGAGAAGCGGTTTCTGAGCATATATATTTCTATAAATATGATTTCAGTGGAGTTGGGTGATGTGGCCCCTTTTCCGCTCATGCACATCTCTGCGACCCGACCGAAGCGCTTGGAGGTTGTTATAGATTGGTGCGAAGTAAAAAAAAAAGATACACATGTTAAATGATGCATAAGTTACGTAAAGTTCAAAAATTATACTAGCATATAATAATTTCCTATGCCCGTTGCTGGTTGACTCCCCGTACATAGATTGGCGTCCAGCCCTGCCGACACATCAAGATGTAAGGGACTAAAAGAACTTGACTTGAAGAGGGAGAGAATATATTCAGTAGTGATCAACCTAGATCTTGAATTCCCTGGCCTTCCTATTAAGCAGTGCTAGTAACTGGGGGATTGAGCGCCACGGTTATGCCCTAAGCCGAAGGCGGTGTAGCGGCAATTGCACTAGTGAGGTCAAAACCCTTCCTCGTAGATAAAAGAGCTACACACAACATATAGAACAGTAGAGAGATACAACAATCAAGATGGGATCTACGCAGAGTCATCAATAGAGGATTAAATCCCTCCGTAACAGCTCACAAACTAGTTATACGTAAATGAGTAAAAAAAATCAACATTGATATCGTCCGAACCCAAACCGAGTTCCGCGCTAGTTTCGTTCTGAAAACAAAAATTGATACCCAGATGCGAGTGAGATAGAATCAAACATTCTGGCAAAATATCACCATGGTGAGAAAGGGCATCCTGTCGTATCTCTATATTCACACCGTGTGTCTCATTATGGATGCATTGCCCACTTGTTAGAAAAGATGATGTTACTTGTACACATGCTTTGGCCGTTCTGGGTCACTTCAAAAAAGACTACATACTGCTACTGATGCGGCCACTACTGATGGATTCCAACGTAGTGCTGAAATTTTTGTTATTCTTCTTCTTTCTTATTGTAGGCGGTAGGTAAAACATCTGTGACAGGCTGTGCCTGATATGGGATCCGGAGCTGCAAGGACCGTGCGTCCGGATCCACCAAAGGAACCATCGAGGGGCATACAAAACATAGTCCGTGTTCCCGGGACAACTCGCATATTTTACTTTCCTCCTCAGTTAGATAATTAACAGTATTTGGCCATGTTGAGCTGTATAGTTTCGCAGTGAGCCCGTCACAACATCCCAAGAATAAATACTTAAGTACGCATGGAATATGCAGATGGCAATTAGGTATTTGCCTCGTGATCCTGAGTTCGAGTGTATACTTGTACTTGGATTTTATGTTCCCGTTGAAGGAGCAAAAGGAGGGCACATATGCCTAACCTGTATGTATTGTAGCTAACTCTGGTCCTCTCTTCGAGGGTCTATGTATGGAAACAAAAGGGTTCTTATATAGTCAATGAATGGTAGACTTGCTGATTAATTCAGACAAGTTGTAGAAGCATATAGATAAGTAGGGAATGTTCTATCCTCGCCACATTTCTCGTAATAGAGGTATGTGGGGATGGTCGCCGTTCTAGGTGGCGATAGTGGCAAGTATAGGACCCACATGGCCCACAGGGCCCATATTGTCCAACTGTCTAACAAAGGGCTAAGAAGGAGGCCCGAAACTTTCTCACAGTATGTCCACGCCTTAGCAGGCTCGCAGGCCTCCATATCTTGTATAATCCTCTTTATTGTGCCTGAAAAATGCAGGAACAAAGCAATGCCACATTGCAGCTTCGTATATCAAAATGGTGAAACGCGCGTTCAATTTTAATTCTGGTTATCGCATTTGATTTTGCGATCTCGAATGGAAGAGAAAGGCGCGTGGAATCTCATGCTTGATGACAAAACAAGTAAAGTGTCCACAGGGGTAACAAGGCAACTTTTGAAGCCGGAAAGGCTGTCGTTGTTAGGATAAACACAATAGGCTCAATATGGCACTCGTGGATTTCTTCAACTTTCTATCATTCTGGAGTCTACCGGGGAAATGTCTTTCTGATGATATTTTGTGCATATCTCAAGTATCCCACCGCGGTGCCAGGAAAGCCTTCTCAAGTCTTCTCTACGGTGTGTACACATGATTCACAGATCTGACTGCGAAACTTGGACTCCAGTTCGTAATTATTGATGCCGCGACACATAAACTCGGTAGTAAACCCAGGCCATCGGAGGATGCTCCCTGCCGCCTTATCAAGTAGCCGGAGGGCATCGACTTTGCGAAGCTACCCACAACATATAACAGCATTAGCAGCATATTTGGACCGTCAAAAAAAGCACAAGATAGGCATGGATTTATCCCAACCTGGAAAAAAGCCTAGACTCGCCTTCATAGGTTGTAGTGACTTATGTTGAAGAGTCGAAGTGCAGGCACTGTTCGATTCCTTCCACCAGAGTCTACGGTTGCCTCGGTCACCGCCAACTTCCTCTTCATCGGGAAGCAATCTACCATGGGACTCCTGATCCAGGCAGTGGATGAATCAAAGATGAAAAATTTTCAACACAAGAGCCCTTGGAGCAAGTTGAATGAAACGGATCTTAAGAAAGTGGAGCTGTGGGTTCCAATAGTTCACTCTTAATTGACGTCTCTGGATAGAATCGTACGTAGGAAGTCCTGAAGTCTTAAAGCCAGTGGATCTTTGGCTCGGTTAAATAGCAAGGAAAAGTACGTTCATGTGCCATTCTCTACGTTCAGCGGTGGCTTTAATGGAACTTAACAATGGGGTTGAGCACGGAAAACTATGTACTCACGAGGTAGAGCGCGTTATTTTGCTATATGTTAACGCTCTACGTACTTAAGATTCAATCATGACAGCTTATTCCGGAAAAGAAGATTGCATTCTGTCTCTCTCTCTCCCTCTACTTCGTCTTATGCGTAAATCTAAGTCCCTAAGGATTGTATTCTCTAAAGCACTATATTTATCGTTATGTTAAATATAGTAATTCTACCTGAAAATCACGCTACCTTGAAAATATTACTATTTCGTTTACTAACCGCTAGCCTTAATTATATCCTCGTAGCGTAGTACTAGTTATACTTACTACTAGGTACCTAAGTCTCGTTAGTCTAGACGATATATTCCTGTAACTTAAATGTTTAATTCTTATAAAGGTAAGCCTATCTAAGCCATAAGTTCTGAATATCGTTATTAATTACGCCGAGTAAAATACTATTTATAAAACCTATCGCGACTTAAAGATAAGTTAGAAACGGTTCGCTTTCGAGGTACTAATGAAAAGTTAAAGTTAGCGGGGTCTCTCCCTCGTAGATTATCCGGGGATTTCGTTCTTAATCGTGTTCTTAATCGTGTTCTTAATCGTGTTCTTAATCGTGTTCTTAATCGTGTTCTTAATCGTGTTCTTAATTGTCACAAAAGTCAATGACGACATGAAGCACGCAAAGTAGGCTTACCCACCAAAAGGACTTGGACGGGCAAGTGTCATTCTCTATACTTTCTTAATACTAGCGTTAGGAATTGATGATTATACCTAGCCTCCGCTGCTGTTAGTATCTGCTGTCACACTAATCGTGCTCTTAACTTACCGAGTTATACAGCTAACGTCACCCACAGGTCATTGCCCCACACGGGTCTTTGCCCAACTTTTCAAGAAATCTTGACTTTCCATCTTTACTTATACAATTCTTCCCTTCCACAACATGGCACGCAAATCTAGTGAAGCTAATCTTCAATTAGCCATCCAAACTAAACGACGCGATCCTCACCTAAGTTGGAACAAGCTTGGTAAAATCTTCAAAGTCGACCATAAGACATTGAAGCGCCGTTACGAAGGCGTACAACCATTACACATTACTAACATGTCCAAACGGAAAATGACCGAAACCGAAGAGAATACGATTACCCGACGCGTAATTGAGCTAGATTCGCGAACTTTTCCTCCCCGGCTTCGATACGTTGAAGAAATGGCGAATATCCTCCGACGCGACCGCGACGCGTCACCCGTCGGCAAGAACTGGGCCTCGAGCTTCGTACGGCGATAACCAGACCTCCAGATGTCAGATAGGGCACCTGGTTCCTAGGTTCAGAAATAATATGGCACTAGAGAAGACTATTGTCACTTAAAGTTCAGAAGGCGAAAGGAACCCCTCTTCTCAAAAGTAACACCAAAGTTACCGACATGTTCTAAAGCATCTATAAAAGGCAGAGCAACGGGAGTTCGCGAGAACAGAAGTGTCAGAGCCACAAGTGTCATCCGAGGCGGGCCGGCTTCCACCAGGAAGGAAGTCGTTTGTGGCGAATGAGGAGCCGGGAGGCCGTTTGTGGCGGCTAGAGAGCCGCTTGTGGCGAATGAGAGCTGTTGAAGCCGTTTGCAGCGGATAGGGAATCGCTTGGTTGCAGATAAAGAGCCGCTATCCAAGATGTTGGCCGAAGTCGGAGGAACACAGACATGCGGAAGCAAACATCCAGAATCCAACAGAGAACCTCGGCTGGCTATAAGTAAGGAGTCGAGACGGAGGAAGATAGAGAGGGGAGAGATCAATGAACTACTGTGGACACCCCTACCTGCCATCACCAAGTGACCACCAGTGAACACCAGGTGACCACCAGGGGGACACGCCTATTTCTCCCCTTCACTCTGTACTATCGCCTTCGGTCCAGGCCGTACCCTGACAAGAAGACAGACAGACAAGAACACACCTCATTTATATACAATCTTACGCACTGCTGACTACTCGATTGGACACACGTGATATTCGACACCAGACGCGTTTAAATCGTCGAATCGACTACCAGGGGGCATTCTGCGAAGATCCTGTCGCGTATCGCGGTTATTTTAAGCGTGTTGCGGACACAATAGCGAAGCACGGCATCCAGCCGGAGGATATCTACAACTTTGACGAGACGGGCTTTTTAATGGGCATGATCTCAACCGGCATGGTCGTTACGAGTACCGAAAGACGTGGAAGGCCTAGGCAAGCCCAGCAAGGCAATAGGGAATGGGTTACTGTCATTCAGGCGGCCAATTCCCAAGGCTGGGCGGTGCCGCCGTACATCATCTTCGCGGCCAAAGTTCACCTCGCTTCGTAGTATCGCGACACCACATTACCGGGCAATTGGGTCGTTGATCTATCCCACAACGGATGGACAACGAATGATATTGGTCTCAGCTGGGCAGCTCACTTCGATCTGCACACACGCGATCGTACGAAAGGTGTCAAACGCCTCCTGATCCTTGACGGTCACGAAAGCCATCACTCGATGGATTTCGAACAATACTGCAAGGACCATGGCATCATTACCCTTCCTATGCCTGCCCATTCGTTCCATAAGCTCCAGCCTCTCGACTTAGTGCCTTTTAGTGTTTTGAAACGGGCGTACGGTGTGTTTGTTGAGGGTTTGATGTGACGGCATCATACCCACGTTGCGAAGGAGGATTTCCTTCCCAGTTTTTTGGAGGCGTTTGGCGCTGCTTTTACTAAACAACACATCAGATCTGGTTTTGAAGCAGCTGGAATTGTCCCTTTTGACCCCGACAGGGTTATATCTGCCCTGGATGTCGCAGAAGTCGCGCGTACACCCTCTGCCGACCCAGAACTCCTACCCCCTATTTGGACTTCTAAGACACCTACTACCACCCTTGAAGCCGAATCGCAGTCAACGTTGATTAAGAATAGCGTTCAGAGGCATCAAGACAGCTCTCCGACGCATATTCTTCATTCAATTGACTCGATTACAAAGGCTACGCATGCAATGATGCAAGAGAATGTTATCTTGCGTCGCGAGAACGAAGAGCTTCGTGAGACTAACCATGTGCTAAGCAAACGTCTCAGAACCAAAAACAAGCAAATCCAGTATGGTGGGCCACTTAATATAGAAGATGCACAAGTTCTACGGGCTAGTAGGGGTGATACGGGTTTGGAAAGTGAGGAAGAGGGTGAAAGTAGTCGTCCTACAAGGAGGAGGGCAACGGGTGCTAGGCGCTGTGGCATTTGCGGAGGAACTGGACATAATGCGCGAACTTGTCAGGCAGATGTAGAAACAGATAATGAAAAGAATTCTGATTAATTTCTTGGATGAATATGGGTTGTTGTTGATCTATCTAAGATTAAAGGTTGGGAGGTCGTGAAAAGTTGGGCAAAGACCCGTGTGGGGCATTGACCTGTGGGTGACGTTAGCTATTTTCTCGATTTCCCTCTTCGCCCCTCAAAATAGAGGATTCGGATGGGATAGGAATCTTACGTTGTCAACTATTTTATATAGCCTTCCTTACTACGCGTTATTCTAACTATCCTATCTCATACTAAGAAATTGCTACGAAAGCGGCCGGAAGTTAATTTACATGGCTTCAAAGTGTTATTCCGCGATAAGAAGGTAAGCCGATGTGTCAACTTATTTGATATAGCGTTAGCTTTTAGTACGCCCCACAGGCACTTAGCAAGGCGTACCAGGACTCGGTGGTCCTCGCAGTCCCTTGAACTCAAAAGTGATGAGCCCTTGGCCTAGCGCCACTGCGGCCACTGTGGCTGCGTCCATGATCAACAGACTTCTGGGAGATAACTAGTCATTAGTCATGTACACAGCCATAGTGGCGCTAGCTCCAGGGTTCTACTTTGAGTTTGAGTGAATGCGACGACCTCACAGCCCTGACCAACCTTATTAGCGAGCAATCCTTCTTTTCCGGGTATCGGATGATCTCTGGTCGTGACTTTAACCAAGAACACTATCGGCTAAATTTAGCCCAGTTTTCCCTCTTGGTTAGCAGTCCGCAAGGTTAATCTTTTCTTTCGCATGCAAATTGCTGGGCCCGCTGTGACGAACCTTATTGGTGGGACAGGGGCTCTTATTGGTATCAATTATGTTGGATCTCTTGGCTTAATCAGCTTCATCACACGGCATTCTCAACCCATGTGAAAACGCTGGTCCCATCTTCAATCTCCAAATTGAATCTACATCACATCGTCACCTTCGACATCTATTAAACAAAATCAGCCAAGATGCAATCCACACTCGCCGCCGCCATCCTCGCCTTCGCCTGCATGCTCTGCAGCGCCGGCCTTACCTAGTTCGTTACAAAATAAGTGTGAACTACTCCAACCGCCCAGCGAGCGCGTGTTCTGGTTTGGCAGAGCCGGCGAATTGCAGTGCGTCGTCAGGCCTGTGTGTTCTATGTGCCAAACAAACCCCTGCGACCACGTCTCGATCCACGCAGCCTATGCCGCGTATGAAGGAATTCTAGAGAATGATGCGTGCACTGCATCGTGGCCATGCTGCTGCATCAGGTGCAGTCTCGAACTAGGAGACCATCAACGTATGACGTTGGGATGATCTATTGCAGGACCAGGAAGCGAAAAACAAGTCTGTTTAGAGGGTACAATATGAATGGACCCTGGACTACGAGATTATCTCTTAGAATCAAAGCCTTTAGCTGTTGTTCAGGCATATTTTACTAGACGGGTGGCTACCGTGTCACCGCGCAGCACATGGATTTAGACATTAATACTAAATTTTGGAATTCTGGATGCCGAGTACATTTTAAGCCGCCGAATATTTTACAGTTGTTTTCCCCGTTTAAATTAGCCCTTCGTCCCTCACAGCAACGGCAGTATCCTGTTCTCCGTGAATGCCCATAGCAAGGGCGAGTAGTCCGAACACCAAGCATTGCCCGTCCAATACGTGCTTCTCCGGCCCTGCAGAGCATACAAATCCTGATAGAAGCCGTCCCTGATTGCCTCAGGCGCCACGTTCAACTGTAGATTGTCGTGCTCTTCCCACGCGACGAACTCGACAGCAGTGGATGAAATATTGTAGCTTGTTGCAGCGATCCGACCCACGGCGTCCGTGACCAGCTTCTTTGCTAGCGTGGAATCCGACTCGCCTACAACCTTGACAGTCTGGTACCCAGGCACGCCGACCGACTCAAGCCGCCAAACGAACGGACTTTGTGGCAGGAAGGCAGGGGCGGCGGGATCGACGTTGAGGAAGTTGGTGAGGTCAGGGAGGCCCGTGTTGTTGACCACGCCGACGTAATACGGCACATTGTTCCACTGGTTAAAGACCGACATCTCTGCCTCATCCAGGTCGAATCCCGCCAGGTTCTTCACCGTCGGTGGGACCGTGATAAGGAGCTTGTTGGCCTTGATGAGTTTGTGCCCAGTAGGCGTCTTGACCACGACAGTGGTGCCGTTGCTGCGCGAGGTTTGCAGTACGGTGCTCTCGTAGAAGACGTCGTCTCCCAAGAACGCGGCCGCTTTGTCGTAGACCTCCTGATTCCCGCCTGGAGCGGCTAGGTAGCCCGTCTGTAGACCGAGCAGATGGGGCTGGCCAAAGTTCTGGAGCACATATAGAGTCGGCATTTCAAGCAGGTTCCCGACTCCGTGAGCAAAGATCCAAACCACGGGCACGACCTCAGTCAGGTTGTACTTGGCCACAAAGTTGCCAAATGGAAGGTAGAGATCCTCGGGGACGGGATCAGGCAAATCGTACGCACCCTCAGCAAGGCCGGGAAAGTTGAAGGTGGAAAAGAGGAAGTTGGCCAGCGGCCCCATGAGGTCCATCGGGTTCGGCGCCGTCGCATTGGGAATCGTGAAGCCTGACTGGAAGTCGACGATATTCGATGGGAGTGGAGACAGGCCGACGGAGACAAGAGAAACATTGAAGCGACCGAAGAAGTTCCTCGTTTGGCTGTTGTCAATGTAGGCTTGCACGCCGTAGTCAATGGGAGCACCACCGACTAAATCCGTCAGGGTGTCGACATGCCCCCCAAGCCTATCAGAGCGCTCCACGATGGCAAACGTCTTTCCCTCGTCTTTGAGGCTCACGGCGGCATATGTCCCCGTTGCTCCGCCGCCCACGATGAGAACATCTCGCTCGATGATGTCTTCTGCTGCGAAGGCAGACTCCCGGTAACACTTAGGCGAGGATGGAAAAGCATTAATGAGAGGCGCACATGCTGCGTATAGAGCCCAAATCGAGGACCGCATCATGAAGGGATTAAAGAGTTTGGGTGTGCGGATGGGTGTGGGGATGAGTGCATGGATGGGAGTGTGATGGATGTGCAGATGAGGACCGAGGCACTTATAGGATGGTTTATCTCGTTCGTTTTATATACAATAAGGGCTGTTCTCTATTTAGCTGTATTGATCGTTACACCAGGGCTTCGAGTCATGTGTGATTGACTGCCAAGAACCTCAAGAGTCCTCGAAAGCCTTGTTGGCGAGTTCAAGGGTTCACTTGATTGCATGATATTTCACTAACTCGTCCGCAATATGCCTTGGTAGCCGCCAGGGTGGCAGTGAGGGACCCGAAGGTTTCATTGACTACTATTAGTCGCCAGGTCATCTGATGTGCATCCATGTCTCTACAGAATTTCGATGGAAGTGGATATCCACCAGGGATGGGCCTGTCATGTCCCGGGCTGAGAGGTGAAGGGAAGAACAACCTCAATTAAGGTTTGCCTCATCACCGCCAATTCCGATAGTGTAGTTCCCAAACTGTCGGATCGGCTGGAAGGGAAAGACATTCATATTGTGATTTAACCTACTGGGAAAGCCCGTAGACTAGGTAGATGAGGTTCCGCATACACAACGTACACTCAATCAATACAAAGTGCAGGTACACTAGCATCGTGGATATGCAACAGGGTCTAACCGCATTGACCCCTTTCCGCAACGCAACCCCATTTGTAAGAGTTAACACCAAAAAACCAACAACATTCAAGCATCAATGTACAAAGCAAAACATACTTAATTTATATACTTCAAGCTTTAGATATATTCTTCATGGCTCTTTTCTTTGGCCTAGCTCGTCTTTCAAGAAAGTCTGGTTTATATCTGGGTGTGTCGGTCGGGAGTGCGATTTGCCTTTCCAACAACCATCTCACCATTAAAGGAGCACAGACCAGATCTCTGTCAACCGCTCTAGACGCTTTTGTCACTAAACACCTCTTCTGAGGCCTTCGATTAAGGTTGAAATTCGCTGCTTATAGAATAGTGCTTTGGCCGTGTATGAAGCGTGCTTGCGGAGCTCCTGGCGATAGTACGTCTTAAGTGGCGAAAAACTAGTAAAGCAGAGCACTTCAATACGAATTCGAGATGTATGTGTGTTAGGTAGTCGTCTAGAATCAATATGCGCTAAGAGTTGGCCCTTGGCTCGGTTTCTGGTAAGAAGGCTTGGTGTATCCAGCGATCGGCGATGACTCTGTTAGTCCAGTCCTTTACAGGGGTGGCGCATTTCCTACTCTGTTACGTTTTCCTTTGGAAACCACTGCACCTGTGGTTTATTACCGCTATAAATACAAACAGGTGTGCCACAGTCTAAGTGGTAGCTGATGAATTTAGAGAAATGTCGCCGGAGCCGGCGCTGTACGATCGGCCGTTGTTGAGTCGTCTGACCAGAGTGCATGGCTATATGCCGGATCGGCTGGCCTCCACGGACTGGGGATAACCTTTATTGCCAGAGCGCTGGGTGCACAGCACCGGTGGGGAGCCGGTGGGGAGCCGGCATGGGTACTGTGGATCACAGAACATTGTAGGAGGTCGTGGAATACCGCGGTACCCGAGGAATCGGGGCATTATAGTTCAGAATAGGGGTTTTGGCTATCTATATAGGGGATGTGTCTTAGAGGAGGAAGAATTGAAGGTCAGAAATAATTGGCATACCTAAACGGTGGTCAACAGAGGGACGCCTATTTCTCCCCTTCATTCTGTAGTACCTTGCGGCCTAGCTGTTCCTAACATTTTTGAAAATTTTGCATAGCGCTGAAATGCGCTCCTCAAAATATAATAGATTGTAATTGCGGCTGAAGCATGATTTACTTAGTGGTTGTTGGGGAATTGGGGTTGTGCAATTCCGCTTGCAAAAGGGAGTGTGTTGAAGGGGGTCAATGCTGTTAGATCAAATCTATATGGTTCTCACAATCAACAAGTTTATGTGCCATTTTCTTTACTCTAGTATTCTGATTGCTAGTATCACTACCATTGACATCAATTCAATCGAGTACCTCTTATTTGTGGCAGACGATGGATATCTTGCCATGGATTCTGGCTAGGTGGTTACTTGTACGTCCCCTTAATCTGCATCTGTCGTCTTCTCTCGGTCAGCTCCTCGTCAGACAGCAGGGTGTCGCATCGAAGCTTGACCAAGTCGACACGCAACAGGGCAAGGTTTCCGTCGTCGGCAGCCTCAGGGCTAGGGCTACGGCTAAGGATAGAAGGTGAACCAGACGTTCCCGAATGTCTGCTATCGCCGATGCAGGGTAAATTGTGCGTGCTCCAATTTATCAGTGAACCCGGCGGACGCATATTGACGACCTTGGCCGCATCTGGAAACCCTCATGGTCCGATGTAGCACATGATGATGATGGTTAGATCGTCAGAACGGGCGACCTCAAGACGTCGCTTGTAGTCCTCTGGCCCATCAAAGACGACAACGGCACACTCGAATGCGTCTGGGTCACTGGATATTGACATCCCCAGCATTAGAAATTTGCCAGGTTATATATTTTGGTAGGTGGGCAAATAATGCCGAAACATTTACTCGAATCCTTCATGTCATTCCATAAGAAAACACAGAATAACTTTGTTTATTCCGTAATTTAGTACGATGAACTAGTATTCAACATCGACATAATCCAGTACTGTTTGAAAATATTTTCTTGTACAGGGACAATTGGAAAATACGAAACTATTGTCTGCTCTGAAGCAGAGCATGATGCTGTTCGTCCAGGCGAACGAAATATAAGCCAAGCATGCCTAAGTCACCTCAAACAATGATGGAAACAAATTTCTCCCATAGCATCTGAGGCTGAGTTACAATGTTTAAGGCGTGCTTGGAAGCATTAAAGCGGAACAAACTGGTAAAACGTGGCATCTCTTGTTCAGATTAAGCTACGGGAGCTGTCGCGGCGTCATCTGAGAAAGGATCGTGGGTTTCATGAGATGCCGAGCTGGAATATCTTTAGTTAACTAGAAGCCCTTTCAGTTCCATGCAGAAACTATGAAAGTGTTCAGTTGCACTGAATATTTCCTGGAATGAACGTTCGTTCATCGTTTGTCGGGGAATGAGATACGAGCAGACCCTTCCATTACATTTGAAAAAAGACTACTGTTGGACCAAATAACCGTCAAAAGACGAGGGACCCACTCGTACTAGAATGAGATATTTTTGGTAGTTATGAGATCTGATAACCACCAATATCGACCCGTGTAAATATAGAGCTTCTCCGTTACAGATCAGGCCTTCATCCATTCATACTATACACACAACTCAGCTTCACAATACAAGCACCATGTGGAACCTCAATTTGAAATCTGCGAACCAGAAAGAATTCAAGCCGACGGTCATTGGTGTCAGTCGGATTTCTTTTTGTTAGTGTCTGGGATCGAGCATTACGACGACATCATAGAAGAGGGAGATCGAAGAAGAAACCTATGTCAAGGCTTCTATTCAAACTTGCGACCCATCCAAGATCAACTCCATTACCACAAGAGCGTCCAGATCCAAAGTTGGGCGACAGTTCCTTCTCTCAGCCGCGATTTGCTAAGTTCCGCAACTGGTCATTCAACTCCATAGGGAAAGTACGATGTGGCAACGGTATGGTTCAATATGAAGTACATGACACAGTTTTCATATATTGATGTTCCTGATTATTTTCCTATAAGCTTTGTGCTGGTAATATAATCACTTCTCGAAGACTAAAAGTTTAGACAATACACACGACCGCCATATTTTGTTCAATTTTGAAAGCTAAACTTCATTAAAAATTATTGCATTGATTCATTCATACTTTTAACCTCCCAGAGAAGAACTACCGCTTTTGGTGTCAATTAGCATCTCTAGTTCATCTTCTTGGGTGCACTGGTTGAGGTCACGGATCATCATGCACAAAGCATCAACACAGATTTCAGTGAATGCCAACTCCTTATGGGTTGTCAAATTGAGAATGACAATGCCATTGTTGCTGTCAGCTGTCAAAGGCTCTATCTGTTGTCTCAAGCACAAGATATTATATCGGGGATCAAACAAGGAAGGTGCATCTTGAAATAATTACTTAGTCATGAAGCTATCCGACTTGCTAGCTACGAGACAAGGAAGCAGGGCAACTTTACGCGGTATGTGCGCTGCGGTTGGCCTGGAGCCGCAACATATTATGTAGATCGTAGATAAAGAAGCACTAGTCGATTAAACCCTCCCGAATACAATAAGATAGCGATGAGTAATTATGTCCTTCTATGGGTGACGGCAACGCTTGGGTAGAACACCCGCAGTCGAGCTGTGGCTTCATTATCACTAGCCCAAACTGGACATTTCTGTTAGACTAAATTGACCGTCAAAAGACGAGGGACCCACTCGCTGTAGAATGAGGTATTTTTGGTAGTTATAAGGTCTGACAATTTCTCCCAAAGCCCGTGTGGCCCGAGTCACCTGCCAGGCAGGGACCTTGAGAAGTGCTGTGACCGAACAGAGATGGGCGATTGTTCGTTCGTCTCCCGGAGGCGATGTTTACACTGCATCTAAGCCAGTTCGCCTCACGCTGAAGATTGATTTTAAAGCCATTATGGACACTTGGCGGACCAATTGGTCACGCTGAGTATGCTTAGGATGAGGGCCGTTGAAAAGTAATGGAATTTGAATACAGCAGGAGTTGCTTCACAGCTGATGTTGGAATTATTTTAAAAGTGTCATGATCTCTGGAGAGTCCTGAACGAAGTGCACGGCGGCCATAAGGGCCTTATATAGACAGGAATGAATGATGCCTGTCCCATAGGCAGGACTTGTGTGATTCGATGGGTAATGGTCATATTGGTCCATAACGTACGGTGCGTGGCCATATGTTATTCCAAGATAGGCAGTCTTGATGTAATAGCCTTGAAGGTCCACCAGCTGATATCCAACCTCACCGGATCTGAGTGGAAGTGTTGGAAAACACGGTGGTGACTCCCATAGACGACGGCTCCGATGGAAGACCCGACGCAGTCGTAATGTAAAGACTTCTGCGGAGTCTGACGTAAAGACCGTCCAAGTGCCTAGACGGAGTATAGAACGAGTGCCTCTGTGGCGCCTACAAAGCGACGCCAGTCCGCCACCTGGAAGCAGAAGCGGAAATTCCGCCACTAGACCTTTATATTAGTGCCCGGGCGGCCAATGTTGAAGAGCGGCTACAAAGAAGCGGGAAGAGGAGTCTAATCGAAGCGTAAGCGCTGAAGCGTCGGATATACTCCGATAGGGTAGACCGACGTGAAGGAGGCGGCCGCTGCAGCCACTCCGGACAGCGGGGTACACTATGGAAAAGGAGACCCAAGGTTTGGAGTAGATGGGCGAAGAAAAGGAGTGATGCGTGCACCTAGGGGGGAGGATGCTATAATGCAGCAGTGCGCAACGTTATAGTATCTAATTGAAGGGATTCACCTAACCAGTGGGTCCCCCTACCTTTTCGTATCAGATAGTAAACGGAACATAGTCGCTAATAGAGCGAACCGACCAATTAGCGTATGTATTTAGTCCAGCCATTAGGGCGCTGTTTGACATACGAGAGTACCGGTAGAGGTACCGGGGGCTTCCAGTCTACGGCGCAACTAATAACGTACCCCACAAGCAAGTTGGCCACTTTTTCTTGGCACCGTACGAACAACCTTTTAATTATCATCTTTACACATACCAAGATGGGATCGAATTGGAAAGAAAGCGACATGATTCTAGCGTGCCATGCGCTTCAATCGAAACCCGAATTAAGCATCCGACGCGCTGCCCAACTCTACAATGTCCCTCGTACAACTCTAGCTAACCGAAAACGCGGACTACTATCTCGACGCGATACTCGACAATCTAGTCATAAGCTTACGGAATCAGAAGAGTTAGCGGTCGTACAATACATACTTGACCTAGATTTGCGATCATTTCCTCCCCGGCTCCATGGTGTTGAAGCTATGGCTAACCGACTGCTCCGTGACCGTGGCGCTGGACGCGTCGGCGTCAACTGGGCCTCGAGCTTCGTACGATGACAACCAGACCTTCGGACGCGTTTTAATCGAAGAATCGACTACCAACGAGCCTATTGCGAAGATCCTGACGCGTATCGCGCGTGGTTTACCCTCGTACGAAATACAATTGCGAAATATGGTATCCAAGAGGCGGATATCTATAACTTCGACGAGACAGGGTTCGCGATGGGCTTAATCTCATCCGAGATGGTAGTTACAAGTGCCGAACGACGCGGAAGGCCTCGTACAGTCCAAAAAGGCAATCGAGAATGGGCTACAGTAATCCAGGGTATTAATTCGTCCGGCTGGGCTATCCCGCCGTATATTATTGTCGCGGGTCAAAACCACCTCTTATCCTGGTACGAGAATAGCCCATTCCCGTCCGATTGGGTAATCGCTGTAACCAAAAACGGTTGGACAAAAAATGAGCGAGGCGTAGACTGGATTCAGCACTTTGGTCGCTATACGAAGGATCGTACGAAGGGTGTTTATCGTCTTCTTATCCTCGACGGGCATGAGAGCCACCACTCGACTGACTTCGAGCTATATTGCAAAGAGCATACTATTATTACACTTAGTATGCCTGCTCATTCGTCACATAAGCTCCAGCCTCTCGATGTAGGCTGTTTTAGGGCTTTGAAAACGTCGTACGGCAAAGAAATTGAAGACTTAATACGGGCGCATATAACCCATATCTCGAAGGAGGATTTCTTTTCGGCATTCTATAGGGCGTATCGTACGACTATAACTAAGTCGAATATCCAGGCAGGTTTCGGGGGACAGGACGTATTCCGTACGACCCGGAATATGTGATTTCACAGCTGGATATTAAGCTACATACGCCTACACCTCCTGGGAGCTCGTCTGGCGCCCCCTTAATCTGGGAATCAAAGAATCGTATAGCATCAGATAGCTCCCCGACGACAATACTTACGGCTATTGACCAATTTTCACGTGGTGCGACGGCTGTTATGCGTCGGTTAGTTTTACTTGAGGATGAGGTTACTACACTTCGGAAGGCCAATCAAGAGCTAAGCCGTCGTCGAAGGACTCAAAATCGACAGCTACAAAATGGAGGATCTCTTAGTTTACGAGACGCTCAGGACTTACAGTCTCAACGGGATATTGAACAGCAGCTACAGGATGATATACGTGTAAGTGTCGAATATCACGTGTGTCCAATCGAGTAGTCAGCAGTGCGTAAGATTGTATATGAATGAGGTGTATTCTTGTCTGTATTCTATTCTCGCGAACTCCCGTTGCTCTGCCCTTTATAGATTCTTTCGGAAATGTCGGAGGTGCATTGTTCAGGTGTCTGACCCCTAAGTGGACCGTAACTTTGGAGTTACTTTCGGGAAGAGGGGTTCATTTCGCCGTCTGAACTTTAAGTGACACTAGTCTTCTCTAGTGCCATATTATTTCTGAACCTAGGAACCAGGTGTCCTATCTGACAGTAAGCCGTCGTCGTACGAGACCGGCCGAACCACGCCGACGGCGCTGTAGGATCTGCGGAGAGCTCGGACATAATGCTCGTACTTGTGAGAATGATAAAGATATATACGAGGAAGAGGATGTTACACGCAAAGGTGGTCAAAGATTTGTGAGGTTGTAAAAGCATGACATCCTATCTAGTCCTATGGAGCACGAAGGTTGGACTTAGTCCCAAAGGGCTAAGTCACGTGGTAACCTTGGTGGTCTTGGCAAAGCCCACCAAGGTTGCCTAACAGAGGATTCCGATTAGTTTGAATTATTATTTTTTAGTTTAGTTAAGTTATTGAAGTTATTCATACGGTGCCAAGAAAAAGTGGCCAACTTGCTTGTGGGGTACGTTAATAACAATAATATATATTACATAACGTAGTCCACAAGCGAACAGGTCACCCAACCGAACGGGTCACGCCCATAGCAAAAAATAGAACTAAACTTCCTAACTTTACCACGCAACTAATTCTCGATGGATTCTGCTCAAAAAGAATCTCAATTACTCCTTGCAACTCAGGCTATCAGAAATGACTCAACACTTAGTATCCGACGTGCTGCAACAATCTACAAAGTCTCGAATACTACTCTCCAGGCGCGTCTTCAAAAACGTCAATCACGTCGCAATATCGAAGCCAACGGTCGGAATTTAACAAAACTAGAAGAAAATACGATTATTCAAAGGATAATTGAGCTAGATTCGCAAGCATTTCCTCCCCGGCTAAGTGCTGTTGAAGATATGGCAAACCGACTGCTACGCGACTCGCATATCACAAAGGAGGACTTTCTTCCGGCATTTTGCGACGCGTTCAAGAAGAGCCTGACCGAAAGCAATATTCGTGCAGGCTTTCAAGGGGCCGGGCTTGTGCCTTTAATCCCAGATATTGTTATTGAGAAGCTGGATGTGAAATTACAGACTCCAACGTCCTCCCGGCCCCCTACGCGGGAAACCCTTCAAAAGATGGTTCAGTTCTCTCTTGTTGTCAGAAAAGTGTGTTTTATTAGAAAAGTTCTTCTGTGCTTCTGATCAGGCCGAGATTAATGTCTTATGGCCAAGTGCCACAGTGGCTTCAGGCAGTGGCTGTGTACACGCTAACTAGCTACTCCAGGGCATACAAATATGGCGCCCCCGCTAATCACATCTAGAGCCAAAGTATCCACCGAGATCCCCCATTCCAGTCTGTCCTTATTGCCTTAGCTTGGATCTTTTCTGCCGCCTCAGAGCTTGCGCCATAGGTCGCGTCAGATCGTCAGCTGTCTTCAGATATCCTCCTCTTGGTTTGAATAATTTTAGCATGTCCTGGTGGTAGTCGAACTTGGTTGTGCTTGATTCATCCAGATTGACAAGCCTAAAGGATCCTCTGCCAGTCTGTTGATTAACAATAAATGGGCCTCGCCATTTTGGAGTCAACTTAGGCTGTTTTCCTTCCTGCATCAGCATAACCCAGTCGCCTACGTCAAGCTTGAGGGCCCTGCTATCATGTAGTGCTTGTCTTCTCGTCCGTTCTTGCTCATGTGATGATCTCGTCACTTCCTGGCAGTACTGTATCCGGCCGACATGGTTCACCACAAGGTTCTCAAGTGCTTCACCTTGAGGAAGGTCGAATGTGCCACCTTCCAGGGCGCATCTGAGTTGACGTTGAGGTTCGGAGGGGTACTTCATCTCGAAGTCACCTCTAGGTAGATGTCCATATAATATTTCGAACGGTGACCATCCCAGACTCTCAATATACCTTGAGTTAACGCATTTCATAGCCTGAGGGAGTCGAGCTGGCCAGTCGACAGGCAGTTGACTCGGATTTTCCATACTCAGTTTGTTCAGTACCAGTTGTGTAACCTTGTTAAACACTTCGATCAACCCTACACTCTTGTGAGATGTGGAGGGGGCGTTCAGCACGTGTATGTTCATAAGGCTCATTCCAGCATGGAAGGCTGTAGATATGAATGCACTTCCCGGGTCAACATAGAATGCCAGTGGAGTCGTACCGGCCTGGTCTCGCCATGCGACAATCGACCTCAATGCCTCAGAGGTGCTTGCACTTTTTGTTGGAAAACCCCACCCATATCTGCTGAAATAGTCAACAATAGTAAGGATATAAGAGAAGCCATCCGAGGGTTGGAATGGGCCGATGAAATCTGCAACCATAATTTGGAAGGGCTGGCAGATTGTGACTGGCTGATCAGGACTCTCAGGTTTGGCAGGATTAAATAAGGCACAGCGTAGGCATCCCAGCACATAGTCTGACGTATCTCTAGCCATTGTAGGCCAAAACACTGACTGGTTGAGTTTCCTAAGGGTGAGTTTTGACGAGAAATGTCCTGCCTCGTCATGAGCAGTCTTGAGTGCAGGGGAGATGTTCTCCGGCAGTAGGCATCGCCGCCAGACACCCTTCCGCTGCTGCTCGAGTGAATCTCCCCTGATTCTGTATGCCTGGAGTCTCTCACGGAATGCTCGAGTTCCCATGCATCCTCTTTCATTACTTCCTTCAGTCAGCGCTTTCCATACATCTGAATACCACAGACATTCTGTATAAGATGACGCCACCGCGTGCCTCGTAGCTGCATCTCCAAACAGGCTAGTCAGCCAGTGAGTCCTAGCATCGTCATCACCGAAGTCGTGGATCTCAGAGAAGTGTGTTTTCATCTGCGTGGTAGGGGCTGAGGCCACGAATTGCCACCTCTCATCATCAGGTCTCAGCTCAGGTGGAGATAGAGTCTTCAGCATATTCTCAAACCCAGATTTGTCGTCAGTCCATCTCCAGAGCGAAGTCAGCCTGCCTTCCACAGCTTGACTACTGAGTCTGTCGATCCAATCTTGCCGTCCGTCAGCAGACAGATCTAACAGCAACCGTTCATAGCCACCAGCTCCATCCTTCCACACTCACTGTCCCTCATCTGACAGGTGGCTGAGAGTTTTCAGGTATTCCGTATCTTCACATACCTCATCCGGAAAGATCGTGCGAGACAATGCGTCTGCCACCTTGTTTCTAGACCCCTGGATATATAAGATCCTGACGTTGAGGGATCTAAGCTCGTCTGCCCATCTGGCATAGATACCTTCGACGTTCGGGGAAGATAGGAAGAATGTAAGCGGTTTGTGGTCTGTGTGAATAACTGATGCCACTTGAGTCCGAAGATACCTGGAGTGTCGTCTCGCAAACTCGACGATGCCGCATAGCTCCCTCTTATACGTTCCATAGTTCCTTTGAGTCTTGGTGAACAGAAAGCTATCATATAGGATAGGCTTACGAACCTTTTCTTGTGTCTGAGTAATAAGGCAGCCAGCTCCATATCCTGAGGCATCGCTGTAGAGATCAACGGGAAGGTCGAATTGATGACCGTGCATATCCACTGTAGTGGATGCGAGTCTTTTCAGGGTGTCAAAGGCTACAGCGTTGCGTTGGGGGTTGCTCTGATGGTTCTGAGCATAAGGTTGATACATCGGAGAATGGCCTTGCTGGGCGTATTGATTGTACGGTGGGTATTGTTGTGCTCCCATCATGCTCTGAACGTACGGTGGTCTAAAGTCAGCAATAGCCTGATCTACCGTCATGCCAGTCCTCTCAGTGAAGGCTTTCTCCATAGCGGCATACTTCACTCGGTCAGCTTCATTTTGAGCGGCTCGAGCTTTGTCCTCAATAATGTGCTGAGCTTCTCGGATAGCCTCCAGGCACTGCCAGAGGGATGGCATGTTGCGAGCTTTGTTAGCAAGAGCTTCCTGCTTGAGTTGATAGTTGTATAGTCCATCCACGAAGTTGCTCACAACGGTTCGCAGCAAGGTCTTCTCGGCCGGGTTGAGAGTAAAGGCAGATGTCACATCTCTGGGCCCATCGCGTCCACCTGCTCGTCTCAAGGCATTCTGGACTCGAGTGTAGTACTGGGCCAAGGGCTCGTCAGGCTTCTGTGCAACACAAGTCAGGTCCTCGTCTCCTCAATCAGCAAAGTCGTCAAGCGGTTTTGATGGAAATCGGTCCTTGAGAGCCTGCTCTATGAGGCTCATATCCTCCCTCACGGCCTTCCCCGTCTCGGCCTTTTCAAGGGCCATCTGAAGTCGATGATCCGAGTCAAGCATAGTGGCGGCTTGGCCTTTACACAACATGTTGATAGCCGATATAACTTCTGAGGCTGGAAGATTAGAGTCCTTGTATCCGACTCGGCGGAACTGCCAATGTAATGATGTCAGCCATCTCGAGGCTGATTCCGTGCCATCGAAGTGGCCAGCAGCCGTCAGGTCTGGGATGTCGTTGTCAGTTGGCATGTTAACTTGAAGATCATCGTCCTGGGAGGGGTCGTTTTGGGGAGAGTTGTCTTGGGGAGAGTTGTCTTGGGAGAGTTGTCTTGGGGAGAGTTGTCTTGGGGAGAGTTGTCTTGGGAAGAGTCTGTTTGAGGGGTAAGATCGATTTCAACTTGATGGGTGCCAGAGGTGGGCTTGTCAGGATGGTATTCGTCTGACGCAGATATAGACAGAGTGTTCAGTCCAGTTGAATGTGACAGTCTCAACACCTGATCACGCTCGGTGTTTTTTCAGTCTCGCTGAATACTTTTTCAGCGTCCGATTGTAATGACGGAGAGCATTCTTCCCTGCTCCCCAAAGGCTGACGTCGTCGTTCCGGCAGTGGCCGAATGGAGTGTTGGGAGGCCTGTGCGCTAAAGTATAAATGTGTTGAGGAGGCTGGTCTGGAGAAGGAGGCCCGGGGCTCCGAGTGGATGAGTGAGGAAAAGGAGGTCCCGGCTGCCCTCCTCGGCCACTGGAGGAAGAGATGGCTCACCGGAGCAGAGCATCACGATCGCCAGCGACGCGCTATCGCTGAGGAACCGGAGGGCCCTTCGATGCAGATACCGAAAGGGGGCAAGTATTTCGGCCTGAACCGACTGGAGGCGTCTACGCTGTGCCAGATCAGGACGGAAAAAATAGGACTAGCAGCCTTCTTATTCAAGACAGGGGCTTTTGGCGTGTACTCGCCGCTATGCCGCTGTGGCGACGCCCCTGAGACGGCAGAGCACGTAATCCTCTTTTGCGGGCTGTTGGAAGGACCGAGGGAACGAACACGGGCCGCTATCGCACCACGGCCACTATACTCTCGCAGAGACCTCGCAACGGCAACAGGAGAACCAGTAGTTAGTGGGACTATTGTAAGGTGGCTGCTAGGGACGGGTCGGACAGCTTCAAGGCCCAGATAGCATCGATCTTCTCAGGGGGGACTTTGTTGGTAGGTTGAGAACCAACGTAGTATGGTAGTGAACGCAACGCAGTCGCCAATAGGGCGAAGCGACGACGCAGCGTATGTATTTAGTCCAGCCATTAGGGCACGGTTTGACATACGGGAGTACTAGTAGAGGTACCGGGGGCTTCGAGCCTACGGCGTATTTAATAATAATAATAATAGTTTTCAATATTTATATTGTGAGGAAGATGAATCTTAGTGACATAAGTCTTAGAAGGTGATCTTTGGAGGTATAGATCTTACACATTCCACGTATTTGATTACCGCGGAGTACTTGCATAGTCTGGCCCTGACAGCATATTTTATCACCGAGTTCCTAGGTGCCCATTGAAGAACCAAGTCGAACGAGGAAGATTTGTCGGTTTAGTCCGGACATTGGAATTTCCACTTCCAAGATAGAAGCATTGGTGTTAGGCTATCAAGTCGAGCTGTACCAGCTTATGAAACAGCATGCTTTCAACGGCCTTCATGCCAGCAAGATTTGGGTGATAGGGAACATCACCAGCACGAATAGATATACCCCTAAAGTCGGTAACCCAGGGCTCCGGAGAACCAATGCCATGAGCCTCGCTGAGTCTGGCAACCTCGACGACATGGCACCAAGCCTCTCGCCCCTGAACGGCCTGTAAAGTTCCATTGTGCAGCATTTCGGCGGTTTCCATGTGATACGCAGCCCTGGAGTACCCAAAGGGGGCGTGCTGGCCTGGCTGGAAGTGTTGGCCGAGGAGAGTCAAATATCTGCACACCTGAAGTCAGCACCAAATATTATCACACGGGTTTAGAAGTTGGAAGACAAACTCAATCACCAGAACTATCGCCTGTGGAGCGGCTGTGTGCACAGCATCCAATACGGTTTCGTACCGCCTCGCCAGCGCATCGGCACTACCGAGCGCCACCGTCTTGGGGCCCGACACCCACTCTCCATTGTTATCCCAGAAGCCCCAGCTATCTACAACGGCACCATGATCCCGCATCAGGCCTCCAATATAGTCCAGATCATTCCCACCGCCCAACACAAGCACGAGATCTACGTCGGCAGGCAGGTCATACACCTGCGGCGCAAAGACATGGCCCGATGTAAGCTGCGGTTGCGTAATGAGATTGAGCAGGGTAGCTCCCGATACGGACAGGTCCGTGAAGGTGACATCTCCAAGGTGAGCAGCCAGTAGGGCGCCGTAGTTATGTCCCGAACGCCCAGCTGCTCTCGGATTGACTTGGGGAGGAATACCGGGGCCAGCGGCGAACGAAGATCCTAACGAGGCGAAGTGTTTTATTTTGGATTTGGGGTGGTTGGACGTCTGTTCGGCTGGGCCTAGGTTGACAATGATGACGATGAAGAGTACGAGAGTTAGTAGAGCAATAAAACAGCGGAATCGTGACGAGTTCAGCCGACTTTGGGGCAGTAACCAGCGGGGTTCAACTGGAACGTCCTCAGCTCCGGGTGTCTCTTGGGAGGATAATGGTCCGACATGACCGCCTGGTTCACCTGTGTACGGTGTTGATGGGGTCACATCTTTACCACCGCTCGCAGAATTCTCAGGTAAAGGTGTCATGGTGGTGGCACGTGGTGTTCTGAATATGGTGCCACGTCAGTAAAGGTTGAAATAAAGTGTGTGCTCGCATAAATACCCGCAATCTACCTATTAATAGATCCTAATCTACCCCACAATTGTGCTAGCGTCGGAAATGCCGGATTTTAACATCTATAAGACTTGGTCTATGGAATTAATAGGCGTACGGATTTGCATTGCAAGATTAAATACTTGAGTACCTGGAACCAGAAATTGAATGCCTTTTCGATCAGTTGAAGCTGAATCTAATTGAGCTGACGACCTGCAGTTCGATTAAACATGGTGCTCAAGCACGGGGACTAGCCTGCGCAATACGCGCTTCACTTGCACTAAAGTCTGACGAGGTGTACCTTGTCCTAGCATCCTATTCCTACATGTGCTTGGGATATAGTACTTCGATTTTATTAGTGATGGATGAGCTCAGTCACCAAGAGCACAACGGTTCCTTTGGGTATACCACAAAATACAAAATATGGAACTACTTCCAAACATCCCGGTCCAGTCGGGCCACATCGGCATGCCTCAAGGACATACCTCCGGCTACTCCAACTACTTCCGATGCTAAAGAGCATCTATTTCAGTATTTAAATAGCTGTAACTGCCCTGAATAAGTGAAAAATATCTTATTGTGGTGGTGGGCGTATAGCTACGATATCTAGCGAGACGATCCACGGCGCTAGGTATATAAGCCTTAAATATAAAGAAGTATAGGCAAGTATAAATCGACCGGGCTGCAGTACTACCTACACCAAAAGCTGACCGCTTACCACTGACCACTCGTAGTCCGAAAGGCCCAGTGACGATCCCATCCGTTCTTGGCCGACATCGGCTTTGCAGACGGCGTGTCGCTGATGGCTAGCAATGACCCAGCCGCGTCGTAAACGGACCAAGGGGCCAAATTGATCAACCACAAGCTCCAAAACCTACTGGGCGGATGGCGTGCATGATGCCGGTTGGACGTTGCTCCTGGGCCGAGTCGCCGTGGTTGGCCAACTGCCACCAAGCCAGTTGGTCACTCAGCAACTTTTCAATCTGCTATATTGCCTACCCCGTAACTGTCACGCCGCGCCTGTTCTTTCGCATGGTTACGGAGGAGCTGCCAGCTCCAGGGGCGCGAATGTGGAACACTCTGGACCCAAACACCCTCGCCTTCATTCGCATGCTTGCCAACCACGGCCGTCTCCCAGCCTCCGCTGTCACTCTCGCCGGCTATGAAACTGGTCTTATCGTCCGAGACATGCCTGTGCAGGACCCAAAATACTCGCGACCGCTCGGCATGCTCAACGTGGGCATGCGCTAGTCAGGCTCCCAGACCGTGCTCTTCCCCACCCGTTCACCGCTGCGCTTGCTCCATTCTTCCATCGATGTAGACGGTACCACTTACTTCTGCGCATGTGGCTCTTTGTCCGGGAGCCAAGGATACGAGGGTTGGCGGCGTGATACCCGCTACTAAACATGAGATTGCCATGGACGCAGGTGGTTGATTAGTAGAGATACAAGCCGGCAATCTGGACTTACAGACTGATGGGATTGGCATCGCCACGCTAACTGCAGCAGAAGAACATTCGATTTCAGGCACATCACAGAATTTGATGTGCTACTGGTTCCAGGGCGCAAGTATTGCTCGCATCCCATGCAGATTCAGTGGTATGCCGAAACCCGACATGTGTTCGCCCTGTCCAAGATGCATCTAGAAGCGGCGCCTCACACCTTTCATACCAGCAGCTCCTTCGTCACTGTCTCGTTTTGCGGTAACGTACAACCCCCACCTTTCCGGCCACCCACATTTCTGGCCACATATTGCAATTCAATTGAAGGTATTCGAAACAATGTATTCAACGTACTATTATAGCTATTCAGTACAACCAGCTCTAATAGAAAGCTGTGCTCTAGGGCTTCCTGAGGTATAGATCTGATAGATTCTGACGCCCTAGCTGGGTCCAGTATTATCTGATTCCGACGTTGTACCTGGTCTCGTTGCCGTTCTACTTCAAGGGCTCGATCCATCGCTTCCTTAATCTGTACAATGTTACCAAATCGTTCATTAGGCCCTAATCGTACCTTCTTACGTGGTTTGGGGCGTAACGAAGTTATCTCGGCTTCTAATGCGTGTACACGTTGTGTCAAAGTAGCGACCTCGACGCTCTGTACATCTAGCCGACGAGTCAGCTTCCGAAACAATAGCCGTTGCGACGATCGTAATGGCGTAATCACTGCCAGACTCTCCCTAGCTACTAAGCTAGTCACTGGCGTCGTTATTATTGTCGGATCAAGCCAATTACCAGCTGTTGGTGGTGTAGTTGGTCGTTCTGATAGGGGGGCTATCGTCGGCTGAGGTCGCGATGGATCTAATGGGTATATTCCAGTTGCACAGAAGCCTGATTGTATATTACTGATCATGAACGACTTCGTATATGCCTCGATATATAGCGAGAGGAACGTCGACTTTTTAAATAGAATAGAACAGTACTCCATCGAGAGAGAGGTCGCTAACGAGCGATAGTACCGCTTTAATGGAGAAAATACGGCGACGTCGAGAGGTTAGAGCCCGTGAGAACAGTGTGCTAGCAAAAATAGTAACGAGATCTTGTTATAATAGGCTAACCACATAAACTCGACGTTGTCGTGAGCGATATGACCATCTAATATCAAGAGCCGCTGCTCGTCGGGATCAACTGGTTGTGTACGAGGTATAAAGATATCACGAAGCCATCGAACGGCGATATCTGTACTGATCCAACCGTTAGACGAATAAGTATATTGCCAATCAGGTATATCGTCGCAATCGTTAAACCATTGGGCTTGGAGGCTCTTGCCAGTATATATTACTGCTGGGGTCAACGAGTTACCCATTGCCGATATAGCATGTAATATAGTGACCCATTCGCGGCTTTCGTCACTCCGAACGAATGTTGTATGTTTCTTTGACAATCCGTACACTATACCCTCGATCCCTTCGCCAATCGCGATGCCTGTTTCGTCCATATTCCAGACGTTATGTGGAAAGTAGTCGTGAGCTGACATCAAGGCTTCGTACGTCTCGAAGAAATCGTCAATATTCTGCGTCTATAGGCCATCAAATCGCTGACGGTCGAGGCGTCGAGATTGGATACTTCCGACCTCTGGATAGCGTTGAATAAAGCGATGAACCCAATGGCGACCGAGGCCCTCTGATCGACGATCCTGAGGTAACAGAATCAACGCCATCTTAGCGATGAATAGCGCTGACGGGCTACGACCCTCGCGATCCATTTCGAGGATCCATCCAATCAGCGCGTCTTACTGATCCCTAGATAGCTTCATCGACGCGATTGACGCGTCAGAATGGCTGAGGCCATCGCCGAGTCGTAATTGGAGGGTAGAGCGTGGAACGTCCCATCGGAGGGAAGCCTGGCGCTGGGATATCCCTTGATTGATATCGTTGAGAGCGCCTTGAATCGAATTTTCTGAATATCGAGGCATTGTATAATAATAGCCAATACCGACGATAATCTGTTGTGCCGAAGGTTGTTGTAGTTGGCAGATTAGGTGGCCAGAAAGGTGGGTGACCGGAAAGGTGGGGTTGTACGTTATTCAATGAATTCACACATCATCGCACTACGCTAGACATTCGCGCAATTCTCGCCACATTTTGGGCCTCGGCTTCGAGTTGTGGGACAGTGGATAAGGTCGGTGAGTGCCCACGTAATCGAGCTATAGCCCGGAGAGAGCGTCTCCTACGTGCGCATATGGCAAAATCAAGAGTAGAGCCCACGGAATACTCATCGCGAAAATTACGGCAGGATCATCGGCTTTGGCATCACCATGTCCGAGTGCACATTTGTCAGCTTCTGCGGCCAAGACTGTAACATGAGCGATATGTTCGGCTACCGGTATAGCAAGGACCCCTTCGAGGACATGGAGAGTTTCCGTCCGTGGCGTGTGTTCACAATACGCCAGAATACAGACCGCGGGTAGTCCGGTTTGGGTTGGGTATGCAATTCCATATGGGACTTGGTCCAGGCCGTGTACAAGCCGTCGCAATGGCACCCAGAAAGCTCGCTTGTGCTTCGCGACAAGTTATCCTCCATTGAGCCAAACCTCCGCCCTATAGAAAATCTGTCCTAGGCGGATAAAGTTAGCGATAACAAGAAGATAAATATGTCATTTATATATGTCGTGTCCCATCAGGGGAGTATGGCCGGTTTGAGTTTCGATTAAGTTCACCTTGGCTCACTTTTACAGTAGGTGGGACTTTGGCAAGACGAAAAAGAAGTGCGATCTTTGTATCTGCAAGATGGGGAAACGCTCGCTCGCACGGGATTTCCGTCTTGTCTCAGGGATGAAAGGTCCCAACACGGTTATTGTCACCAGTTGTTGCAAGCTGACCCCAAAACTCGCCTAACGGAACTGCGTACGAGCAATTCTACCAAGGCCATCTTTTATGCTTTGGAAAGGAACTCACAATACCATCACAATCTTGAGTTCGACTTGGCTTTTCTTGGAGCGGAGGAACGACGGGTACCAGCGGGAGCGGGCCAAATACTCGTAGGCATCTGGACCACCACGGCCATCTTACTCCGGCTGATCAGCAGCAGTAAATCCCTGAGTCCGGTTCTGAATGTTGTGAATGGTGAAATTGTGGAACATCGATTGGGTGATGGCCATCGTTTGTAACAGCCTCAAGGGAAAGTTATCCCATAAAAGCAAGGGCGTGTTTCTGTAATAAATCAGGCTCGACAATTCGAATTCGGAGGGACGAGCTCATCCAACAGGTACACTTCGTGGGACATGGAGCTTCCGTGCACAGACAAGATGGCCATGACGGAGGTATATCGCGAGTTCTGTCGATCACAGATTGTAACTGAGTACAGATTACCTGCTACAGTAGTTGCGAAGTAAGGACTTCGGCCGTTACCCATCAGTGTTTCATCAGACCGCGTGTGTCCCTGATTGAAACACTTTGGTTAGTCAAAATGAGCCAAGGCTCAATCCATACATCGACCAACATGACATTGTTGAGTTTCATGCCCTAGTCCCGGCGTACTGGCAACTACATCAACATGAGGATTCATCGAACATTCCCTACAACACATGATGGATCGAGAAGCGAGCGAGTTGCAGTGTCGGTAGAGCAATCTGGTCCAATCAAGGTTGCGGAGCTCTCGGCGACAGAGATCGTCCAGTCTTGTAAACGTTTCATCCCCGCATCAGCAGAGAAACCACTCGAGACGTGTAGGCGATAATGACACTCGAAGTGGTCCAGTGAAGGACTCCGTTATTCTGCATGGCCCCATTTCGTCCGAAGCCCATGTACGACGAAAGTGGCAACAGAAAGCAATGAGACAAGCCAGCTTTTTGAGGGGCCTACGGACGCGGACTGCGTGGTGCTAGCAGAGGAGGAATGCCTTGCCGGGGACGTCTCCACCGATATGCAACGTCAACGCTCAACCTTAAATGAATGCTGCATGGAAAACTTCCATTTTTGGATGGAGAATTTCCATTTCAACAATGATTTCACTCTTTCAATCGGATCATTGCCGAGCCTCGTTTCTACGAATTAAGACGCACATTGCAAAGGCTTATGACCTTGCGTGGGAGCTGATGGGGATCGCATGCTGACATTGGGTACAGCTCACCAATCGAAGAAGGTCCCAGACTGAATGACTTTTCTGGCACCTGCCGTCCCCACAGTATTCCTTGATCCACTCTCTCCATGGCCGTCATGAATGGTCAATCAGAATGCCATCTCAAGCGCCATGTTGACGGTGACACTAAATCGCATATCGCCAGTAACAACCTGGATTGGATGCGGGATCCTCCTCCAGCGAAGATGACAAGCTTCCAGAAATTCGTACGAGATTTTGACTGGGCCAAGACTGCGTTGGGGACAATGGAGTTCTGGCCGCGAGAGTTGAAGCAGATGGTGCGCTTCATCATGGCCGATAGTCAACCATGCGTCCTGTACTGGGGCGAAAGGTTCATCATGATTTACAACGAAGCATCGGTGCCGTTTATCGGCTCCAAACATCCCGACGCTTTGGGTGAAGATGCGTCTGTTGTGTTTCCAGATTTCTGGAAGTACTTCGCAACCATCATATCTACACAACGTCAAACCGGAGAGACGGCGTCGGGCGAAGCGTCCATGTTGTTGATGGAGCGATATGGGTTTCTGGAAGAGACGTACTTCAACTGGAGAATGGTTCCTGTTATTGGTGATGATGGAAAGGTCATGGGATCGTACGCCACACAATCTGATTTGACGAAAGACGTTATTCGGAGGCGGCGGAACGATTGCATTCACTACCTGTCGCAACAAATATCAAGTGCTACTACTATGGAAGATCTGTGGCAGGGCACTTTGAATGGCCTCATGAGCAACGAAACAGACGTGCCATTCGCTCTGGTATATTCTATCGAGGAGCAGATCAGCGCCACATCCTTGCCTTCCAAGCCCAACTACACTTGTCACTTGGAAGGCTGTCTCGGCGTCGAGCGCGGTGACGACCTTGCTAAGGAGTATCTGGATATACAAAATGACCTGGGCGGCTTTACTCCCTCCGTCCTTGAAGCCCTTACCAAGAAGAGGATAATTGTGGTCGAGGCTAGCGAATGCCTGTCATCTCCGTGTGGGATTTCCTGGAAGGGTTTTGGCCTACCGAGTCGCCAATTTTCGATTGTTCCTCTCAAAGCCGATGGCGAGATTGCGGCATGCTTGATCATTGGACTGAATCCGTACAGGCGATACAACCAACTCTACACTTGGTTCCTGCAGGTCATGGCTGACGTAATTGGACCACAAATATCCAAAATCAGGCTGTCGGACGAAGTAAAACGTAGGTCTGAGCTGGCCAGAAATGCTACCATCAACTTTCAAAAGAGTGAGATGCGGTTGAACAGGTTCGCGGAGCGATGCATTGTTGGGCTATCATTAGCAGACACGGATCTTAATGTGAGTATTTGAGGGACGAGCTTGAATACCATGGACTTGACCTTAATGGCTAATCCCTCCGCAGATTATATACGCAAATGACGCATGGTATAAAATATCGGGCATGAGTCCCAGCAACCACGACTGCTGTGGTCTTATCGAAAATGTGCATCCGGAAGACGTTCCACTGGTGGAAGAATGGCTCGAAAGGGTACGAACCCAGAAAAAGAGCGGTCAGTTTCAGTTTCGTATCGAACAACCGTTTCGGCGTGGTCAGATGGATTCGGATCATCGGACTGCCATGTGTGCTTGCTATGCCGATCTGAATGAGGCTGGCGAGGTAGAAACCGTCATGGCGCTGCTCATGGACATTAGCGAGCACAAGTGGATCGAGGAACAATTACGCATCCGCACAAAGGAACTGGAAGAGTCCGAGGGCAAATGGCGCAACTACGCCGAGCACTCCCCACTGGGAATACTTCGAACCGACGGCAAAGGACAAGTTCTGTTCGCGAATGATGCCTGGCACTCATACTACGGTTTTACTCCTGGCCAAGTCCATGATCCGGAACCCTGGCTTCCTCTTATTGACCCCGAAGACAGACCGCCTGTGAAAGAGCTACTGGAAAGGCTCCGGAAGGAGTCTGGCCCTATAACCGTTGAATTCAGACTCAAGGACAGAGCATACACCATCAATGACGGTGAACAGGTCATTGAAAACGCCGTGTGGGTTTTGGCAACTGGGTTTTCCGAGTTCAAAGCCGACGGCACCACTGTGGACTACATTGACTTTTGGGTCACTGACATTAGCCCCCAGAAGATGGCCACCAAGATTCTGACGGAAAAGATGGAAGAGGCTATTCAATTGAAGACCCACCAGGAGCGATTCATTGACATGATAAGCCATGAGATTCGTAATCCACTGTCCGCCGTGTTGCACTGTGGGGAGGAGGTGGTTGAGGCCATGGGCAAGTGTTTGGCGGTGATACAGGAGCAGATCTCGGACGAACAGACTCCAGGACTTTTCGACACACTCCAAAGGTCCCTGGATAGCGCTCTCGACTCGGCAAATACTATCATGTACTGCGTACAGCACCAAAAGCAAATTGTCGATGACGTCCTTACGCTGTCGAAGCTGGACTCGAACTTGCTGGTCGTTTCACCGGTTCCGATCCAGCCTATCGGTCTTGTGCGTTCTTCACTCAAGATGTTTGACCACGAAATCAAGATGGCAGACATTTCTCTCGAAATTGTGGAGGATAAATCTCTGACTGAACTCTGCGTGGATTGGATCCTCCTGGACCCCAACCGATTTATCCAGATTGTTTTGAACCTGGTCACGAATGCCATCAAGTTCACCAGGCCTTCTTCCACTCGAATGATTGTCATCGTTGTTTCAGCATCAACGGAACCACCTCCAGGACCGTCACTCGGCGTGGACTACGTACCCAGTCGATACTCCCTGGCCCAGCCGCCAAGTCCAATGGGGGACCCGGCTGAGACTCTGGGAGACATATATCTATCGCTCAGCGTTCGAGACTCGTGCAAAGGGTTGAATTCCAAGGAGAAGGCGTCGTTGTTCAATAGATTCGCTCAAGCCTCTCCCAAAACTCATATTGAGTACGGCGGATCCGGACTTGGCTTGTTCATCTCGCACCACATCACGGAGATGTTGGGAGGCAGGATCGGTATGACAAGTAGTCCCGGGTGTGGATGCACCTTTGCGTTTTACGTGAAAGCGAACAAGACGACTGCACCTGCGAAGTCTTCAGCAACAGCCGTTAGTCGCCACAGCTGCGCAAACATGGAACCTGCTCAGCTCCAGCTAAACACGGCACTAGACTTGTCAACTACGGCTACACCGCCAATTGTGCTGACGCCAAAAGAGAAACCAGGTGCCGGTGCTATGACGCTAGACTTGGAACCTGTCATGGTTAAGCGTCACGTACTGGTTGTGGAGGATAACCTCGTGAACCAAAAGGTCCTCTGCAAGCTTTTGCGGAATCGTGGCTTCATCGTCGCTGCCGCAAACCACGGGAGAGAAGCCCTCGACGCTCTAGTCACCCCTTCTCCACCATCGCCAAATGGGACACAGCTCCTCATCCGTCGGTTCGATATCGTACTGTGTGATGTTGAGATGCCCGTCATGAACGGCCTCGAGTTTGCGACCGAAGTCAGAAGGTTAGAAGCGCAAGGACAGCTGCAGGGACATGTTCCCATACTCGGAGTTACGGCGAATGTTAGGGGAAAGCAGGTCAACGCCGCTCTCGAATCTGGCATGGTCAGTCCAGATTTCGTGCAAAGTACCAGAGCATGTACTGACAGTTGCAGGATGGCGTAACCACCAAACCCTACAAGATGGAAGATCTTGTAGCGCATATCGACAGCGTATGTCCGGCCAAGACGACCGATCCCGTAATCAGATGATAAATTAAGGGCAATTGACTACATATGTCTGTTTTTTGGGAGAAAGCTAAGATGTTCACGCATCTCATACGGAGGAGTTTCTCGGTGCATGTTCACGTCAGGGGTAGGGTTTTCATGCACGATGCATGGACGGTACTTCATTAAGACATCTAATTAGCGTCTACTTCTCGTCCGAATCAAATCGAGACACACTTAACACAACTTTATTTCGCAGTGCGGGCATTTGCAATCCCAACAACTTCTCACCTCGCATTTTTCGCACTGAATCATTCCCCAGTATGCATTCTTCTGCCAGAAGCCCGCGTGAAGATACAGCGGCTTCTTCTCATCGTCTGTCATGATCTTCTCCTGGAACCATCGGAGGTCCTGTTCCTTCTTTTCGGACGCCCAATACCTCTTTATTTCTTAGTTCTCAGCTTGGCCGCGCGGTTATTAGACTCTTCTCTTGCTCATCTCATGTTGCATAGATTGGAGCCGCCCCGGGCGGCTCCAATCTGTGCCCTTACAAGACCGGCACTCTGCCGCGCGGAAGCTGGGATAGAACGTGCAAAGTGGAATTGGGAAAGAGGGGCGGAGTGATTCTCGATTGGAGGCGCCGGACGGAGTGTAACGCTCCTTGAAAGCGCCGCAGTGGTGATAATTTTCGTCCTCAACTTCATTTCTTGATTGTGCCCTAGGGGCAGCTGAAGCGCTGGGACCGGTGGGATGGTTGAGCCCATCCCGCATTTTGAACTGGAGGCCTTGTGAGATCATAATTGGCACGTTTACCAGAGTTTGACAGGACTTAGTAAGCATATCCAATTTTGAAATTCAACGGTAATATGATTTTGTAGTTTTGATGGGGAAACTGGCAACTCACACTTTGGAATTTCTCTGCAGCAGCCTCTACATCATTCGGGTTCTTGTCGGGATGCCTTCCAAACATCCCCTATAGTTGCCGTGCGCACCTAGCCCATCGTAGTAGACAAACTCGGGAAGGGGCGCCATTGGAGTATCGTAGTTAATGTTGTTTTCGCTTCGTAGGTGTCGTTACATTCTGTGGACTTCAGAGAGCGCAGACTCCAGGATGCGGAAGAAGCGCTGACCACATCTCTCTTGATGATTTTGTTAGCAAACCCTATGGTTGCAGCAGCAATTGCCTTTGTTTTCTTTTTTGTAAGATTTCTGAGCATGTCTACAGTATTCTATCCCCGACACAGTCGCAGTCTCTTAATTGAGGTTTGTTTTGTAAATACTTCATGCGTCTACCGACAGTTTCTTCTAGCAAGATAAGGCGTCTGCCTCTAAGCGAAGGCTTCCTAACTTCCATCCCTCAGGTACAGAGACCATCTTAGTTTCTGTGGGTCATTAGATTTCAATACGGTCAAGGATTTGCGGGTCCTTTACTTCCAGATTACCGAACTATATAATAAATGAACTGTTTACCAAATCATTCCGTTTTGGAATTTTATGCCTAATTCTTTGCCGGTTACCCATTCATCTCTACGAAGCAGCCTCCTGTGCCGCCGCATATGCCTGCAAGCTCCCCGCCGCTCTGGGATAGGATACCTTTGCCTTCTCACCACCTTTCTTAACGTCCACAGTCTCAACGCCATCAATGCCCTCATCTTGGCCGTCACTCTCAGGAATGCCCCATCCTCCACCACCTGGGGTATGAATGACACACCGGTCCCCCGTATTCATATCGACCTGACCTCTCGGACCAATGTTAACCCATCTGTCTTCTCCCTCCTTTGTCTTCTGCACCCAGTAGTTGGCACCACATTCGCCCCCTTCACCACCCATCATTCCGTACGGCTGATGGACTCTCCTCTCGGTGATTAGACCGAATGTGATGGGATATCTACACTCAAAGTCTCGCACAATACCGCATCCACCGTTGAACTTTCCCTTTCCTCCACTACCCTTGCGGATGGAGAACTCACGGATCAGTACAGGGTACCGCTTCTCGATGATCTCTATGTCCGTCGTGCGCGTGTTGGTCATATGAATCTGAACGGCACTAGCCCCATGCCAAGTCGGACCCGCGCCCTCCCCACCGCAGATAGTCTCACCGTATCGGAAAGAAAAGCCTGCGGACTTCTCCTCATCAGTTTCATCAAGAAAGTTTCCAAAGAATCCGAGACAGTTCATGTCACCCTGTGAGCCTGCCGCGGCACGGAAGGCTTTAAGTAGAAGATCGACGAGACGCTGGGACGTCTGCGTGTTGCCGCAGCAGACGGCGGGACCAGAACTTGGATTAAGGAAGCAGTTCTTGGGAATGAGGACCTTGGTCGGTGCAAGACATCCTTGATTCAAGGGAATGTCGGAGCCAATCAGAAGGCGGAGCGTGTAGATCAACGCCGAATAGGTGATGGCTGGTGGTGCGTTCATGTTGGAAAGCATCTCGCACGAAGTGCCGGCAAAGTCGAAAGTTGCGAAGCCCGATTCTTCAAGTTGGATGGTTACTTCCATCCGAGAGCCATTGTCGAGGTAGTCCTTCGCCTTGATGGGTTTGGAACCCCATCGCTTGTAAGCTGACTTGAGGTATCCACGCACGGCCACCTCGGCGTTCTCTTGGATCTTTCGCATGTAGAAATGAACAGTGTGCTTGCCGTACTCAGCCATGAGGGCGTCAATTAAATGGCTCCCTTTGGCGTTGGCGGCCACTTGGGCCTTGAGGTCAGACAGGTTCTCGTCGAGGCGCCTGGAGCCGCTGCACTCAGGGTATTTTCCAGGCTCAAGTAGGATGGCGACAATTCCTTCTTCGTCAAAGTGACCATCTCTAATGAGAAAGAAGGACTTGATGGCGGCACCTTCTTGCCATAGCTCGGTCGAGTCGCTAAAATTGTCAATGAACTGTTCTTCTCCGTGGCCGGGTAAATACTTACGACGGCATTGACGTTCCACGGTATCCCCCGATATCCAGATGATGACCGCGTGAGGCCGTGTAGAAACAAATCGTTGTACCGTCTTGATCGAAGACGGGGGTAATGACGGTGATGTCTGCAGCAATGTTAGATGATTCCATGGAATAAAGCGACCGTGTAATGTTTTGAGAACAGTGCCATGGCAAGTAGGTCATTCCGTGCCATGAGAGTAAGATTCCAGATCTTCAAGGGATGGTCCCATCTCATGAAGGAGCCATTGCAGGCAATGAAAATAAATCGGACACTGACCTGGTAGATGAGTACCACCGGCCTCTGGGTGATTGGATACCAGGACATCGCCAGCCCGTAAGTTGCCCATATGGAGTTCGTGTTGGTACTTGACGGCATAGCTCATGCTCCCCAAGTGAACAGGCACATGAGGAGCATTGGCAACCAGTTCACCATCCGGACTAAAGATGGCACACGAAAAGTCCAGGCGCTCTTTTATGTTGAGCGATAGACTTGTTTTTTGGAGTGTTCTTCCCATTTGCTCTGCGATGCTCATGAACCGATGTCCAAAGATGCTAAGCTTGATGGGGTCCACCACCAATTCTTGCTCCACTTGATCTTGTTGTACTGTATTGTTCTCACTGAGATCGATGACCACGTGAGAGCTAAGGACCTTTGCTTGGGATCTAGGCACTACCACAATAGTTTGTGTGCTATCAATGATGATGGCCGGACCATTCACCACACACCCAGGTGACAGACTTTCGAGGCGGAAAACTTTGGTTGGTTGCAAGCCGCCCTCGGCAAAGAAAACATCCGTCTGAGACTATTAGTGGTGTGTCCAAATTTTGAATGCGGATGACCTACAACTCTTGCCTCAGCCCCTTCAACTGTAGAGAACCTGCTGGTCTGCAATTCGGATACAAGCTTTTCATTGTCTTGACTGACTTCACCACTCTTGCCGACACCTCTGACACGGACATCGTCAACCAGAACTTTCCGATCCCGGGGAAAGATAAATGTTAGTTCTCTCAAGTGCTCAGTCTCCAGGGCCGCTCTCCAGTCGCCATCTGCGGGTTCCATTATCATAAAATGGGTGTCAGTACCGTGGTAGCGCAGGTTCAAGTAAACTTGATGCTCGATTGCAGACTCTTGAAGGCCTTGTGCTACCAGGCCCTTGGTCACTTTGGACTTCAACTCGACAAAACGATTCTCAAGACGGCTAATGGATTCGTCGGTGAGAACCTCAGAACTCGGCTCCTGGGCTTCTTGAACAATCTCAGCCAATGCCATGCCATATGCCGATAGGATGCTCGAGTACTTGTGCATGACTATCCGTTTGATGCCCAACTTGCGTGCAATTTCACACGCATGTTGGCCACCAGCACCTCCGAACGTGGCGAGATTATGTTGACTCGTCTCAAAACCTCGGGCTTCGGTCAGTGCGCGAATCGGACGGCTCATGGACTCATTGGCAACATCGATGAAGCCATGGGCGACTTCAACTGGTGTCATTGTGCGTCCAGTGTCAGCATTGATCTGCGCCGTCAGTTCCTCGAATTTCTTGGCGACGATGTCAGAGTCAAGGGGTAAATCTTCGTTTGGGCCAAAGATGGCTGGGAAGTAATCGGAGATCAACCGTCCAAGGCTTCCATGAATTAGCGATATATATAGAACCAATGTCCAATTACTTACAAGAGATTCGCATCCGTAACAGTGAGTGGGCCCCCCTTACGGTAAGATGCAGGTCCAGGATGAGCACCGGCGCTCTGCTGATCATTAGAAGTTGACTCATGAACAAACAAGTCGCACTTACATCAGGCCCAACTTTGAAGAGTCCGTCCCGCCAAAACAACATTGAGCCACCTCCCGCTGCGACCGTGTTGATGTCAAGCTGCGGTGATTGAATCGATACTCCGGCCGTAGTGGTTTCGAACACATGTTCAAAGGAACCACCGTAACGGCTCACGTCGGTCGATGTACCTCCCATGTCGAAGCCAACAATTGGAGATTTTCCATCGTACGACGTTCGTGCATGACCAACCACGCCCCCTAAACTTCCGTGAGCATTCTTTCCCCTGATAAATTCAAGTGAGACTTACCAGCTGGACCACTCAAGATTCCTTTCAAGCCGCTGAACGTTTTATGGCTAACAAGTCCGCCATCGCTCTGCATGAACTCACAGGAAACACCATCCAAATTGCCCTCTGCAAAGCCTTGAGCAAAACCAGACACATACCGCACAATCTCAGGGGTCAAATACGCATCAGCAGATGCCGAACTTCCACGTGAGATCATTTTGATCATGTTGGAGCCAACAGATGAAGACGTCGACACATGTCCGAATCCCATCTCCTTTGCAATTTCGGCAATGCGTAATTCGTGATTAGGATATAGGTATGAATGAGCCAAGCAGATTGCCAGTGTGTCGATACCCTTTAGTTGGATTTTCTGGAGCTTTTCGCGGACCTCACCTTCGTCAAGAGGTCGGATAATGCGCATTATATCGCCAGTGCTGGCCTTCACAAGCACACCGGGGATCTCCTTAAGGGGCGAACGTTTGTCTTTGGTGATGTCTTCGTCAAACTCTTCGACCGTTATGCGCTCCGAGATCTCGATAACTTCATCGTAGAGTAGCTCGGGCTTGCGAATGCCTAACTCAAACAAGCTCGGCCGAGCTTGGTAACTGATGTCTAGTAAGTCGGCAAAGCCTTCGTTCACCATGAACGCATGCCTAGTTCCTTTTCTTTCCAACAGTGCTGAAGCGCACAAACTGTGTCAGATCGCCAACTTTCATAGTGACGGGGTCAATCTCACCATTTGTGGCCACTGTTGTCCCCATACGAATAGAGTGAATCAAGTATTTCGGAATAGGGGCTCGCCTTGGTATCGAAGCGCCTGAGACCATCTCTAACACTCTCCGAATGCCTTCTGCCGGTGCATCATCGTAGTTTCCCGGGTCAACCGACAGGAGCTTGAGAACCACATCATCACGTCCCGGGATAGAGGCCCAAACATCCGTAAAAGTGCCGCCACGGTCTGTCTTCAGTCAGTTGTGAGTTGACGTCGTGGCGAATTGCCTCACCAATCGCGAACTTGATGCTGTTTGGTTGCACTACAGGGAGGGGCTTATCGGTCGTCATTCCGTCTGTCTTTTGTTTGTGTTGGGCTGCCTTCAATGGCATCAAGTGAAAATGCCGATAAGCTGCAGGAGACATGGTCTGATATAGTGCTTGGGCGTTTCGGCAGGCTTGAAGCATCCCGTCGGTCATATGGCCGGTGATAGGGGTGTAGCAGTGTCGTCGGTTCGGGATACCTCGACGTTGGTGTGCAATCAGGATAGAGTCAGGGATTCCCTGCTAGTGACTCTGCTCTGTATCATTATTAGTGGAACTCTGGGCTTCTGCTAACCAGTTCCGTATGACAGTGCCACTTGGCCAGTTCGCACCCTCATGCACGTCGATTCGAACTTCCTCCGATCTTCTAATCTGTCGGGTCGAACCCGATGTGGTCCAATGAGGAACCGCCCGCAAGATCCAGAGTTCCGAATCGTTGAACAGTCTCGTCATTGTGTGATGCTACGATAACACCAATCTCCACAACGCCGAATCTGATGCGGGAACTCATGCTCGGAATTTTCAACCTTGATGCTTGGCCGGCCACAGGCGGCTACACTGTCATGGATGCGATAAGGTCTTATACCAGATGTATATGCGACATGTCTTCGCTAATATAAATCCCGGAGACTGAACTCCAACATACTGGATTGGTTCATTCTCACTCGTCAAAACCTGCAGTTTCATTCGTAATAGGACCACTGCCCACTGTGCAGCCACAACCTTGTGTTCTGAGTCCTGACTATGGCCGACATTAAATCACCGTCCGTTAATGATGGCGATGAGGTCCAACAAGTCCCTTCAACCGCCCAAGGTGACATCTCAAAGTCGGTCGATGATCATGCTCTCGATGAGGCTGCCAAGTATCTGGCAAACACGGAAGAGTATGCGCCAATGACACCAGAGCAAGAGAAGAAGATTGTCAAAAAGATTGACGCATGGATGATTCCCCTCGTAAGTCTTTTAGAATAGTTTGCTCCGCTTCCCCAGTAAGGCTCACGTCGTATAGCTACTCTTCGCGGCTTCACTCGGAGCTGTTGACAAGGTCCAGATTGGAACTGCCTCGCTGTACGGGTTCCAGACGGACAACAACATGGTGGGACAAGAGTACAGTTGGCTTGGCAGTATCCTACCACTAGGTGTAAGCAAAACTAATCTCTACATTTTCAAAACTGAAGCTGACGCAGCCCTAGACTCTGATTGGTCTCGTCCCAGCCTCTTACCTCGTCCAGCGAGTTCCACCTGGCAAATTGCTATGCACCGCCTCCCTTATGTGGTCCATCTTGACCATTATGTACGCCCCCTGCCGATCTTGGTCTGGCTTTATGGCCCTCCGCTTCTGGTTAGGCTTTCTCGAGGCGGCCATCACCCCATCTTTGACCATGCTTGTTGCCTCCTTTTACAAAAAAAACGAACAACCTCCGAGAAATGCCAGTAAGTGGTGTATATACAAACAAATTGCACCTCAAAGTACTGACAGGCCTAAGTAATTTTCGCCTACTTTTCTTCTGTTTTCAACGGCTTCTTCGCTTGGGTGGTCGGCACAATTCCCGCCTCGGCCCCTTTGCTGAAATGGCAGTACCTCTACATCATGACGGGCTCCATAAACGTCATCTACTCCATCTTTCTCTTCTTTTTCCTGCCCGACAGCCCCATGAATGCCCGTTTCCTTACCGCCGAGCAAAAGTTCCACGCTGTGCAGAGGCTGGCCGGCAACAGGACGGGAATCGCCAACCGTGTTTGGAAGTGGGATCAGGTCTGGGAAGCACTTCTCGACATCAGGATTTGGATCATATTTTTCTTCAACATTGTCATCAATATCCCCAACGGCGGTCTCCAAACATTTGGGTCCATCATCATAAGCAATCTTGGGTTCAGCGCATTGGAAGCGAGTTTGCTCACCATGCCCTTCGGTATCATTGCCACAGGTGGCGCATGGCTCTTCAGTTACATTGCCGCCAGGTCGCATAACAAGCGGACCTTTGTTGCCAGTATAGCTTTACTTCTGCCGATTTTTGGCACAGCCTTGGTGTACGGCTTGCCGAGGTCCAACATAGCTGGGCAGATGGTGGGATTGTACTTTATGTACTTCTACTGGCGTAAGTCGTTCTACGTTGGACCTGTAATGGTTCTGGCGCTGACAGGTGGTAGCTCCGTATGTTGTAGGCATCTCCCTTCCCCAGGCAAACACAGCCGGTCACACCAAGAAGAGCGTTACCTACAGGTATGTATATATCCCACCCGGCGAAGCCTGATAGCCCATAACTGACTGGCTGCTTCATAGTCTTGTGACAGTTGGTTATGCCGCGGGGAACCTTATAGGCCCTCAGACTTTCCGCGCGAACCAAGCACCAAAGTACACTTCGGGTGTTGTCGTAATGTTGGTCTGCTACTGCGTATGTATGCTGCTTCTTGGTCTCTACTGGTTCATTGCCACGCAGGAGAATAAACGGCGAGATTGCAAATACGGTAAACCGGAGGTGGTGCAAGAGGGGACAGCTGAGGGCTTCATAGACATGACGGATAAGAAGCAGCATAACTTTCGTTATACGACTTAAGGCTTGGTTCTAGCCCAGGGATTCCATTGCTGGGTAGGGATAGCTACCGGCCGGCTGCGGACGGCCGCGGACGAGATTTTCTGGAACTGGCGGCTTTAGACTCTTAACGGCCAACCCTCAGCCGATGCACTCCCAAGCCTATTGCCTAACGGGAACTTCGTTTTCCATCTTTTGTATAACCGAATGCCAAAAAGTTGCATTGCAGTTCAACTCGCGTACTAGGATTCAGATATTTCGAGTTACGCAAGACTGATAGAACAGTGTTTTCCCAGGAGTATACTCCAACCCTTGCACGCGTCTTCTGTACGTAAATCTCGAGCCCTCCAAATGTCTTCAATGATCATTCGCGCTTTCTTTACATTTCCCAGTTGTCGGGTTTCTTGGAGCGCGGCCAGTCTCGCCAGAACTAGTCTCCTCCCTTCTTCACTTTCCGGGAGGATCCCCAGAGTTGCGACCATGAAGAGTGGCCATAGAATGGTGTTGGTGCGTAGTGAGATCTGAGGTATCAAAGAAAGTATTTGAGACGTTAGGCGGATCATGTGAGGTTCTTGTGGACTGGCATCATCGATTCTCGCGTAAAGATATAAAAGAGTGGCAAGTCGTTTCAGCTCGATGATCACTCGCAGCTCTGAAACAGTCGGTATGACCTGAGCAGAAATATAGAGGCGCCTTTCGAGGTCATCGCGACACTGCCTAAAATCGGCTATCGGACCATGGTCGACCAACGAGCCAAGGTGGTTGATCTCGGATATCAACACCAAGAGTTCTTTTGGACACCCCGTCAGCGCCAGGATCGACGAGCTATCGGCAGAGAGACAGAGCTGAGTTACGGCACCGGTAGCTCCAATTCTTGTCCCAGCAGTCGAGGCGAGGACGTCGTGCGATATGAAATAAGTCAAGGCAAAGTGATGGAGTCGTCGCTGGTCAGCACTGAAACTGTGCAATGCTTGCACTTGTGTGGATAGGAAATTGCGGGCAAATTCGGCATGGACGGTCCATGTTTGTGAACAGTCTTGTAGGATCTATCTGTTCCATTAGCATTTGGTCCAAAGAAGGCCTAGATGACACCAACCTCGAAAAAGCATAGCATCAAGCTTGAAGCAATAACTTGGTCCTTCGACAACGTGGTTCCAAGGGTGGAATGGGTCGAGAGTTGCCCAACCTGGTTTCGCTGTAGATGCAGCGCTTTGGCACGATGTGACCACATGGCGGACTTGTACTGGACGAGTCCGATACTGTGTAGCTGGTTTGCAGAAGTAGCTAATATGCAATGGTAAAGTGGTCCACCTCGAGAGGCAGCCGCTATGCGCAGAAGGACATCTCGGTATGGATTGACATCATCCGGCATCAAAACGCACTGGGGTGTGATGCACTGGTCAAAATAATGCCAGAGATCGCTCTCCACTTGCTTGAGACTGAACGGAGAAAGGTATCCGGGTGGGCGTGTGAAAAAATCGAGCTGGCTGGCATGATCTTCGCCGAGCAGCAAGACTTGAATATCAGAGTGGACCTGAGGGGAGCTTCCGAGTGGGCCAAGAACTGCAGTGCTCAAGCTCGGATGGGTGGAACACCGCATCGATTTAAAATCGGAACCTTTGGAGTACGTTGAGTCGAAGTCTTTTGCAATTGTGTTTAGAAACATCCAGCTCTCGACGGAGACGTCCAAGTCTTTAGGCCTTCTGATGGGGCGAGATTTTCTCGCATCAACATGGACCACAACGTGTTGCCAACTCAGCCTGGTCTCGTAGGAGCAACTCAAATGAAGTCTCTCACAATGGCTACATATCGGACGTTGCCCCGGACATTTTACTCGTCGCTCTACATTTGTTGAGTTTCTGGCGCTCTGATGGATGAGGGAATATGGGGCTCACCTCGGCACTTCCGGCATCCACCTCGAGTCCTCTTCTCGCCTCCCGTTGGACTCATTGTTTTCGGTTTCGGGGACAATAAGATCGTCTAGTCCATCAAGCGGGTGACGCCGTGACGTAATGAACGGTGCACTAAGGGTGGAATACGATGAGATAGCTCGTTCTCTCAGGAGAGTAGGCAGGTCACAGCTTGATGAACACCTCAGCGCCCCTCTAATTCGCGTTGTCCGTAGTAGTCGGCTCGGACTGTAGACCTGTTCACCTCAGCTCGCCAGGGCGTGATGAGAATGCTCAGCATAAAACTCACAGATCAGATTAACCATACTGTACCACAAGATAGTAGAGATAAGAACACGCCGGGTCTTAGCAGTGCGTTCCAATCATAGTCGATATACAGTCACACTGTGAGGTCCAAGAATCCTTGTTTATCTCCGCATCTACCACCTTGCTCCACTTCCCCACAACGTAAACCGTTGCCGGGGGTCATCAACATCAGTCACTGATCCGCTCCCTTCCGCTCCCTAACTCCATCGTTATGCGCATTGCTCTTGATCACCTTGTGGGAATCGACAATCGTGTTGGTGGGGAATGCGGCGCATTTGGTCCAAAGTAAGAAAGCACTATATCTGGATACAGATATCTCCAAGGCACACCAGGAAGACCCTGTAACCATCTATGGCCTGGCCACTATCCATTGGAAACGATTGTCCATTGGAAATCAACGCAGTAGAACTGAAGAAAGTAAGAGGGACCAAACTACGAGACGCCAAATCTGCCATGTGCAGCCAACTTGAGTGCCCCCAACCCTGCCCCGGCCATAACAGCCAACGATCCCACGGCCGTCGATTTCGCGCGCCTTCTCAAAAAGACCAGAAGGATACGAGGATGTCGGGTCATAAGCTTGCCAGCTGGGTCAGGTTACATGATCAATAGAGTGTACAGACAGGCACGGTCAAGTCGGTCTCTAGTTATTCAGCACAAGCACCTCCGATAAGAAATAAATCATCAACGCATTCACAGAACTACAACGTGGACCCTGGCGCATAAGGGCCCTAGAGCATTATCCACAGCTTCCAATCATAGCTTGTCGGGTAGTTCTGGGGTTTATGGGACTATGCCATCGACCCAGTAACATGGGTTTCGATTGCGGAAGATGTTGGCTTGCGCTAGACCACTCTCGCGTGGACTTGTATAAAGGAGTCTTCTCAATGTGTTATCGGCCGCTATTTTGTATGACACAATTTTGTGCTGATCAAGCAAGCATTCCAGCGACAAGATCTGGAATCTAACCGCATTGACCACCTTTTTGCATACACTCCTATTTTGCAGGGAAATTCTACGCCTCAACAACTTGACGTCTCTCAATTTACCTCCTAATTTCTCCCTAGCTACGTACAAAATAGCTGATCTAGTGGAGAATAGTCCGGACGATTTTGAGCAGCAAATCGAACGCGCTAGAGAGATTATCCGTTCTAGCTCTTTCTAGGCCGTAGTAGCTCATCGGTACGGTATTAAGGGGACTATATTCTCCTACCGTATTCGTCACGGTAATTCGTATGTCGACGCGGCCTCCGGGTAATAAAATTTAACTCTAGAGTAAGAGGAGGTTATCATAAACTAGATCTTATATAAAGAACTATACGGACGGGCTCCGAGTAAACGTTATATAGCTAACTTTACTACCGAAATCCTCCTTACTTAAGGGGATAAGAATATATTTAGATAATACTAGATAGATTACTTCGTTAGCCCCTATCTATAAATACGTACTAAAATTAGGCTTATCGTAGATACTAGCCGAGTTAGAGCGTCCGATTCGAATAAGATCTGAGACTTCTATACCCTCCTCGAATACTTGCGTATAAAGTACTATATTAAACCGGATAACGTGAATGTACACCGAGCTGGCCACCCTTACATAACCTCGCATAGAAATTTTACGATAGTAAAACCACAACGCCGTAAATCAATTGAAACTACTCTGAATCTTCCTCTCCATAAGATGGCAATGCGATCTTACAAGTTCACGCATTATGCCCAGTCCCGTTGCAAATACCACAGCGCCTCGGGCGCGTTTCAACACGCTTTGCGCGACCACCATTTCGGCGCTCTTCTTGCTGTATCTGCGTCGCCAACTCCCTAGAGTCCCGTAGGTCCTGTCCTTGTTGGAAAATATTATTATTATTAAATACGCCGTAGGCTCGAAGGCCCCGGTACCTCTACTAGTACTCCCGTATGTCAAACCGTGCCCTAATGGCTGGACTAAATACATACGCTGCGTCGTCGGTTCGCCCTATTGGCGACTGCGTTACGTCCACTACCATACTACGTTGGTTCTCAACCTACCAACAAAGTCCCCCCTGAGAAGATCGATGCTATCTGGGCCTTGAAGCTGTCCGACCCGTCCCTAGCAGCCACCTTACAATAGTCCCACTAACTACTGGTTCTCCTGTTGCCGTTGCGAGGTCTCTGCGAGAGTATAGTGGCCGTGGTGCGATAGCGGCCCGTGTTCGTTCCCTCGGTCCTTCCAACAGCCCGCAAAAGAGGATTACGTGCTCTGCCGTCTCAGGGGCGTCGCCACAGCGGCATAGCGGCGAGTACACGCCAAAAGCCCCTGTCTTGAATAAGAAGGCTGCTAGTCCTATTTTTTCCGTCCTGATCTGGCACAGCGTAGACGCCTCCAGTCGGTTCAGGCCGAAATACTTGCCCCCTTTCGGTATCTGCATCGAAGGGCCCTCCGGTTCCTCAGCGATAGCGCGTCGCTGGCGATCGTGATGCTCTGCTCCGGTGAGCCATCTCTTCCTCCAGTGGCCGAGGAGGGCAGCCGGGACCTCCTTTTCCTCACTCATCCACTCGGAGCCCCGGGCCTCCTTCTCCATAGTGTACCCTGCCGGTCGGAGTAGCTGCGACGCCTGCTTCCTCTTCGCCGGCCTATCCTGCCGGAGTATACGTGACGCTTTAGCGCTCGCGCTGCGAAGCAGATTTCTCTTCCCGCTAAGCCGTAGCCGTTCTTCAAACTTAGCAGCCCGGGCACTAAGATAGAGGTCTAGTGGCGGGATTGCTGCTTCTGCTTCCAGGTGGCGAACCGGCGTCGCTTTGTGGGCACCACAGACTACCCGGAGGCACTCGTTCTGTATCCCCATCAGGCTCTTAGCTGGCCCTGCCGGTTCCTCACTTATAGTATGCCACGCAGTCGCCCCGAAGGCAATCGCGCTACGGATAACCACCGTATATAACAGCCTCGCCCGTATAAGATCGCAGCCCCACGACATATTGACTAGCTTTGTCAGGGCTAGCTTTTGAGTTGCCATTTTTGTTTTAACACGCTCAACATGGGCGTGCCACGTCAGTTTGCGGTCGAACCAGACTCCTAGGAACCTGGCTGAGACTACCGGCGACACTGTGGCGTCCCCAAGGCGAATACTTTGCGGCAAGGGCTCTCGGGCCCTAGTAAAGTGCATTAGCTCACTCTTGTCAGGAGCGAACTCCATCCCGTGCCTCACTGCCCACCGCTGACACGTAGCCCATGCGCTCTCCAACCGGCGGCAGGTCGTGTCTGGATCGGTGCCGACGCTTAGCAGGTTCGTGTCGTCCGCGAACCCGACTACTAAAAGTAGTGGATGCTGCTCCGCTAGCTCCTCGTACAGCGTTGAAATGTATAATATAAACAGTATCGGGGATAGCGGTGACCCCTGGGGGACGCCAGCTCGTAGGGGGATTGGCTCTGACTCCTTGCCATCGAACCGGAGGCGTACCGTCCTATCCTCCACGAAGCTGCGTACCCACTCCTGAACCCACTCCGGGTAGCCTTTCCGGGCTAATATGGAAATCAGCCGTCTGTAATTGACCGTATCGAATGCCCCCTTGATGTCTAGCTGTAGCAGCGAGGCGATGCCCCCGCGTCTCCACGCCGTATAGACCACGTCCTCAACTATACGTATTGCCAGTTCGGTGGACCTCCCAGCGCGGTTACCCATTTGGCCGTTTGGTAGTAGGCCGGCCGCCTCAGCTACTTTGGTGATACGCTGGCTCATCGCCGTCTCTATTACCTTCCCTACCGTGCTAAGCAGGGCAATGGGGCGCCAGCCGCCAGGGGTCTGCTTCTGAGCTGTCGTTTTATTAGGCTTAGGGATAACAACCACCCTCGCTGAGCGGAAGCGCTCCGGGTAGTACCCCAGCCTAAAGCTAGCTGTTGCCAGATCCGCTAGGATCTCCCATAGGGGTTCACCGCAGGCCTTTAGCAGGCCAGTGGGGATCAGGTCGTCGCCGGGAGCCTTCCGAGCAACCGTTCCTTTGATGATAGACTCGATATCCATTGTGGTCACCTCCCTAGGGACGTTCAGCTCTGGTCTCGTCTGTAATAGGCCGCGATCGAGGTCCGATAGATCTATATACGGGTCTGGGAAGAACCTCTCAGCTAGTAATTTTGCCTTCTCATCATGTGTACGTGCTGTAAGCGTGTCGCCGGCGTCCCTCCGGAGATCTGGCAAGCCGTGGGCCTCAGGGGGGCCCAGCTCCGTAGCCTAGCCCACCTCTGCAGTGCCCACAGGCTTTTGTGATCCTTCGCCGTCCCCTCGAGCTTCTCGTGCCAGCTACGCGTCTGCGCTTCGCTGATTTCGAGCCGTTGTTTTTGGCCGGCTCTTGTATATTCGTCCCAGTTGGTCTGCGACCTTGCCTGGAGGTAGTCCCGCCGTCGTCTCTTCGTCTCAGCGCAAGCCTTGCTAACCTGCGGGCACCACCACGGGACCCCAGCGCCTCGGCCAACGGTGCGTCTCGGGACCGCCACGTCGGCGATCTCTTGGAGGTTCCGGATAACCCAGTCAACAGCCTGGTCCAACTCCGTTATCGTCTCAACCGGCAAATAATTCATAAATCTCTGGCTTGATTCGGCTACGATGAGCCACTTATCCGCCATCGCCCAGTTCCACCCTTCGACACTGCGGCGGCCCTCCTTGACTGCTTC